GCTGGGAGCTGGGGATTTGGCTGGGGCTGGAGATTTAGCTCAGTGGCATAAGCGCCTGCCTGGCAAACACAAGGTCATGAGTTTGATCCCTGGTACTCAAAAAAAAAAAATAAAGTTAGGCAGGGCTGGAAGCCTCCCTGCTCAGTGGCTGGCACTGGCCTGGTGTGCATGGCGCCCTGGCTTGTGTGTCAACACACTCCCAAACTGTTTTTCAGGCCCAGGTGCGAAGCCCAGGGTGGGGCCTGAAGATTTGCATATCCAATTTGCATATGCAACCAGTTTCCTGATGATGCTAATGATGCTGGTTGGGGACCACACTTGGTGTAAAGGGGAAGAAAACCCCTTGAGACATGGTCATTGTATTGCTACTTTCCCTGCTTAGAAAGCTTGACCACAAACTCTTCCCTCTCCTGCAGCTTCCCTCTGGTAAATCCTGCCAGTTAACAAGAATGAGTAAGGTGGTGGTCATACTTCTGTAATTCCATCACTTTGGGAGGCTGAGGCAGGAAAACTGCAAGTTCTAGGTCAGTTTGGGTAATTTAGTGATTTAGTGATAGCCTGTCTTTAAAATGAAAAATATGGCAGGTGTGTGGCACACACCTGTAATTCTAGCACTTGGGAGGCTGAGGCAGGAGGATCATTGCCAGTTCAAGGTCATCTGGGCTACACAGTGAGTTCAAGGGCAGCCTGAACTACACAGTAAAACTCTATCTCAAAAATCTTTAAAAAAATTTTAAAAGGGAAGCAGGGCATGGTGGTGCAGGCCTGTAATCCTAGCACTTGGGAGGCTGAGGCAGGAGGATCTCTACAAATTCAAGACCAGCCTAGGCTACAAAGTGAGCTCAGGACTGGCTTGAACTGTATAGTGAGACCCTGTCTCAAAATAAATAAGTAAATAAATTTTAAAAATTATGGGGCTGGGGATTTAGCTCAGTGGCATAAGCGCCTGCCTTGCAAGCAGGCAGTCGTGAGTTCGATCCCTGGTATCGATAAAAAAAAGACAAAAAAAAAAATTAGCGGGCTGGAGATTTAGCTCAACAGCTTAAGTGTGCACCTGGTAAGCTCGAGATTATGATTTTGATCCCTGGTACCAAAAAACTAAAATAAAAAAGGGCTGGAGATGTAGCTTCCGTGTGAAAATCTTGGGTTCAATCCCCAGTACTGAAGCAAAATAATAATAAGGTACATTATCTAGCAACTATATATATATATATATATATATATATATATATATATATATTGGTACTGGGGATCAAATTCACAACCTTATGCTTAACAAGCAGGCGCTTACACCACTGAGCTAAATCCTCAGCCCCTACAACAATAAATATATTAACAAACATTATTAGGTGCCACATAACTATAATACACACCATATATGGACTATCTCATTTAGTTATTTAGGGCTTCTGAAACAGACATACTATGCTGTCCAGATTGGCCTTAAACTCACTCTGGAGTCTAGGCCAGCCTCAAACTCATACTGGTCCTCCTGCCTCAGCCTCCCAAGTTCTGGAATTGCTGGCCTGCACCACCACATCTGGCTCAAAGGCCTCCGCCCTTACCTGCCAGCTCTCACCACACTGCAGTCTGACCCCCAGCACACCCTCACTGTGGTACTCTCTCGCCTCGCACCTGCACACCAGCCTCCACACTGACTTCCTGCTTTTCTCACAGAGACAGAAACACTGGCCTTGGCTTCAGCACAAACCCGATCATTCCCTGCTTTGCTGGAAAGAGATCCGTGGTGGCTCACCAGGCTGACAAGTTGTACCTTCCTTTGTCTGGAGTAATGGGAAATATTGTATGACCTCTCAGCCTTCAAGACCTCCTCATGATAAGCTCAATTCCTTGTAATGGGTCCTTTCGTCTTCTTTTCTTTCTCCTTCTTTTCTTCCTCTTTTTGTCTCTTTGAGACAGGGTCTCACTATATCATTCAGACTGGCATTGAACAATGTAGCCCAGCCTTGAATTCACAGTGACCCTCCTGCCTCAGCCTTTTGCGTACTGGGATTACAGGGGTGTACCACCACACCTTGCCATGTTCTTTCTTGTTTCTTGACATTTTTCATCCTCTAGGTTTCCTTCTTTGTTGTATTAATATTATATGACTGCTAGGCATGGTGGTACAAACCTGTAATCCCAGCACTTGGGAGGCCAAGGCAGGAGACTGAGGCAAAAGGACTGCTTTGAGTTTAAAGCCGGACTAAACTACATAGCAAGCCCTTGTCTCAAAAAAAACAAAAAGGAAAAGAAAAGAGGGGAGCAGGAACAGCTAAGTCAGAGAGTAAGACATACTGGGGGGGGGTTGGGGATTTAGCTCAGCGGCATAAGCACCTGCCTTGGAAGCAGACGGTCGTAAGTTCGATCCCCGGTACTGATAAAAAATGAAAAAGACAAAAAAAAAAAAAAAAAAAAAAAAGACATACTGGGGACAGAAAGGAAAGCCGTAGGTCATGATGATGATTTTACCTTCGCTCCAAGTGAAGGCGTGTGAGGGCTTGGGTCAAAAAAACCTGCGTTTAGCAGCCTTATCCAGCTGTTGAGAGCAGACTGAGGTGGGGAAAACAAATGTTGAAAGCAAGAGACCAATTATGTGGTTACTTTGATAAAAAAAAAAAAAAAGTAGATTAAACCAAGGTGGAAATTAAGGAGTTGTTGAGAGATTGTAGTATTTGGGATCCATATTTTGAAGGGCAATAGGATTTGCTAATTTATCAGATATGGGGTGACAGAAAAAGAGAGGAAGGAGGATTTTTTTTTTCAGTACTAACCACAGGATTCTATGCTTGCCGCTGAGCTAGATCCCCAGACCAGAAGACACATTGGGATGAATGGAATTGAGGAGTTTTATTTTATTTTTGATGTCCTGGTTTGGATCACTAACTTTATTTTAGATGGAGGGTCAAAGTGTTGCCAGGCGTGGTGGCTCAAGCATCATCTCGGTATGTGGAGGCTGAGGCAGGATTACCCTGAATTGGAGGCCAGCCCGGGCTACAAAGAAGTTCAAGGGTACCTTGTGAGAACTTGTGTTCCCAAAAAGAAAAGAAGTCTATGAGATGTCCAGCTGGTTGTATACTGGACTCTAAGGAAGGGGATGAGTTCAAAAAGATATAGCTGGGGAGTCTCCTCTGTACAGAGGTGTAAAGTCTTCACATTGGGCAAGATGGCTTCTGCCCTCCACCCTGTGGGGTCTGTCTGGCAGAAGAGGTTGCAGGGGGAGGCAGGGCTGGGCTCTCCTGACCTCTTACACTCACACCCGCAGAGTTACTCTCAAGGACTTGTGCTTTGGACTCACAAACCAGATAGTTTATTTTTATTTTACTTTAAGCTGTTTTAAAAAATCGTTTTCATGTTTAAATTTATTTACTTGCTTTTATTTTCTACTTTAAAGAAAAAAACCGAAATTTCAAAGCACGATAGTAAGGGGGCAACAATGATATATATGAGTATTATCTCCAAATCAGTGACTCAAAAGTACACCTGCATTTAACCCTTCTAACAATACTTACACAAACCTTTCTCTTCAAAGAGCTCCGAGAAATCAGTAGTGTTACTAAATCAGGATTTTAATTAGAGGTTTTCGAATTAGGTGAGAGAATCTTAAGTCTTCTCCATTTCTCTATAGTTTTTTAAGGCGCACCTCGGATTAAAAAAAAAAAAAGTAAAACAACCAATTAAAACTTAAAACTGGTTTTCCACGAGGAACTCTGTGAGCACTTGATGGCTAGAATTCATTGGAAATCTACACCCACACATACACACAGGCAAGCAAAATGAGTCTAGGGAGGCCAGGTATGGTGGCACGGTGAAACCCAGCAATGGGGAGGCTGAAGAAGGATCGCTGAGAGTTCAGGGGCCAGTCGGGGTTGTGTTAGTTCGAGACCACCTTGGACAACACATTGAGACCTTGACTCCAAGAAAGGAAAAAAAAGAGACGGGATAACTAGCAAGGAGGGTTCTAAGAGTCCTCGAAGGTCGAGCCCCTGCAGAGGCCCCAGCCTTCTCCCCAGCGCGGCCCGCAGGCCTGCAGGTGGCCTGCGGAGGGAATGAGGGCAACTGGCAGCCAAGTGCAGAGGGCGCGGTGGCCTCAGCTTCCCAGGCGGCAGACCTCAGGGACTGTCCTGCCTCTGCCCCAAAGGTCGCCGCGGGGTTGCTGGTCTGCATCCTTGGGGACAAAGGCCCGATTCTCTCCCGGGGCGGGTGGGCGGCCGGGCAGCGCAGGGCGCCGGTCCGCACCCCGCCCAGGATGCCCACGAGGCCTTGCATCCCTGTGGCCAAGGAGGCGCGGGGCCCTCCTTGCGCCCGGGGCGCCCGCGGAGAACAAGGCGCTTGCAGGACGTCGCCAGCCCCGACTGAGCCCGCGCTAGGCCCCTCGAGGCACCGGCCACCCCGTCGCGCGGCCTCGCCCCCAGCACCCGCCCGCGACCGCAGCCCCTCTCACAATAGCACGGCCCCTCCCTCCGCCCGCCTCCCGCGCCCGCCCGGCTTCCCCGCGCATGCGCCCTGAGGCCCGCGGCGGCGGCGGCGGCGACCAGCGGCTCCGTTTTTTTAAAGGGAAACGCGGAGGCGCCGGGGGAGACTGTGGGGGAGGGGCGGGCGCGGCGGAGACCCCCGGGGCGGCGGCAGACCCCCCTTCTGGCACAGACGGACGTTTCTTTCTGCCCCTCAGCGGGCGCGCGGGGAACATGGAGGCGCGGGGCGGCTGAGGCGGGCGCCAGCGGGGCGGGCGGCGGGGCGCGGGGTGGCGGAGCGCCGGGCGGAGGGCTAGGCGGGCCCAGCCGGGCCGCGGCGGGCTCGGGGATGCGCGCGGGGGCGGCGGGGCGCGGGCGGCGGCGGCGGCGGGGCGCCCCGGGGCCGGCGGCGGGGCTCGGGCTCGGCCGCGGCCCGGTGTCTCCGCGCGCCGAAGGGAGGGCGCCGGGGCCCCGCGGCGGGAGCGGCGGCGGCGGCGGCGGCGGCGCGCGCGGAGCCCGGCGGCCGCGCGGCTGAGGGCGCCCGGCGCGCTCCCCTCCCCCTCCCTCGCCGTCGCCCGCGGCCCGCGCTCGCCCCCTCCCCACCCCTCCCCCGCCTCGGTCCCCGCCGCGGTCTCGGACCACTAGGACCATGCGATCGGCCGTGTTCAAGGCGGCCGCGGCGCCCGGCGGCGGCAACCCGGAGCAGCGCCTGGACCTGGAGCGGGCGGCGGCGCTGGGCGGGCCCGAGGACGAGCCCGGGGCGGCCGAAGCCCACTTCCTGCCGCGGCACCGCAAGCTCAAGGAACCGGGGCCACCGCCCGCCGCCGCCTCAGCCCAGGCCCGCGGCGCGGTGCTCCCGGCCGGTGCGGCGCCCGGGCAGCCTGAGGAGAACTGGGGCGGATCGGCGCCGCTACCCTGTCCGCCGCCCGCCACCAAGCAGGCCGGCATCGGCGGGGAGCCGGCCGCGGCGGGCGCGGGCTGCAGCCCTCGGCCCAAGTACCAGGCGGTGCTGCCACTGCAGACCGGCTCGCTCGTGGCCGCCGCCAAGGAGCCGGCGCCCTGGGCCGGGGACAAGGGCGGGGCGGCCCCGCCGGCGGCCACCGCGTCGGACCCGACGGGGCCCCCTCTGCTGCCGCTGCCTGGGCCACCGCCCCTCGCGCCCAGCGCCGCGGCCGGGACCCTGGCGGCCGGCGAGGCCCGATGGAAGGGGGTGCGGAAGAGCCCTCTCGGGGGTGGCGGCGGCTCGGGGGTCTCCAGTCAGGCCGCCTGCCTCAAGCAGATCCTGCTGCTGCAATTGGACCTCATCGAGCAGCAGCAACAGCAGCTGCAAGCCAAGGAGAAGGAGATCGAGGAGCTCAAGTCCGAGCGGGACACGGTACGCGAGGGGTTAAGCGGCGTGCGGGCCGCGGGCACAGTGCGCATGCTCCGGGAGAGGCCGCCGGGGTCCCCGCGGTTAGGGCTGGGGGCGGCCACCCGCGCTGGAGCGGTGCCTTGGTGCTGGGTCCTCGGCAGCTGGGTCACAGACCTGCTGGATCCGAGGGAAGGGTTAAAGGGCAGCAGTAGGGTTGGGGTGGAAGGGGGCACGTCGGGCGCTCAAAGGGTTAATTTAAAATGACAGCCCCAGACTTGTGGGAAAGACGTTTAGAGTTGGGGACAGAGCTGATCTGTGAGGTGTTAGAAAGGAAGGGGTGTCTTGCAGATGGCGGAGCGCGTGGAAGGGGTTAAATAAAGCACTCAGGCGTTGGAAGCTCACTCGGAGGGGAGGGGCAGGGCAGGTAGCTGTTGCCGCCGGGCTGCAGCATCTGCGAGACCAGGAGGGGGTGGGTCTAGGCTTCGGAAAGGGCTGCGGGGAGAGGCGTTTTTCTGTGGAGTCTTGTGTCGCCTCTCATAATATTGTTACAGAATTAGCGGCTTTGATTCTGGAGTTTGAAATAGGGATCTGGATTCTAAACACGACCCACTGGACAGGTTCCTTGTGTAAGAATGGTGTTGGAAACTGGAAGGCAGCAGGGGAAACTAAGCTTGTTCGGTGCATCCAGTGACACCCCCTGCTGTGCCAGAGCCTCAGAGTGGTCGGGCGGTCCTGTGTGATTTCTTTGTACTTCCGAGGAGCGTGACTATCCTGGTTCGTTCCTACTGCCGCAGAAGTTCAGGGCACCCTGCACTAGACATGCTGCTCGGGGAGCTGGGTAGTGGGGTGTTGGGTGCTGGCCACCTTTCAGCCGCCTAAAAATAAACATGGTTTCTACAATTGTTATGTTGGGGCTGCAGCAACATCTCTCTCTTTTTTTTTCTCGGGCTCTCTGGCTCTGGCGTTGTGTGGTTTTGTGCGCCAAAGGCTGAGCCAGGGACCAGAGAGAGCTATTCATTTTGTTTGCCTTCCAAATGAGTCGCATCAAGCATCCCTCTTATTGGAGAATGCTTTCTGCAAGGTGGAGTGGGCGGGGGCGGCTCTTGTTAAAACTCCCCATGGTGTTGATTTGTGGAAGTTACTCAACATGGAGGTGGCAAGGCCCAGCCTCTATACCGCAGTCTAGGGGTGCGATGCTACCATAATTGCAACACACCATCTCCTTGCACGGGGAGGGGGCGGGAAGAGGAGGGCCCGCAAAGAGGAGGGCCCGCAGGGAGACGGATCCAGGAAATGTCACCCACAACCCGTGGTTAAGTAATGCCAGGGCTGCGAATCAAAACAGATAGGACAAGATGGGATGGGATCCAGGCGGAGAGAAGGGGCTTTCCCTGCAGATGCTGAAGGTGCCACTGAACCCCTGCGCAGGCTTCCCCGGGCAGGGGAAGTGGGGTGAGGTAAGGATAGAAACGGTTTGGAGTTGGCAGTCAGGGCCTCTGTTGTGTATTGCGGTCTAAGCATCGCCGAAGCCCTGCTTTTATTCCCGTGGTGGTTTGGCCTTCCCGGAATCTATGCAGTGGATGTAAGGAAAGCAGCCTTGATAGCTCTGTCTGGCACACAAAATCCTTAGAGTTGGGGGGTGTGAGGAGCATGCTTGATACCTTTTCTCAAAACAGGAGTTGATGGAAGGTTCTAATGCAGGAGGCTTTCATTTTGGCTGAGTATGTAATCTTCTTTAATTAGAGTGAAAAGCATTGGTTTTAAGGAATACTCAGGCAAACACAATGCAGTGTGGGCCCATCAGGTCCACTCAGTCTTTGCTCTGGAGTATCTGGCTTTCAGAGTCCTCTTGGGCCCATACAAACACCACTTTGAAGTAGTGCTGTCCTCACTAGGGCCACTGTATGAGCTTGTAATTCCCTCTCAGAGCACTGTTTGAGTGTCACCACTGTATATAGTTTGGGAGTGGAAGTCAAGGGTAGAATTTGGACAAGAGACCATAGCATTAAAAGACATGCTTTGGCCCTTGCCAGCGGGGAGGATCTGCTTTCCCAAAGAGAACTGCAAATCCCCTTAGCCTTGTCCCATCCTGTCGTGGTCAGCCCCTGCAGTTAAACCCTGTACCTTGTCTTCCCTGTTGTGCTTCAGGAAGGCTGTCCAGATGATTGAAATCAGCTAGATAGGTCTGGGGGTAGACAGCGACCAGTGGCACTTGCCCAGACAGTTCAGAGCCCTGAGCTTGATTCCTGGCATGAGGGGGGAAAAAGAATAGAATTGTAAGTGTCCGCAGAAAGACACTGGAGGCTGTGCTGTCCCGAGGAGGGCTAGATGGCCATATTTAACTTTTTTTGTGTTAAGTCTGCATTCTGCCACTCTTTCTTCTAGCTCCTTGCTCGGATTGAACGTATGGAAAGACGGATGCAGCTGGTAAAGAAGGATAACGAGAAAGAAAGGCACAAGCTGTTTCAGGGCTATGAGACTGAAGAGAGAGAGGAAACAGAGCTCTCTGAGAAAATTAAACTGGAGTGTCAGCCAGAGCTCTCGGAGACGTCCCAGCCTCTGGCTCCCAAGCCTTTCTCGTGTGGGCGGAGTGGAAAGGGACACAAAAGGTGTGCCAATAACATAACATGGTTGTGCTGTGTGGACATGAGGAGGACCCCTGTTACCACGCACCAGGGGTAGGGGATTGGGATTGACAGATTGGTTTTGTAGTAGCCACACCCTGCCGTTGTCTGTGCTGAGAAACTCTTAAAACATCCGCAAGAGCCTCCAGTCTATGTCAGTGCACAGGGCAGAGTGTGCTAGAAAGGGCGGGCAAGGGATGCAAAGCCATGGTTTTCTTCATGCAGTAGAGCAGCTCACGTTAGGCACTGGAGGACAGGAGGGCAGCCTGTAACTGCCTTGGCCACGAGCAAAGGAGGCTGGAGGGAGAAGTAAAATTTTTGAAGACGCAAAGTTCAGTGCACTAAAATAGGCAGGTACAGGACCCGGGTAAAAGCTGCTGCTCACGATTCTGTAGCGTTAAAGGCTGTTCTGAGTTGGTACCTGGTATTTGAGGAGACGAGAGTGAGCCAGCAGGCAGCCAGGATATACTAGGGGTTATAATTAACATGCTACAGGGTGAGAGTAAGAGGGGCTGGTTTCTGGTTTTCGGGGATGAAGTGGGTGTCACGGAGTAGTGGTACCTCAAAGTTCATAGATGACTTTGAATTAGAAGCAGTCTTAATCCAGTTGGTAACAGGATATTATTACAGAGAATTAAGCACTTAATAGTTGTTTACTCCTGGGTGAGGTGGCACATGCTTGTCCACTCTGGAGGGCTGAGGCAGGAGGATCACAAGTTCAACCCAAACTGTCTCAAAAAGCATTCTCGAAAGGGCTGGATACGTAGCTCAGTGCCAGGGCTGTGGTTTCAATCCCTTGGCCACAGTTTACTAAGGGCCTGTCCTGTGTGCTGTAAGTGCGGGCTGGTCCTGCTTGTGGCTTCCAAGTGAGCATCACGTAATAGGTCCCTTGAATAGGTCCCTTGAATACTGGTTCCAACTAGGAATCTGGCCCCAGAGTGTATTCAGGTCGGATTTTACTCATGAGTCAATTTTATAACATTTTCTTCCCGTCTGATAGGAAAACCCCATTTGGAAGTACAGAAAGAAAGACTCCTGTTAAAAAGCTGGCTCCTGAATTTTCAAAAGTCAAAACAAAAACTCCTAAGCACTCTCCCGTTAAAGAGGAACCCTGTGGTTCCTTATCTGAAACTGTTTGTAGACGTGAATTGAGGAGCCAAGAAACCCCAGAAAAGCCCCGGTCTTCCGTGGACACCCCACCGAGACTCTCCACTCCCCAGAAGGGATCCAGCGCCAATCCCAAGGAGAAAGCCTTCTCCAGCGAGACCGAAGACCTGCCGTACCTTTCCACCACAGAAATGTATTTGTGTCGTTGGCACCAGCCTCCCCCGTCGCCGTTACCATTACGGGAACCCTCTCCAAAGAAGGAGGAGACTGTAGCAAGTAAGGCCTAGCGAACACTTGCTCTTATACCCTAGTGGTGGAGGTCAAGCTAACGAGTGTGCAGATGCCGTTGGCATTTTTTAAAAAGTGCAATCGATAAAGCAGAGTTCTGTCAAGAACGAGTAAGTTAACAGCCAGAGACAGACACTGCAGGCATTGCAAATAGATGGAATCCCAGCCAAGTGTGCTCAGTGCATTTGCCTGCTTACAACCTGGGAGATGTGTTTGCCAGTAAGTTGCTCGTCACCAGAGCACCAGACTTGGGGGTGTGTTCTCCGGCAACTTGCATGCCCTCTGAAAGAAGGGGTTCTGTGCTGGGAGACGCATAGAACTTCCCCTGTGCCATGCACGACTGTTCCTGCGATTGATACTGCGTGAGACCGGGGAGGGTGGTCTTTGGGGCTCTCAGGGGCCACTGGTCATATTGGGGTGGGCATCCAGCTCGGGGTGGGGTGTTTCACCTGGGCCTCTGCTCTTCCACTATATAAGCACTCATCTGTATCTCTGTGTCCCGGTCTGGGGGCAGGGGAATCTGCCAAAGGCCAACAGTCTTACTCTCCGCCTCTGCTTCACAAAGGCTCTAAAATGTGAAGAGTTGACTTGGATTTTGCAGTAGCCCATTTGTTGTTCATATATTTAAATAAAATGGTCTACAAACTATTTTTCAAACAAGAAGGACTATCTTGGGATATCTGAGCTGCTTGGGGAGGGCGCGGGGTATGGGACATTGGTCTTCATTCCTTTTTTTGTTTGTTCGTTTGTTTTTCTGTATGGCTCCCACACCGAGGTACTCCTTTCCCTACTCCATCAGCCAGTAACTGGACTGTGCCTGCAGTGGCATCCTGTTAGTGTGTGATAGTCACTCTGGGTGCTGGGGGTGGTGGCGGGAAGCCTTCTTGGATAGAGCCTCAGGCCAGCTTGCTTTGGCCCAGCAGGGACAGGATGGTAATCCATTCCAGTGAGGCAAACCTCCAGGCTTTGTTTGGTTGTGCTGGTGACAACGCTGAGCGGGGAAGACAGATGAGTTGTCAACAGCCACTAGGCCTCTCCTGAGTCCAGGACTAGTGCAGGGTCCTGAGCTAGGTGCCGATTTTTCTTTCCCGTTGGTTCAGTCAGTTGAACAGGTTCGTTCTGAAGGGCTAAAACCCCCCTGCAGCCATGGCCATGCTGGGTAACAGCCTGAGAGCGACCCATGAAGTGCCTCTCATCCGGGACGGGGAATGGCTCGGTCCCCAGCCCTTATATGTGACTGGCTCTTTGTGGAAACCCTGGTCAGGCAAATTGCCAGACCCTTCTGAGGTGAAGGGCAAGAGACTTGAGGCGTCCCGATGCCACGTGAGGGTCTGAGCTACTCCTGTCCTGTGGCACCTTGCTCTTGAAGGCCCCTCTCCAGAGGCAGGCAGTGGCTTTTTCTAGGGAAGCCCCAGTGTTTGTGCGTGTTGTTCAGGCCTGACCAGCGAGGCGTAGTTTGTGTGGAGGGAGGAGGGGCCGTTGAAGAAGACCACGTGTGTAAGTGCTGAGAACACTGATCTTTTATTTGAAAAATAGGGTCAACTTTTACTCACCTGCCATGTTCTGAGTTTTAAGGTTTGATACCCTTGGCCATCAACTGTTGCAGGGAAACCACCCTAAATAATGAAGAAAAGAAGTCGTCTCAGTGTAAAAAAAAAGTGGTGGGCTTATTTTTCTTTTCTTTTGTCTGTCGTTCCCTTTTCCCCTCCCCCAGAGAGAAATTCTCAAAAAGAACAACTCAAAAAACCAAAATGGCTTCCTACTGAGAACTTCAGTGACGACCCTTTTCTCCACTTTGGGTATGGGCTTTTTTTCTTTTTACACTGAGATGATTCTTCTCTCCTGCATTATTTAGGATGTCTGATGCCATCAAGTGTTGCAGGAGAAACTTCAGTCTTGGCTGGTGAGTAGAATAGGATTCGTGCTGGCTGGGCCCGGGTGGGAGTTTTGGGGGGACGGTGGACGGTGGGGAGCCTCGGCCCCCCACCTGTTGGATGCGGGAGAGTGACAGCCCGTGGCCTCGGATCAATTCTGCTCCCCCTAGACCACAATGACGACCATCTCAGTTGTTTTTCAGGAACTGCAGTAGCGTCGGTGATAGGAATGGGCAGGTATTGGCTTAGGGTGTTGTGTGGCCCCGAGTTGGGCAGACTGCAATGCGGTTTAGGTTCTTGGTACCATAGCAAGGACATTGAACTCGGCTTCAGGCGAGGCCTTAGCGTGGATTCCTATCAATCACTTGGTAACTTTGTCGTCCTGGGGAGCGACCTCTTGTCCTAGGGAGAGCTGGAGGGTTGTGTGATTTTTGAATTTAAGGGTGGTTCCACCCCTCCTCTCTTTCTTTTTCTTTCTTTTTTTCTTTTAGTTCCTTCTTGGAGGGACCACTCAGTAGAACCTCTAAGGGACCCAAATCCTTCAGATCTTTTGGAGGTAAGAATCCCAGAGCTGTCAATGGAAGGGAGTGAGAAGTTGGAGAGAATATGGGGATGTCCAGGCCAGGTGTGGGGTACACCCTTACAATCCAGGCTACTTGGCAGCAGGATTGCCTGAGTCTAGGCGTTCGAGACCAACTTGAGCAATATAGAAAAACTGTCTCAAAAAAGATGGGGTGTATCTTGATTGTGTCAAAGTGCTATGTGTGGATGGATTAAATAGTACTTTATAAGCCCAGGAAGGAATTTGAGGGATTATCTAGTCCAGTTTCTTCATTTAATCTGAAATATGATTAAAAAGTAATGGGGAAGCCAAGTGTGGTAACACACATTTATGATCTCAGCACTCAGGAGGCTGAGCAAGAGGAATACTACAAGTTTGGGGCCAGTCTGGACTACAAACTGAGTTCAAGGCCAGCCTGAACTTCATAGTGAGACTCTATCTCAAAAACAAACACCCACATTTATTACAGTAAAAGGCACATGTCCACTAATCTCCCTTAAAATATTTCTCCTCTCCTGAAACACACTTGTCCCATCATTCTTTCCACTTTCTGCAATAGTCCTGAAAGTCCTCTTTCCTTCTTTCTTTCTTTTTTTTTTTTTGTCTTTTTCGTTTTTATTGGTACCAGGGATTGAACTCACGACTGCCTGCTTACAAGGCAGGCGCTTATGCCGCTGAGCTAAATCCCCAGCCCTGAAAGTCCTCTTTCATGAGTGTCTTCAGTTGGGCTGTTGTGACCACCTCAATGTCTCACGTAGACTTAAAATATTTACCTTTTATGGTCATTTTGAATTTGGGGAAGAGCCAGAAGTCATCTACTGCCAGATCTGGTAACCAAGTCGGAATTTTGTTGCTGTTGGGTTACAGGGGTGTGCCACCATACCTGGTTTAAATTGGGTGCTTTTATAAGCCTGCCTTTTGTTATTGAACGGCACTTGGCTCAATATTCACCATATTTTTGATCATATATTTTACATAAGCAAGTTGAGATCCAGAGTAATTAATTATCAAAAACAAGTAGCTGGGGCTGGGGATTCACCTCAGAGGCATGCCGCTTGCCCAGCAAGTGTAAAGTTGTGAGTTCAGTTACTGGCACTGACAAGTAAATAGAGTTCAAAACAAAGACTTCACGCTAAGTAGAAAATGTAGGCTGTACTACTCTTTGACAAAAATTTTGCGTGCTATGCTCATTTGACTTTAAAGTTTTAACATTTTTTTTGTCCTTTCCAGAACTAGGGAACAAACCCAGGGGTGCTCTACCTCTGAGCTACACCTCTGGCCCATATTTCCTTTGATTTTATTTATTTTTATTTTTCGAGACAGGATTTTGGTGTGTCTTTAGGCTGGCCTGAAACTCACCATGAACCCACAGCAATCCTTCTGCCTCAGCCTCTCAAGTGCTGGGATTACAGGCATGAACCACCACGAGGAGCATTACTTTTTATTTTGAGACAGGGTCTAAGTTGCCCAGACTGTTCTTGAATTTGTCTCTGCCTCACGACTTCCTGAGTAATGAGCCACCACACCTGGCTTTAAAATTTGATGTTTTGAACTTAGGTGTTTATAAAGTGTGGAGGTAGAAAAGGCTTCTGGCAATCTTGGGTGTTTCAGTTTGATGTGACTTTCAGCTTGGACAATTTTGGGAATGGTTTTGAAATTGGAGATGCTTAAAGGCTGCTGTGGTGTGAGAGGCGCCTGTGTTGCCTTGATTGCATTCCGAGGAGGTTCATGGGGTTCCCGCAGAGCTTGCAGACTCAGTTAAAACTTGAAAGTGAGCGGTGGAAGTTAGCATGTATCTGAAATGAGGTGATGAGCAGCTTCTCTTCCTGTTCCTCCACAGAACCTGGATGACAGTGTGTTTTCTAAGCGGCATGCAAAACTAGAGCTGGATGAGAAGAGAAGGAAGAGGTAAGGCCAGAGCAGTCCTTGCTGGACCTGAGCCCTGGATTCCCTGCATCCCTCTCAGGCTGTGGGGGGTCCCCGGGCCTCTTAAAGTCTTCTGTTACTGGTGTCGCAGCTGACTCCTTGGAAGTGGCAGTCATTGTAGGTAAACATGTTGGGCTGTTTTCCCCTCTGTGTACCCTTTCTCACTTGCTCTCTGGGCCACCAGCTTGTCACCTGCACTGCTAGAACTAATGAGCTCTGCTCACCATGAAGTCCACTCTCTTGACCCTACCAAGAGCTGTCTACAGGCCTCCTCCTAGATGCTGGGTTTGTGGGGCTTTTGTAGAGCAGATTTTGAGTATGAAGTAGCATTAGGCTTACTTGTTTTGTTTGTCTGGTTTTTTGCAGGTGGGATATTCAGAGGATCAGGGAACAAAGAATTTTACAGCGACTGCAGCTCAGAATGTATAAAAAGAAAGGAATTCAGGAATCGGAGCCTGAGGTTACCTCATTTTTCCCTGAGCCAGATGATGGTAAGTTTTGCTGTCTGAAAAAGCAGGTTTTTCAAAGAAGAAAAGGGGGTAGGCTCCTGGGTACTGCTTGCCGTGCATAAGCAGATTGCACTTTGGAGCTGCGACAGTTGTTAGACATACCTTGTATGTGGCACTAACACAGTCTCATTTTACTTTTTTCATAGTTGAAAGTTTGATGATTACCCCCTTCTTGCCTGTTGTAGCATTTGGACGACCATTACCAAAATTAACTCCACAGTAAGTGTGAAAGTAGGAAGTTTCCTCCCCTCTCCTCTCAGATGACCTGCATTTTACTTAGAATAGAACCAGGTGGGGTTCCAGGGTAATCATGATTGTTTGTTTGTTTGGTACTGGGACTGAACCTAGCAGCACTCTACCACTGAGCTATGTCTCCCACTCCTTTTATTATTTTTTTGAGACAGAGTCTCACTACATAATTCAGGTTGGCCTTGAACTCACAGCTGCCTCAGCTTCCTGAGTCCTAGGATCACAGACACATGCTCCCAATCATTTTTGTTTTGTATTTTGAGACAGAGTCTTGCTGAGTTGCCTAGGCTGACTTTGAATTTGGAATTCTCCTGCCTCAGCCTCCCAAGTATCTGGGATTACAAGCACGTGGCACCATGCCCAGCTTGCAATGATTCTTTGATAAAAGTGAAGGTACATGCACAACGGTTTCTACGGTGATAAGATGCCTAAGCCATGGATGAAGATGTGTTTTGAGTTGAGATAGATTACTCCATTACCTCAGTGGTACACTGACTATTGCTGTGGCTTTGAGGCCAAAAGGACACTCCAGAGTTGAGGAGTCAGGGCCAGAACGGGGAAGGGTGGTTTTCTTCAGGGTTAGTGTTGTGTATGCTGCGAATCTCTTCTAGCCACATGTGTTGATTTTCTCCTGTTTTCACCAGGAATTTTGAGCTGCCCTGGTTGGATGAGCGTAGCCGATGCAGGCTGGAGATCCAGAAGAAGCAAACCCCTCACCGGACGTGTAGGAAGTAGCTGTGCCGCAGGAACCCTCTGTCTTCAGATAGTTGTAGTGCGCCATTCCCTGAGAGTGGCAGAGACCCGTATGTGTGACCTGTGTGTTCACGTATGTCACCGTTCACTGACAGTGCCCTCCCATGCGCCTCGATTCGTTTCGTTCTCACAAAAACTCTTTCATTGGGCTAACTGTGAATTACGGAGGGGGTTGGGATGTCTTTTCCCTTTCGGGGATGTGAGCTCTCAAGCTAAATTTGTAGGCTGGCAGATTTGGAAGTTTCAGTGTGTGCTTCTATACATTGTCCTGAACCAAAGGGTGCAGGGGTGCTTGCTCTGCCCGAGACACAGGAGGACAAGCAAACCAGCACTCGGAGCTATGGTCACCTGGCCCTCTTCTCGCCCTGGTGTACCCTCCAGATAATTGGGGCATAGTGGTTTTTATCCTAGAATAAAGCAAAAAAGTCTCGCCATGAGCATTAGGACTGGTGAAGAATAACTAGCAAGTGGTGAACAAGTCCTCTTCTCAGAGCAGGATAAGAGATGCGCAAATGGTGAAAAGATAGCTGCCCAACACAGCCAGGTGGGGAAGGGCCAGGTGGGAAAGGTGTTGGTTATTTTCTTAGTTAATGAGTAACTGATGCTCTTCAGGGGGCTGCTCTGAAAATCAAATCTCTGGAAAGGAAAATGGGGTATTAGTTTCGGACTGTCTGCAGCCTTAAACAGAAGCAGTCATTTGGGGACCCCCTGCCGGACCCACGTGACTGTCCTTGTCACGTCCCTTCCCGAGTGTCCCTTGGTTGGGGTTCAGCTGGTAGCTGAGCCCTTGGTGGCAGGGTAGGGCAGTTGGGGGGTGGAGGTTGAAGAAACGCGGACCCCTTTGCCTGGCAAACATCTGCACCTTGGAACACACGGCTGGACCTGACGAGCTTCCCCACGCGCTTGGTAAACTAGATTGTACGTGCGTCGTCTTGGTCCCCCTCCCTCGCCCATTTTGTTTAAAAAAAGGAAGAAAAAAGTTCAGGACAGCACTCCCGGGCCACCCGGTTAACTATCTGGAAGGAAAATAGAGCCAAGACCTCGGGTCTTAACTACATAGGAATTGCCTTTCGTTAGTTTTCAGGACTATTGTGTGAAAACAAGTAGGGGTCTAATCTCCTAGGAGGTAGGGGCTTTTATCCTTGAAGAGAAGATGTCCCCAGATTCTTAGCACTTTTAGAGGAGAAGCCAAGGTATGTGGGGTGCGGGGCCGGCCCCTCGGTGGAGCGTGAGAGGGTGGTTTACCCTGGTGGGGAGAGAGAACCCTCAGGGGCCTCCACTGCTGAGGCTCATCTGTGCCCCCAGGTTCACTTGGAGAGGAACTGCTGCAGCGGTATGTGTGGTGTTCTCGGATGATCTTGCTGCTCTTATTTCTCCTTTGTGTGCATGTGTGCCTGCGCGCATGCGTGCGTGTACAAGTGTGCGTGAGTGTGGCTGTAGGTTTTCATTTGTAATTCCATCTGCTTAGGAGAGGGGACTGTCTGTAAAGGGACCTGCTGTAAACTTCACTGCAGCAAGGGTGTAGGGTGAAATAGGACTTTATTCCACTAGGGGCTCTCATCTCATACCTTAAGGACAAGATTTCTAGAGAAACTGGGCCAGGTTTTCTTTGTTCTCCATGATTTTAACGTGGCAAGCTGTTCTGTGTTCCTACCACTGACCTGCCTACCTTATGTTCCTTTATAATGTGCCCTGAATAGAAAACACCCCAATCAGTGTCTTTATGATCCTGCTCAGTTTCTTCTTGGTTTCAGCCTTTATCACGGTCCTAATTTTGGGTAAGAGTTAGCAAATTTAAGCTTCACATTTTTGCCCTACACAGGGGCCTCCTCAGACACTGAACTCTTATTTAGACTGCGAGAATCCATCAGGTGCTATCTGGCCAGACTTAAGTGGATTCTTTTCCTCTCTTCTCCTTCCCTTGAGGACGTCTTCTGTTATTGTCCCTCTTCAAGATCTGTTCTCCTTTGATTTGGGTGTGTTGAGGTTTACTGAGAAGGAGGTTGGAGCGAAGTTCCAAGAGTTGAAATCACAGTGTGTTAGAGCATGGGGGGAAAATCAGTCTAATTTTTCCTTACATGGGATAAAACGTGAAGTTCAATCTTCCACCGAAGGCCCTGCAGTTCTCCTAAAACATAGTTCTTTGTTTCTTTCTTTAACAAAGTTTAAGCTAGCGTTAATAAATTAAAGAGAAATTGCTTGTCTCCACTTCAGCTTTGTTTTATGCTCATTTCATATTGTTGTCTGTGTTGTAATTCATACTTTTGATACCATTTCTGATGTGTAAAATTGGTTGTCTTGTAAATATCTTATAAAGAGTTCAATTGTAAATAAACTATTGTGGCTGTTAACTTTTTGAACTGCTGCTTCAATTTATTAATCTGTTGGGGAAACATTAAATAATGCTGTCTAAATGCTTGAAAGATTGGAAGAAACTGACTTCAGTAGCAGAACAGTCATTTCTCCTTTGTACAAGGTGCATGTTTGTGTCTGAGTGCTGTGTCGCATCCCTCCGTCCAGATTGCTTCCTCACATATTGGCAGCGTTCAGCCTGGGATTGGAGGAGGTCTGATATGTGGTGTCATAAGTAGATAAAACCTCATAGTTGAAAAGACCTTTCCGGTTATCTGGTCTGACCCTGATCTGTGATTTCTCCTGCCCAATGTGTCCAGACATTAAGTCCAGCTTCTGCCTCAACTCGATGTCCTCCCTATTATTTTTTTTTCCTATTGATAAATGTTTGAAAATTCTTCATCCTTTACCAAATCAAATTTCCTGTCATTTGAACCCATTTGTTCCTGCTCTCCCCTTCCAGGGTAATGAACAAAAGATCAGTCCCTTCTTTTGCTCAGAGTTCTGACAGTTAAGGTGGCTGAGACAATATCCAAGGCTTCTCTTCATTTCCAGGTCTTGTAATTGTTCCTCAAAAGAAAGGATTCTGAAATTTCAGTTCCCTTTGGCTGACAGAACAGTGTATCCGTGTCCAGTCAGAAGCTGGACTCCAACACAGCACCGAAGGACAGCACTTGGTTGTTCCTTCCTTTGTGTGTAGACATCATGCTTGGCATCGATCGATAGAGTTTTGAAGTGGTTTTTAGCCCTTATTAAAGCTTACAGGCACTTTTTTTTTTTTTGGTCTTTTTTCCTTTTTACCGGTACCAGGGATCGAACTCACGACTGCCTGCTTGCAAGGCAGGCTCTTATGCCGCTGAGCTAAATCCCCAGCCCCACAGGCACCATTTTGAACTCGGGTTTTAGAGCTGGACTTACAAGTCCTTGCATTCAGCCACTTGTCTAACCAGTTAAGATTGTTTGAATCCCCATTCAGCCTCTGAAGGCATTCGTAATTCCTTCTAAAGTGTCCATAAATGTGATAAACATCAGGATCCTTAGTCGTATCATTTATAAGGACATTAGCATGCCATCCTGGGTGGTATCCTAGTGACTTATTTGGCATTATTGTGCTCTCAGTAGGTGAACGAGTACCTTGGCTCAGGCATTATTGTATGTGCTTGTTGTGGTCCAAAGAAAAAACACTTTTTTATTGGTAAATCTCTTGCCATAATCGAAGCATTTTTCCTGGTAATCCTTCACAAAGGTCTCACTTGATTTTGAACGGAACACCCGTTTCTACCCATCATGTCTTTAAGGCGGCCCTAACATCTCGGTAAAGCGCCGAAGCATCAGAGCAGCCTGGCTGGGGTGGGAAGGCAGGAAAAGGGAGAGGGAATAACAGCACACCCTGCAAACGCAGGTCCCCTGGCTGCACCGCAGACAACTGCCCTCTCCTCACTCTGGCCGTGTGGCAAATCTGACGCAGCACTATGGCTTCAGAGGTTCACTTTGATTTAGGATTTTATTAAGCAAAAAATGCATAAAATGCTTTGTCTCAAACATCAGTGGAAACAAGAAATGGAAACAGCCGCTGTGTTGCAGCAGCGATGGGCAAGAGCTACCACCAGGAAAGCCCAAGATGGCCGGGCCGGGGAATCAAGGAGACTGCGGGTGTCCGGCTCCCCCAGCCCCGCGCCTGCCGCGGGAAGTCAGCAGCCGCGCCACGCCCCTGACGTCATCCCGCTCGCCGGACAACGTGCCGCAGGGCGCAGCCCCGCCCCTCAAAAATGGGAGGGGAGGAACAGGCTCAGCTCGCGAGGCATGCCGGGACTGGCACCCGAGCCTCCCGGCAGCCTCTGCGACTGCCGCGCTGCGTCGGAGCTGGCCGGCGACGGCCGTTCTCCGCAAGATGGCGGATCGGCGGCGGCAGCGCGCTTCGCAGGACACAGAGGACGAGGAATCTGGAGCTTCGGGCTCCGACAGCGGCGGCTCTTTGGCGCGGGGAGGTGGGAGCGGTGGCGGCGGCAGCGGCTCCCTGCCTTCGCAGCGTGGCGGCCGCTCCGGGGCCCTTCATTTGCGGCGGATGGAGAGCGGGGGGGCCAAGAGCGCCGAGGAGTCGGAGTGTGTGAGTGGGCGGGACGGGGCGGGGCGGGGCGGATCGGATCGGATCGGATCTGGGCTCCGGGGCTTCTCAGAGTCCCCGGCGAGTTTGCATCACTGCAGAACTCACTGGAGGGAGGGCTGGGGCGGGGGGCGCTCCCCGGGAGGAACGCACGTCTGCTGTAGATGCAAAGCGGGTGTTTATTTGGGAATTGGGGGAGGAGCCGTAGAGACCAAGCCTCCCTTGGATGCAGTTTGTTACATTTACCTTTCTTCCCTGTGCGACCGTCTTGCGTTGAGCGTTTCGCAAGCGTTTCTTTATTGCCCGCCCCGCTTCTGGCCATCACAGCTAACCCATGTCTTCTCTTTAGGAGAGCGAAGATGGCATGGAAGGTGATGGTGAGTACCACCCTTGGCCTCCTTCCACAAGAGCTATCTGGCACAGAAGCGCAAGTACTGGTTTTTTCACCTGTGATCCATCTTTGACTCTTACCGAGGGTTGCTGCAGAGGAGGGTGCCGAGGGCTAGGGTTTCGATATAGTGGTTAAGAGTGTAGGTTTTGGCGCTACAGGCCTGGCCCAGCAGTCACACTCAGCCGGGTCCTTTCCCTGTATATAAGTGGAGACTATAATTTTATAATTTTACCTGCCTCATAGGTCGATGTCAGAATTAAGTGAGTGTTCTAGCCTGTCAGGAATATAATGTAATGGTGTCTAGCCAGTCAGGAATATAATGTAATGGTGTCTTTCCTTCATGTATTTCTGTTTTCTTTCAGCCGTTCTCTCGGATTATGAAAGTGCAGAAGATTCAGAAGTGAGTGTAATAGGTTCTTTTTTCTGTGGCGTAAGTCGGAAAATGTGTTTTAAAAACATATATGTGTGTGGTGTACAAATACCATGACCTACTTGTTTCTGTTGTACATTTTTCATTTATGTTTCTTTTTTGCTTTTGTTTTGTTTTGTGTTGTTTTTGTCGTTGAGACAGGATCCAGGCTGACCTTAATCTTACTATGTAGCTCAGGCTAGCCTTGAATTTGCAGCAGTCTCCTGTGTCAGCCTCCCAAGTACTGGGGTTACAGGCGTGCACTACCATGCCCAGTTCTAGTTTGTGTTTCTTAAAAACAGAGGGAAACATTTTTTTCAGTGAGTGATGAAAACCTGGGCCAAGCCTGCTCAAGCTACAGGTGTCTCACTGTTAGGTAGTAGTTGACATCTGCATCTATTTGAAGAACATAATGTTCTAAATAAGAGAATGGAAACATTATTAAGTCCTTGAGGTTATGTTTGAGATTCGTTTTATACTAAGCTGAGAATCCAGCTAGTTGGATTCCCCCGCCCCAAGAATATCTGAAAAGTTTGAAAGGCCAGGATTCTGAGTGATTTGTGGCAAAAGCATGTGTGGGGCTTCTTTTTTGTCTTTAGGAGAAAGTTTTCCAGCAGGAGACATTTGTGAGTTTATTTGATGGGATAAATAACTACAGATAGCATCTGAATAGTACAGTTTTCTTGATTGGAGTCCTAAGTTCTGGGTTTTGGCTATGGGATTAAATGCAGGTATGATTGGATTATGGATCAAGTTTATTCTATAAATTTGTTTGCTTTTTGAGGCAGGGTTTTGCTATGTTATTCAGGTTGGCCTTGAACTCACTGTGTAGCCCAGGTTCACCTTGAACTCCAAACAGCTCTTCTGCCTCAGCCTCCCAAGTATTGGGATTACAGGTGCGTGCCCCCATGCCCAGCCTAGTCTATAAGTTTTATAGAACTTTTAGCTATATCTCAGACTGTTTTGAGCCCTTGGAGTTGCAACAGTGATTGCTGTTGTATGGATTCCTGTTTTTAGGAATTTTACAACTCAAGGAAACCAAATACTCAGGCAGTCATGTTGTCATGGAGAAAATTAATTCCCAACTGTTATGTGTCACATGTGCTGAGTATGTGTCTCTCCATACTAAAGAATGGGTCAGAGGACAAAAGAGGAGGAAACCTTGATTGAGAGAAAGCTCCTGAGAGATAGAAGAGGTCCCAAAAGTGGTTGGCCACTGAGGCTCTTTGTTCAAAGGTTTATTTTAGTTTATTTTTTGATTTTTTGAGACAGGCTCTTGCTGTATAATGCAGGCTGGCCTTGAACCTGCTTATATAGTCCAAGCTAGCCTTCAACTCAGAGTGATCCTTCTTAGGGGCTGGGGATTTAGCTCATTAGCATAAGCGCCTCCCTTGCAAGCCTGTGGTTGTGAGTTCGATCCCTGGTACCAGTAATAAAAAAATAATAAAAATAAAAATAAAAAAACAGTGATCCTCCTGCCTCAGCCTCCTGAGTGCTAGAATTACAGATGTATGTCACCGTGTCTGGCTTTTCGAAGGATGTTTTATACAGTAAAATCACAGTGTGGGTAGCTTTAGTGTTAGACTACTATTGACATGTATTCCAAACCTAGTCACTTAGCTAAGATTGGTCCAGTAGGGTATATGATGAACATTATTAACTTCAGCTTCTCTGTAATTCTTTTCATCTTTTGGAACCGGGAATGGAATTCAGGACCTCACATTTGCCAGGCAGGGGCTGTGCTGCTGAGTTGTACCCGGGCCATGTGATGGAACAAAGGCCCACCAGGAAATGTGGGCCAGGTTGTTCTGGTCACCCAGTATGCATCCGACACCTGTCTGGGCTCATTGGACCAGGACTTGCTAATGACACTGTAACCTCCTGCATGAAGCCTGGTGATCTTTAAGTTTGCCTCTAGCCACAATTTTGACATGCATCTCATCTGACTCTCAAGGCCTGATCCCTCTCAAGGGTGCCCTAGCTCAGCTCTCTAATAATGCAACTTGGTGACAGCCATAGGGATACCCAGGGTGCTGAGGTTGGGCATTAAATCCACCATGGGCCCAAGGAAGCTGCAGGCAGGGGAAAACAGGTGAGGAAGTCCAGAGGCAGAAGAGAAGAGTCAGTCTTTGGGAACTGGAAGATAGTTTGGTGTGGAAGTGGAGGTGAGTGGTGAGTGGCATGGAGTAGGATGGGGCCAGGAAAACAGAATTGGGCAGAATGGAAGGTGCTGCGTGGTTGGGGTGGGTGGCGCTTGTGGTTGTGATGGAGAATGGAAGCTGCGTTGGGCAGGGTGGAAGTCCGGTGAGGTTCAGTGACCAGGTGGGGGAAACAGTGGCTCGGGTGTCTGTAAGGAGAGGGCTTGGTGCTTGCTTGTTGGTTAGGATGCCCCAAAGAACATGGTGGCAGTGGTGGTCCCAGTCCCATGGGGACGGAGCCGAGATATTTCACTGGAGTAGGACCAGAATTAAAGTGCAATCAAAGCAGTGTCCAGGTCCATGAGTGCTGATGGTGAGTTCCTCAGATGAGATGGGATGAGACACAGGCAGGGCAGTAGTGAGCTAGGTTGGGGGCCTCCTTTCCTCTGTTTTTTCTTTGTTCTTTTCCTTTCTTTGCTTTGCAGTGCTGGTAGTGGATCTGAGGGCCTAATGCATGCTAAGTAGCACTCCCAGCCAAGTTTGGGGTGTTTTGAATTAAGGAAGCAGTGAGACTTTCAATGGTGATGTCTGATTTCAGATTTCTGATTAATTTCTCATTCCTTCCTGAATGAGAAGGGATTGCTGGTAGAGGCAGCAGAGGTTGTGGTTCTGAGACAAGTCTGGCTCAGGCCGGCATTGAGCTTGCAATGAGCCTGCCTTGGCTTTTCTGGTGTTGGGATTGCGGGTATGTGCCGCCATTCCTGGCTCTTGAGTTTTTGTGTTTGAGTTTTTCTAATTCTGACTTGCAGTCTTCCACACCCTATAGTTCCGTATTTCTCTTTGTCTTTCCTCGGTATTGAACCCAGGGCAGTAAACTGCGACCCTCCTACCTCCCTCTCCCCTTTTTTGAAAATTTTTGAGACAGGGTCTTGCTGAGTCGCTGAGTTGTCTGAGCCGGACTGTCGGAGCTCAGACTCCGCCTGCCTTAGCAAGTCTCACTGTAAATCACTCTTGATATCTTTTTAGTTCATTTTGAAATAAAAGTTGCATTTTTGGTATGATATCCACATATCTGTTTGGCATGCTTTTATTGAGTGCTATTCTTATTTTCCCTCTTGGAATTAATATCTGTATTTTCTATTCTTTTTTATGTAGATTCGGTTTTTCTAGAAAGTGTGGTACAGGATGGCTTTCTCTGACTTCACAGAACTCCCCCTTCCGCTATTTGCCTGTATGGTGGCTTGCCATGTACAGTGGCGCATGCCTGGAATCCTGGCATTCTGGGATGCTGAGGCAGGAGGATTACAAGTTCCAGCCCAGCCACTTAGGAAGACCATGTCTTACAGTTAAAAGGAGAGATTGAAGAGGGCTGGAGAAGCTCAGTGAGGAGGCCTGGGTTCAGCCCCAGCTGCACAGAAACAAGGCATAGTGGCTGCTTTAGGAGATTCCTTGCGTTTGTTCTGGACCTTCTCAGTGCCGGTCAGTTTGGTTTTCCCCTTCTGTGTGCTGGAAAGCAACCTGACAGCTAGGTTAGTTTGGTACCTTCAGCCTTTTTGTGTGTTTTGAGATAGGGTCTTGCTATGTAATTCAGGCTGACCTTGAACTCATGGCAGCAATCCTTCTGCCTCTGCCTCTGCCTCCCAAGTGCTGGAATTAGAGGATTTGCTACCATGCCCAGCCCTTTTTGGGTTTTTGAAACAGTGTCTCACTGTGTAATGCAGGCTGGTCCCAAACTCAAGGCAGTCCTCCCGCCTCAGCCTCCCTGAGTACTGAGATTACAAGCATATACCACCTTGCCCATATTAAAATGGACCTAAGTGCAATCATTACTAAGATAGTTTCAGAACATTTTTATTTTAAAATCGAGCTGAAAGGAACAATATATGTATAAATTCATTGTTACCCTCTAACTGCTGTGTTGTGGTTTTGTTTTTTCTCTTTAAAATAGATTTGAAAAGAAAAAAAATAATCCCCTCTTAAACAATCGAAAATAAAACCACATCGATCTTTTTCCCTTTGGCTGCCAACCATTCTATTCCCCCATTACCTTCCCTCAGCAGCCATGTAGGTACCCTTTGTTTTTGAGTCACAGTTTCACTGTATGGTTCAGGTTGGCCTGAAACTGGAACTCACAGTGATCTTCCTGCCTCAGCCTCCCAAGTCTGGGATTATAGATACACGCCACTGTGCCTATGCATGTACTTCTTAATTTCTGTAGGTTTTCCTCTTCTGGCTTTTTATATGGGTGGAATCATAAAATATTTGTATTTTTGTGGCTGGCTTCTGTCATTTAGCATGACATTTTCAATCATATGTTAGCATGTATCATTTTGTCCCCGTTCCCCCCCCCCCAGTACTAGGGATTGAACCTAGGGCTTTCACACTGTGGTATACCCCGAGTCCTTTTTTATTTAAGTCTAATTTTATTGTGGTATTGGGGATTGAGCCCAGGGCTTCCACACTGAGCTATATCCCCAGCCTATTTTTGTGTTTTTTTGATTTTGCAACAGGATCCTGCTGAGTCAGTAAGTTGTTCAGGCTGGATTCAAACTTAAGGCCCTCCTGCCTGCCTCAGCCTCTTGAGTGCTGGGATTAGAGGTGTGCCACTGTGCTGAACTGCGTGTGTAGCACAGTATTTGCCATGTCATTCATTAGGTTTTCCAGACTTCCCACTGAAGTTGGTGCTGCTTGGCCCAGGTGACCCTCTCACTCCTACCCCACGGGCCTTAGTTGCCACCTTTTCTGGAGTGTGAGGTCTTCAGATTCCACTGAGTTATCCACCCCTGTGGTCACATGTGGCAGGATTTCTATTTTCAGGGCCTCGTGCTTTATCCATCTGTGGGCCCTCCAATGGCTTCTTTCAGGGCTTCCAGGGCTGAACAGTTCAGCCCTGAGCGCTTGTGCCCAGGCTTTCGTGTGGGCAGAGGTGGTCGCATCCCTGGAGCATCACCTCGGTGCATTGGAGGACCGGTGTTTAGTATCCGAGGCACTGCCAGCCTCGCTGCCAGAGCGCCGTGCTGCCATGTGGCCATCATTCCCAGTAGCAAGTGAAGGGCTTGGATTTCTCAGCTTCCCCAGCAGCACTTTTGCCTGATTATTGTTGCAGTAGGTGGGACACTATGTTTCGTTCTGGTTTGAAGATCTTAATTGGAGAAATGACTGCAAGGTATTTTGTATCTTACTAAATTAGGTTATTTTGAAACAAAATTGATGGTAAAATTAGGAGTTTTTTTTTAATGATAGCATTATAGGAGTTCTTCATTTTCTGTATAAGTTCCTTTTGAAGTATGGTTTACATATTTTTTCCCATTCTGCTTTTTATTTTTTGGCTTTTTGCTATAAAAAATGCTGTTCTTTGAAGCACAAAGACTTTAATTTTGGTTAAGTCCAATTTATCTGTTTTTCTTTTTGTTCCTCCTATTTTTGATATCCTTCGTTAGTCCTTTGCCATAGAGCATGATGGTGCACGCAGCTCCTTAGGATGCTGAGATTGGATAATTGAAGATTTGAAGCTAGCCTATGCAGTATAATAAAACCCTGTCTTGAAACAAAACTTAAAAGGGGCTGGAAACTTAGCACAGTGCCCCCTGGGCTCAGTCCCCAGTACTGTTAAAATCAAACAAACTTTTGTTTTTCAATCTCAGAACCATAAAGATTTATCTGTGTTTTCTTCTGAGAGTTTTATAGTTTTGGCTCCTACATGTAAGTCTTTGATGCATTTCAAGTTAGTGTTTGTGTGCAGGGTGAGGTAAGAGTCTCCCTGCGTTCTTTTGCATGTGATAGTTTTCAGGGACCGAAGGATTTAAGGTCTCGGAAGCAGAGCAGCTCTGTTTGGACGAGTTACTAGTGGGGAGGTAAAGACTAGCCTGCTCATGTTCAAGTCTGACAGGGTAGGAGGGGCTTTATGGAAGCACTGACATAAAATGAGGCCGAAAAGCTGGGTACAGTGGCTCCTAGCTTTAATTCTAGTTGCTCAGGAGGCTGAGGCAGGAAGATCACTTAAGGAACTCAAGACCAGCCTGAGCATTGTGAGACCGTGTGTGTGTGTGTGTGTGTGTGTGTGTGTGTGTGTGTATTATACATATAAACCCTGCAGTGTGTGTATGTATGTAAATTAACAAGATGGGGCCAAGGAGAGACATTGAGAGAGGAAAGGCCCTCAACCCATCTTTTACTCTGAAATATGTGGAGAGTTGAATCCTCTGCATGGGAAATCTTAAGGTTTGCAGTTGATTGAGGGCAAAGCTACTAAGAGCAGGAGGAGCTCACTGAATTGTCGACAGGATCCCCTGTCTCAAGAAAATGGGTTTTGACAGCTGGGTGTGGTGGCAAACACCTGTAATCCTAGCATTTGGGAGGCTGAGGCAAGAGGAGACTTGCAAGTTCAAGGCAAGCCTGGGCTACAAATTGAGCTCAAGGCCAGCCTGAACTGCATAGTGAGACCCTGCCTCAAAAAGACAATAAATACATTAATAATTTATAAAGATGAGCAAAGGGGTTCAGTTGACATCCTTTGGGCACAGTGGTGTGGCTCTGGTAGTCCTTGGTGGCAGTTGGATCAGGCTTGGGTTCTAATTTGGAGTCTCCACAGCACGATGCTATCTTTCTATTCTGTGCTGGAAACAAAATTAGTTTCTCTCCTGGAAGAAAAGAGTCACCTCATTTGACATCTACCATAGACCAGAGTTGGGTAGAGCCCAAAACAAAGTCCCTCATTAATCACACTGGTGCTATTTTAAAATGCTGGGATTTGGTCTATGTGTATGTGTGTGTTTTGGGGGCTTAAAGTCCCAAGTGGGCCCTAAGCACATTTTTGTCTTTCTCTCTCCAGTCCTGTGGGGACATAGGATCAGTGACCCACATTAATCAGAGGAGGGGAGCAACATAATCCAGGGGAACAGGAAGAATCCAAGGGGGTTTGGTCATTAAAAACTGCAGGTGGGGCCAGGCATGGTGATGCATTTGTCTAATCCCAGTACTCAGGAAGCTGAGGCAGGAAGATCACTGTGAGGTTGAGGCCAGCCTGTCTCAATAAAATAAGCTGTAGGAGACTGGGTGTGTTGGTGCACACTTGTACCCCACAGTGCTCAGGAGGCTGGGGCAAGAGGATTGCTATGAGTTCTGGCCACTAAACTGCATAGCAAGGCGCAGTCTCAAAAAAATTGTATGAGTTCAGAGCCATCTGGAATTGTGAGACCCAGTCCTAAAAAGACAAAAAATCAGATGCTGTAGGTGAGGTTGCATCAGGTGGTCTCTTGACAGTTCTCTGTGCTGGGGGCTGGGCAGACAGGAGAGAGGAAGAGCAGGCCTAGGGATGTCTGAAGAAAGGTCACACCCCAGGCACTGCTCACCTACCCGGGACTCTCACTGAGTCTGATCAGTGTCCAGGCCAACCTGGGGCCAGAGAGGGCAGGCAGGAGAGCAAGAGACCCAGCTGTGGGACGAAATCCCCTTCCCAAGAGCCTATGTCTGTCTGTCCTTGCAGGTTAGAACCTGCTGCTTCTGTGTGGCTCAGCCACTGTAGGTCCCGATCTAAGAAGAACAGGAGAAAAACCCTGTTCTCCTGAGCCTTAACTGCTTATCTCCCTGCCCCGTGTTCCCCACGCCTGTTTCCTGTCTTTCCAGTGACGCTAGGTGTGGGGAGATGCAACAGAGTTGGCAGGGTTAGCCAGCCTTTTATATTTTCTTTCCTTCTCAGGAGAAAGGGTCCTGCTGTGTAGTCCATGCTGGCCTTGGACTGACTAGCCAGGCTAGCCTCACACTCAGTGGCCATCCTCTTGCCTCAGCACCCCCTTTTTTGGTACTAGGATTAGAACTCAGGACCTGTGCTTAACAGGCAGATGCTGTGCCACTGAGCTGCATCTCTGCCCTGCCTCAGCCTCCTGGGATGTCCACCATACCAACAGCTTATTCAGTGTTGCTGTGGTAAGAGAAGAAAAAGATCATGGAGAGGCAGGAGCACTTTCCAGGTCAAAGTTTTTTGTTTTATTCTGTTTTGGTTTGGTTTATTTGTTTTGGTACTAGAATCAAACTCAGGATCTTGCACGTGCCAGGCAGGTACTTGTGCCACTGAGCTATAGCCCTGGGCCCTTCCAGGTTGAAGTTTTAGAGTTGCAAGTTTTTGCTCTCAGTTCTGAGGTTTGAGCTATGTGCCCAGCTCTTGTTTAATTTGAGACAGTGTCTTACTAAGTCTCTTAAATTGCCCAGGCTGGGCTCAAATTTATAACACTCCTGCCTCAGTCTTCAGAGAGCAGGGATTAGATGCACAGGCTAGGCTCATAATTAATTCTGCGGCACGATTCTAGGTGGAGTGGTGGGCTCTGGGAACCTTGCGGTGCGGAAAGTGTAGCGCTTATGTTGTAAGACATAAAAAATGTTAAGTCTCAGGTCTGGGAAGTGTAGTTGACACAAGAGCACATGTGTGCCATGACCTGTGTTCAGTCCATAGCACTGGAACAGACATGTGGACAAAGCCTGGGTGGCATTCGACTGTGGTCCCCGAGCTGGGGAGGCTGAGGTGGGAGGATCCTGCAAGTGAGTCCACCTGGGCTGCATAGTGAGACCATGTTAAAGAAACAGAAGAAAGTTCAGAAGTGTAAGGCGCTGTTTCCCACCTTAGGGGTAGCAGTGCCTCCCAAAATCAATTACAAGGAGTCTGGGCCCCACCCCCTACCCCCCATCCACAGGTTGTGTATCCCACTGGGCAGACATTTCAAGTATATCAGTTCCTAAAGGCTGGGCTTGCTCTAGACTGTGATACCTAGCTGCTGTTCTTCATTACAGATTCCTCAGTCTGGGTGCTGTCTTGGAAGTTTTCAGTCTTAGGTTAGACGGGCATTTGTAACTGGAAACTGAGAATTGAGGCCGTTTTGAGATGAGAAGAGTCACAGAGTCACAGTTTAAAGAGGGCCGCAGTTCGTTTGTTTTTTTTGCCTTTTTGAGACAGGGTCTCGCTCTGCAGTTCAGGCTGGCCTGGGGCTCAGTTTGTAGCCCAGGCTGCTTTCGAACTTGCAAGGATCCTTCTGCCTTAGCCTCTCAAGTGCTAGGATTACAGGTGTGTGCCACTATGCCCAGCTTGAGCTGCAGTTTCTAGGCCCTGCTCATTTAGATAGAACTTGCAGAAGGGGAGACAATCTCTGTGTCCAGTGCAGTGACGCCTCCTGTCCTCCCACCACACCCCAGGTCTCTTTGCAGTCTGCCATTGCTCACCTTGCCTTGCTGCTCTGGCAGTGTCTGGGGTGTGTGTGTGTGTGTGTGTGTGTGTGTGTGTGTGTGTGTGTGTTTGCGTGTGAATATCCCTTTCAGATCTGTTCCAACGACTGATGGAGACTCTTGCAGGGTGAGGAGGGGGAGTACAGTGAAGAGGAAAACTCCAAAGTGGAGCTGAAGTCAGAAGCCAATGACGCCTCAAGCTCATCAGCTAAGGCGGAGAAGGCAGAGGAGAAAGCCGACGGCAAAGGCGCCGTGACTGGGGAGCGGCAGAGCGGGGACGGGCAGGTCTGGCAGGGCGTGGGCTCTTGGGACCTGCAGGTTGGCGGGGAGGCTGGGGTGGCTGGGGCGGCTGGGGCCAGAGGCTCAGGAGCCGCATCCGTCCTCAGGAGAGCACGGAGCCCGTGGAGAACAAGGTGGGGAAGAAGGGCCCCAAGCACCTGGATGATGACGAGGACCGCAAGAACCCCGCATACATCCCCCGGAAGGGGCTCTTCTTTGAGCACGACCTCCGGGGCCAGACGCAGGAGGAGGAGATCAGGTAGGATGTGGCCGCCACCCTGGGGAGGAGGTGTCGCACAACGGGCTGGGTGGCTTGAGAGGTACGTAGCCTTGGTTTTTGTCTAGACCCAAAGGCCGTCAGCGGAAGCTGTGGAAGGACGAGGGTCGCTGGGAGCACGACAAGTTCCGAGAGGATGAGCAGGCTCCCAAGTCTCGGCAGGAGCTCATTGCGCTGTACGGCTACGACATCCGCTCGGCTCATAGCCCTGACGACATCAAGCCCCGGAGGGTCCGCAAGCCCCGGTGAGGACTCCCGCCAGCTCGCTGGTGTCTGCAGAGCACCTTTGCTGCTCTGGTTGCCCTTCTAGCCATGAGTGAGTGAGTAAGGAAGGTCCTGTCCTTGGGTCTCCCCCAGCCTTTTTTTTTTTTTAACCTGTTTGTTTGCCTTGCCTGGTGGAGTCCTTCTGTTGGGGTTCATGGATTGTAGCCCTTAACAGTTTCTCTCCTCTGCTGTTTTAGGTATGGGAGTCCTCCACAGAGAGATCCAAACTGGGTTGGTGAGCGACCAATCAAGTCCCATCGTCACCAAGGTTCCGGGGGCACCTTACCACCGAGGACATTTATTAATAGGAATGCAGCGGGCACTGGCCGCATGTCAACACCCAGGAATTACTCCCGATCTGGAGGCTTCAAGGAAGGTCGAGCTGGGTTTCGGCCCATGGAGGCTGGGGGTTCCCATGGTGGCCGGTCTGCTGAGACTGTGCGGCTTGAGACTGGCTACCGCTCGAGGCGCTTAGAGCAGGCTCCTGCTAGGGACCCGTCGCCAGAAGTGGATGCTGCAGTGCTTGGCAGTCCCGAGAAGGAAGAGATGGCTTCTGAGACCCCAGCTGCTGCTCCTGATGCCGCCCCACCAGCCCCTGACCGGCCCATCGAAAAGAAATCCTACTCCCGTGCCAGAAGAACTCGGACCAAGGCTGGGGATGCAGTCAAGGCTGTGGAGGTGATGCCCCCACCGCCTGAGGGCCTGACCTTGGCCCCTGCAGTCCCAGAAGCTGCCGCTGCTCCATCAGCAAAGGCCGGGAGCTGGGAGTCTCCCTCAGACTCGGCCGCAGGTGGCCTGGAGCAAGAGGTGGCACAGCTGAGCCTCACAGATCAGAACTGGAGTCCAGGGCAGCCTTCCTTCCTACAGCCGCGTGAGCTTCGGGGTAGGCAGTGCCAAGCTGGGCCTGGGGACAGAGGCATCTCAAGAATGTGGTGTCCGGTGTCACCTACCCAGAGAAGGGCGGGTGGGACGGGCTCCATCTGTCCCTGCCCAGGCCCCTCCTGGCCTTGTCCTGAGCTGTCCACTGTCTCCTTGCCATTACCTGATTGCCCGAGCTCCCAAGTGCAGGGTCCTCTCTGCTTTCTGCACACAGCATGAGGAAGCAGCTGCGCTCTGTTCAGCAAGTGCATAGCTGGAGGCAGAAGCCAGCTTGGTTTAGACTGGGGTCTCCATCTGCAGGAGCCTCTAGTTTCATTGCTCCTAAAAATGCAGCATCCAGTAGAACTTAGCGTAACGCTAGTACTTTTGAGCACTGTACTTGAAATGTGGCTAAATTAAATAGCCGCCCGTGGGTGTGGTTAGTGGGTGTCATGCAGGACAGCATAATTCTACAGATTGGGTCCTGCCTGGTGGCACTTTACCCTGTTCTGCTTTGTCATGGTCCAGCCGGATATAGCAAGGGCTCCTTTTCCCAGGTTTTGAAATTCAGCTCTTAACTTTAAGATTAGAAGTCCTGGCTAGGCGTGGTGGCACATGCCTATCATCCCAGCCCTGGGGAACCTGAGGTAGGAGGTCACCATGATGAGTTCAAGACAAGCTTGGGCTACGTAGACCATGTCTCCAAAAACCAAAACAAAAAGAAGTGGGCCTGAGAGCTTCTGCACTGTGTTCTGGTAGGGATGATTTTATTCTGAAACAGATTCATTAAGTTATGCAGGCTGGGCCCAAAGTTGGGACCCTGCCTTAGCCTCCCTGAGTACTGGGGTTGCACATGGGTACTGTACACTTCGTCTCTTCCTTACCACCTTGGGAGACAGTCTGTAGAGTATTCCCGTATACTTCCTGGGGAATTTTCAGCCAGAAGAGTCTCTTCAGGCTTCTGGCCTGGCCCCTCTGGATCAGGATAAACCTAGGTAGATTTGTAGATCCTCTCATCTTTGTCCATCTGCTGCTCAGCAGCTTCAGGACTGAGAGTTTGCAGTCCATTGAATAATGTGAGTGCTGGGCACCAAGGGGAGCGGGGTGCACTGGGCAGGATTTCCTGGGAATGGGCTCTATAGCCAGCTGAGGTGGTGGGCAGTGGGAGCCGGTTTTCCAGGGCCAGTGTGGATGCCGCAGGTAGTTGAAGAGGAACTTTCCTACTTTAAAAAGAGGAAGCCACACCTGCCATTCACTCCCCTGTCCTGTCCTGTCCTGTCCTGTCTGTCTGTCTGTCTGTAGAGGTGACTTCTTCTGTGTTACAGGTGTGCCCAACCACATCCACATGGGGGCAGGACCTCCACCGCAGTTTAACCGCATGGAAGAGATGGTACTCAAGGGAAGACGCGAGGGGAGGGTGGGTCATGTTACAGTGTCCTCTTACGCCGCTTAGTCAGTGTGGTGGCACATGCCTGGGATCCTAGTTCTTAGGAGGCTGAGGCAGAAGGACCACTGTGGGTTTGATGGCAGCCCAGGCTACATAGTGGTTTCCAGGTCAGCCTAAACTTCATAGGGTGACCCTGTCCACTCCCAAAAAAGAATCAATGCTTTTCATTTAATTTTTCAAGGCATTCTGCAAATATCTGCAAAACATTTGCTATGTCTGAGTGTTCTGTGCCTGAAGGGTTGAGCCTTGCCCTGATGACTCCCGAGTTCCCGTTCAGATCTGTCTCTGTGTCACAGGGTGTCCAGGGCGGTCGTGCCAAGCGCTACTCCTCCCAGCGGCAGAGGCCTGTGCCTGAACCCCCGGCCCCTCCGGTGCACATCAGCATTGTGGAAGGACATTACTATGACCCACGTGAGTATGCTTCGCCCTCAGGCTGTGCCCCCTCTCTTCCCTGCTGGCTTCTCGAAGTGCTCGTCACACATTTAGTTGCTGTTTTCTTTCCATGGAAGAATTTCTTTCTGTCTCTTTTTTTTGTTTGTTTGCAGTACTAGGGGTAGGACCCAGGGCTGATCTGTCCAAGCCCTGTCTCCGCCTTTAGAATTCCACACTGAGGGCCGGGGATTTAGCTCAGCGGCGTAAGTGCCTGCTTGGCAAGCGCAAGGTTTCGAGTTCAACCCCTGGTACCAAAAAAAAAAAAAAAGTTTCTTTGTAGAATTCCGCAGTGGGCTGGGGATTTAGCTCAGTGGCATAAGCACCTGCCTGGCAAGCACAAGGTCATGAGTTCAATTCCTGGTACCAAAAAAAAAAATAGAATTCCATGCTGAGGCAGGGCCCCCCAAGGTACCCAGGCTGCTTCCACCTGCTACCCCTCTGCCTCAGCCTGTCGGGAAATGGCTGAGGCCAAGCCCACATGCCTCTGAGCTGCGAAGAGCCCTACTCTGTGTCTTACAGTGCAGTTCCAGGGACCAATCTATACCCACGGTGACAGCCCTGCCCCGCTGCCTCCGCAGGGCATGATTGTGCAGCCGGAAATGCACCTTCCCCACCCAGGTGCGTGTGCTCCCACCTCAGCATCCAGGGTGAGGGTGTGGGGGCTCCATTCCTGTGAGCAGCACCCTGTGCAGCCTCCCTGAGCAGTTTCCATCTCCTCGTTTCCAGGTTTGCACCCCCACCAGACGCCGGCACCCCTGGCTAACCCGGGCCTCTACCCCCCACCAGTGTCTGTGTCCCCGGGACAACCGCCTCCCCAGCAGCTGCTGGCCCCCACCTACTTCTCCGCCCCGGGTGTGATGAGCTTCGGGAACCCCAGCTACCCCTATGCTCCGGGGGCCCTGCCTCCCCCGCCACCACCACATCTGTACCCCAACACACAGGTGAGATGACTGCAAGTGCGTTTCCTGCTGCACCCCTTTAGAGCAGGCGGGTCGAGCAGGTGGGCCTGCTGAGGAAACCTGGGTGCCACTGGGCCTGTGTGCTGCCGGTACCTCTTGGTGGTAGGAGCCAGAAGCCTGCTTCCACGGTGCTGGCACAGTGCAGGTCCACATTTGAGTACAGCCTGGCCGGCGCTGTCTCTGCTCACCTTGTGGGGCATGAGGCTCTGGGGCTGCTCCTCTGTAGCTGCCCCGCCCTGTCCTGCTCAGCTGTCAGAGTTACACTGGCGGTGTCTCATTGTCACCATGAGTGAGGCCTTTTCTGTGTGTCAGCTGATGGTAGGGTAATCAGAGAAAGCTGGGTGATGCTTGGAAGACTCAAAACCAGAGTAAGAGTGACATGCAAAAGGAGACAGTGTGGTAAAACAATAAAATGTTTCACTCTTTCTTTTGAGGGGGTGAGAGTGTTCTAGTCCAAGTAAACCTCCTGCCTCAGCCTCCTGAGTGCTGGGATTAACAGGAGCAGCGCTGCATCTGGCTCCAGACTCTGCTTTCCGCAGCTGGATAGTGTTTCCTGCACATAGGTTGGATGGATTCTTAACTTTCTCTTCTGGCTTGTGGGGTCCCAGGCCCCATCACAGGTGTACGGTGGAGTGACCTACTATAACCCCGCCCAGCAGCAGGTGCAGCCGAAGCCCTCCCCGCCCCGGAGGACGCCGCAGCCAGTCTCCATCAAGCCCCCTCCGCCGGAGGTATGGGCTCCTTCCCACGAAGGCGTAGGCTTCCACAGGGCTCCTCCAGAGAACCCTGCTTCTCAGGGCATGTTTCTGCAGAAAACTCCTCTTTACGTGACCTGATAGCAGTTTTCAACTTGGTTATTGCAGGTGGTGAGCAGGGGCTCCAGTTAATGTGACATGCTGAATATTTCCAGTCCAACGTCGTAGAAACGTAAGTGCACAACTTACTGTGACTGGTTGGTTGGTTTTGAGACAGGGTCTCACTATGTAGTCCAGGCTGACCTTAAATTCCTGGTGATCCTCCTGCCTCAGCCTCCCAAGTGCTGGGGTTATAAGCACACACTACTGCTTAGAGTCTGTGCTTACTCTTTTTTTTTTTTTTTTTTTGTCTTTTTGAGACGGGGTCTCACTGTGTAGTTCAGGCTGGCCTTGAGCTCACTTTGTAGCCCAGGCTGGCCTCAAACTCGCAACGAACCTCCTGCCTCAGCCTCCCAAGTGCTGGGATTACAGGCGTGAGCCACCACGCCTGGCAAGTCTGTGCTTACTCTTTATTAATAAACAGCATCCTCTTGGGAGGCTTAAGGGAGACCCAGAATTTTCCGGTTCCTTTGTTTTATGAATGCACATTAAAGAGTTGAAGCAGAGACCATTGTTACCTGGACAGTCCAGTGCTAGCACCCAGGGAACTGTGAGGAAGAAAGACAGAATGCAGCCAGGCCTGGCGCTGCCCGCCCGTGACCCCAAGGGAGGCTGGTGGGGGAGTCCCCAAGTCGTAGTCCAGCTGAGGTGGCTGACTGACTCAGACCCTGCTGTGCTGTTGGAAGAGGTTGGGATGGCACTCACGTGAAGGCTCTGGGTTTAATCCCAGTGCCACACAGCACATGGGAGGGAGGGAAGCAGTTCGGGAATGTGGTGTGACATTGGCTGAGGACAGGAAGCCTCGGGTTAAGGCGGCAGGGCACCAGAAACCTGTCGTAAGAGGACAGAGGCCACGCAGCGGGTCTTGGCGTGTGGTCTGTTTTAAGGTCATTGCAATGTATCTGCAGGGTCTGGGGTGCAGCTCCATGGTGGAGCCTGTGCTTCACTCCCATGAGGCCTTGGGCTTAGTCCTCAGCACCAAGTCAGATGAACAAACAGACCCCAGTGGTTAGCAGTCAGGGCCATGGGTCCACCCTGATTTTTGGCGGTTCTCCCCTTTCCCAGCCCTCACCGAGGAGAGGCGTGATCTCAGGAGAGGAGGGAGCTGCACGGGGAGACCCTGCAGGGCCCCGCCACGGGCAGTGCAGGGGCCACCTTGGGATGTCTCTGCCTAGGGGAGCCAGTGTCAGCCAAGCTGCTGAGCCCCTGCCTGGGGCCCGCGCACCCACTGTACCTTCTCTGGAACGAATGTCAGGGGTCTCTGCCCCAGGGGTGTCCCTTCCTGTGCTTGTTTTGTTTTCTGTATGTTCATTTTTAAAAAGCCTGGCTTGCTCTTCTTAAACTAACTCTAGTGTCTCTGCGTGTACCCGCTTCTGCCCACCTCTCCCCACCTCACAGTAGCTGGGCCAAACCTGCCCAGAGCCACCGTTGGGGTCTCCTGACTCCTCTACTGGTGCCACTATGGGGCAGGGCGCAAGGGGTCCCGGCCTCTGCCCAGGGGGTGGAGGCTGTAGGTGCCCCTCCCTGGGCTGTGGCTGTTGACCCTGAACCCGACTCCGGTCACTGTGGACCGATGCATCTCTAGCAGCAAGTGCTATTGGCACGTGCTCCTCCCCTCCCCTTCCTCCGCTTCCTCCTCAGCGGGCACTTGCTCTGCTCTGTGCCTGTCCTGCTATGGCGGTTTCCGTCCTTTCCCCTACTCTGGCTCTTACAAGCAGACGGCCCAGGCAGCCAGGCCTCCTGTGTGTAGGCCTGACCCCGCTCCTCCTGCCCTGGCCCTGAACCGCTCCAGCGGCCTCTGCGGAAGAGTTTGCTGTCCCCGCAGTGCTTGAGTCTGCTAGGGAATGCCTGGCCCAGCCCCGTCCTTCCTCAGAAGCGGAGGCAGAAAGCAGCCATCATGTCAGCCCTCCAGCTCCCTTCCTGGCAGCTGGCCTGGCCACTCTGAGTCCCTGTGCCCTGTGCAGTGGAGAGAGAGAGGTGCCAAGCTGGGACCCCAGTGAAGGCCCAAGGCCTCAGGGGCAGCTGCTGCTTGTGCCTTTTGTCAGCTTCCCTTTGCCTTAAACCTGAAGGTGTCTCTGCAGGCCTGTGGCCGCTGCCCAGACCCCCAGACCCGAAGACACTGTGACAGTCGTCTCTATCGGGCCACTGTGTCCAGTTGTGAAGACTTCTCCGTGTGTGTTGTTTTTATTACTAAAGAGTGTACCTTTGTGATCAGCATTGTGACCTGCAGATAATAAAGTTTAAACTATGAATACCGTACTCCTGCCAAGGTTTGTGTGAGCCTGGATCTAGGGGCAGGGTGAGGGCGCCCTGGTTCCCCCCACACACATTGTTTAGTCCTACCAGACCCTGCCAAGTGCTTGTCTCCCTCCGTACTGCTGCCCACATCCCAAAGATAGGAGTTTGTGGACACAGGCTGCATCGTGCCCGCCTTTGGGTTTGGCAGCCACGTTTGTCCAGGCAGAGATACAGCACCGCTGCACCAGCCCCCAGACTGCAACCGCTGGAAGAGGAAAGGATGGGGGTGTGAGAAGCTCCAACAGTCCCTGTGGGCTGCAGCACCTAGTGGCTCCTGGTGCCCTTTTCTGTCCCCCGGGTTCTGGGTGGGAGAGTAGTTGTGTTTAATGATCTGGCAGCCTTGGTTAGGGGCACCTGAACTGACAGATGGAGGGCCCACACCCTGGTGTTGCTGCAGCCAGCTGACCACAGCTCCTGACTGCCTCTCACACATGGTGGTGGGCAATGATTGGCTGGCCACCTGGGGTCATGCCAGGAGGGCCAACCTGGGCCGTGGGTGGGCTACTAGCAGGAGGAGCAAATGTTGAGATGCTTCCCCTCACCCCTGCCTCTTGCTGCCTCAGTCCTGCAGTTAGATCCCATTGCTCTCTGTTGCCCTGGTAACCAGCTCAGCAGCGAGGAAAAACTCAGGCTCAGTGAAGCCCCCAGGTTCCCTGCCCTCCCAGCCTACCTTTCAGTGGGCAGAAAGAAGGGAGGAAAGAGCAGTCAGATGGGCCTTAGACAACCCCACTGTGTCCCCATAGGAAGCCAGGGCCAGGGCTGTCCTGAGCCCCCATGGATGCAGTCCCTATCACCGTACCTGTGACTGCACCCCTAGGCCCGCAGGTGCCCGCCAGCCCTCCCTCTGCAGCCAGCACGTGGCTTCCTGTCTTCAGGCAACTCGGTGCAGCAAGAACTTGGATCTCCCTGTGTCTGCACCCCGCTTCAGTTGGGCTGCATGTTTAGGGCAGTGATGAACCTGGCTAACAGCCACCTAGGGAGCTGTTCCAAATCCAGCACAGAAGCTCAGGTCTGCCTGCCTCAAGTGCCCACTTTGAGGCATCAGTTGTGGCTGGAGCATGAGGCTTGCTGAAAACCCCGTGGTTCCATGGTGCAGGGCGCTGCTGCTGGGTCTCCTCCCAGCACTACCGGGCACCCTTGAGTTGTTGAGTTGTTGAGACCCATTCCCCAAGCTTTCAGTTTGTAGACATCTCAGTCCCTTTTATTTCCAGCTTCCACCCCCCCCCCATACACTCCCCAGTTCTTCACCCTTCCTGACAATCCCAAATCCTGCCCAGAGAGGAGGTTACCAAGGCAACCAGCTTAATCTGGTAACTGTGGCATGTGCTGGGAGAGAAGCCCTCCCCTCTTCCCGTTCCGTTCACAAGATGCCACTGGGCAGCTCCATGCCACTGCAGCCAGTGTCACCTTCCAACACCAGGAATACTGGTGTCCCGTAATGGTGGTCTGGGAAGCCCCTCTCAGACCCACATCAGAAGCTGCAGTTGGATCCAAGCGCTCTTGTCTCCTCTCCAAACCCACAGATGGGCACACATGCTCTAGCACACGGGCCTGAGGCATGCGGGAGTCACAAGGGGGTATGGGCCCTGTCCACCCAAGGTGGACACTCCCTGCAGTCACCTTCCTGCATCCAGCCCGTGCACCATAAACTGGTGGGGTGCCATCAAGGAGCCTCAACCCACTTCAGGCCAGGTGCCAAAGCCCAGCCTGGGTGTGCTTATCTCCATTTCCAGCCCCTCCTGGGCAGAGCACCCTTAGGGACACTGCTCTGGGCACGGGCATCGGAGGGTGGCTTGGCATCCTGATGGCATCATTTTCCCTCTCCATGGTGGGCTACGCTGGCACTTGTCACCCAGCGCGTGGTCCTGCTTCCCTCTGCTGTCCGGCTCCTCCCCTCTGCCCGCTCTCTCCTTACCCCAAGACCTGCCACAGCCTGCTGCTCCATGCCTGCCAGTACCTGCCTGGCAGGCCAGCCCTGCACCACCTACTCTTCCCTGCCGGTGCCAGTGCATTCACCCGAGAATCCTTCCAGTCCTTCCCACGGAAGCACGATGAAGCCACGCACTCCCGTCAGGATAGCACAGGGGTATGGGGTCAGCAATCTCACAGGCCTCACCTGGACCCAGGTAAGTGAAACCAGGTGCAGGCCACAGACCCGCCCCAGCTCTTGGAAAAGAGGCCGAGAATGCCAGTCATCCCCGAAATCAAGACTCCATTGCTAACCTGCGCCCTTGGCTTTGCCCTCCGTTTCTGCCCCTGCCCTGAATGAACCCGTTTCCCTCGCAGGTCCACCCGCCTGGCTGCCCTGCTTCAACCCTGGCGGGCCGGGGGCGGGGCCTGAGAACGGGGGCGGGGCCGAGAAGGGCGGGGCCATCGGAAAGGGGCGCGGTCTCGGCTCTGCCACCTTCCCGGGGCCGGGAGCTCAGCCGCCGCCGCCGCTGCCGCTGCTGCGTCCTCCCGCGCTCCGCTTCGCCCGCTGCTTTGCTGCCGCATTCCAGCCCGGAGTGCAGAGCCGGCGCTGGCCCCGCAGCCCGCTTGCCCTCGGTATGGGGGGCCGCTGATAGCGCGCGTCCTCCGACACCTGCCGCCCCGGCCCCAGCCTCGGGCCAGCCCGCCTCGGACACCCCTGCTCCGCTCCGGTGCCCGGCACGGCCCTGCGCCCTGCGCCTCCGGCCCGGAGCACCGGGTCTCCGCCCCCCCCGCCCGTGCCCGGGACACCTGGGTCCCCCGGCGGCCCCCGGGAGAGGGGCGGGGGGGGCATGAAGCCGCTGGAAAAATTCCTCAAGAAGCCCACGTCGCAGCTGGCGGGGCGCGCGGTGGCCGCGGGTCCGGGCGGGGGTCCGGGCGGCAGGCCCGGCGGGGGCGGGGGGCCTCCTGGAGGGCCGCGGGCACTGCAGCGACGCCAGAGCATGTCCCGCCTGCTGCTCCCCGCTTTCTTGCGCGAGCCCCACTCCGACCAGGGGCTGGAGCCGCCCGCGGAGGAGGACCAGGCCGAGCTGGCTGGGGTGGCTGAGGACCCAGGCGGCGGGGGACCCTGCTGGCTTCAGCTGGATGAAGTGCCGGGGCCCCTGCGCTCCCCGTCCTCCTATTCCTCGGATGAGCTGTCCCCGGGTGAGCCCCTGACTTCGCCACCCTGGGCCCCGCTGGGCGCCCCGGAACGGCCGGAGCACCTTCTCGACCGGGTCCTGGAGCGCCTAACCAGCGGGGCTACCAGGGACAGCGGCGCCTCAGGTAAGGGGTCTGCCCAGCAGAGCAGGGGCCCTGGCTCCCCTTGGTGTTTTTAGAAAAAGGGGTGGCCCCAGTGCTGGAGCCTGGGGTGGGGCTAAGGGGTTCCCAAAGTGCAGTAGGCACTGAGCAGGGCCGCAGACCCCCAGGGGAGGAGCAATAGTGCCCAGCTCCGAGGAGGAAGCCGAGCTTTCTTTCTCTCCTTCAGCCACTCTTGCTCCTAGATGGACGCTTTAGCTGCAGTCCCCAATGAGCCCCTAGTCCCCGTGCCCGTCATCAGGTCTCCGAGACTCGCTAGGATGGAAGTGTGTGAACCAGCCCGTGCTGCCCTTGGCCCAGCAGGCCTGCTCAGGCCCTGGAGGGAACAGCATGGATAGGACTGGGGCCCAGGCTAAGGGATGTGCTGACTTGGGCAGGCGAGGGTGTTCTCCCTGGGGTGGACTCTGCAGGTGCCTTCGAGGAATGGGAGGTGGCATCAGGACCCCCGGCATTGGTACAGGGGTCTGGGTCTTCCAACTCCCTCCCTCATGGGGGTAGGGAAGCAGCCTCAGCACCCCACTTCTTTACCAAGTCAAAACCCCAGCCTGAGAGCTGTTTTGCTTTAACACTATTTCTCCTCTGCCTCAGCACCCCATCAAGGGGGCTGTAAGGACACTGAGATCTTAAATTTCTAACGTAGAAGACCTGGGGGGTATCTAGGTCTAGCTGAAGGCATTGCATTAACCCAGGATGCTCTGAGCTCCGGGGACCCCCATTGAGACCCTAATGATACAGGGGCTTTTGGCCTTTGCTCTTAGCTCTCTGCATAGAACTCCAATTTAGGTTTTCAGGGTGGGGCACCACTGGCCAAGATTTTTCTCAAGGAAAGTCTGGGTCCTCTCTGGAGGTGAAGGCTTTAGTTGCCCTGGAGAGCTGACACCTTTCAGATTTAATTAGAAAAATATCAGACACACACAGCACTCTCCTAACCATAACTTCCCGCCCACACCACACACCCTCTGTCTCAATGACACATTCCCTGGGGAGGCTGTGCCTTGGACCAAAGCCCACTGTGGAAGAGACAGATGCCAAACCATGGGCCCGATCTGTGTCTCCCCACGCCTCTTGTGCCTGTGTCCTCCCACCCTGCATCTGGGAGGAGTCTGGAAAGGGGGTCGGGCTCCCTGCTGCTCCAAGGGGCCAGGGGCTGTTCTGAGCACCTGCTGCCACAGGTCCTCAGGGTCTCCTGGGAGAATGTAAGACTCCTGTATTGGCCCAAGATGTAGCTCAGCAGCACAGAGCCTGCCTGACAAGCATGAGTTCATGAGTTCAATTCCTGGTACAAACAAATCAACCAAAATGTAAAACTAAAAATCCTGTATTGATCACACCCCCCCCCATCAGCTCTGGGAATTGAAACCCCGAAGTAACTGGTCTGGGAAACCCCAAATCAGTCTCAAAGCAAATGAGAAGGGAATGGCCACAGTTCCAGTGTAATGTACGTCATGTTGACTTTGTCAGGGTGCATAGAAAGAGGGGCTTCCAGAAGGCTGAGTCTCCCAGATGTCCAGGCAATCCCCCTGCCCCCCTCCCTGCCCCTTTGCCTGGTTCAGGCACACTAATGGAGAACAGACTCGGAGGTCCAGGTTCTTCCAGCTCTAGGCCTCAGTTTCCCCTTTGATGCTCCCTCTCCACCTTTGTGGCTAGAACTGGTTGGCCATGGGGTGGCAGAAGCCTGGGTTGTCTGGAGCAGTGCCTGGGCTCCTGGCTCTAACCTGTCCTGGCGAGGACACCTGGCTGCTTCCCTGTGCCCTGCCTGCTAGTGCCAGGGAGCCCTGCCCCACCCCGGGGCTGGCTGCAAGTCAGGGCGACCTTGTACCTGGCCAACTGGCTGGGCCAGGCCCAGACAGGGGTGTGGAGGGGGAAGGGAGGTGAGGCAGACTCTCCCGACACCTGCCATGGTTAACCCTTGCCTCTCTAGGTACACAGAGGACCAGGCTCCTAGCTCAGGCACTGAGATTAAAGAGATGGGTGTATCTTCCTCACCCTTTATTGGGGCTGGTTCCCACCTGCCCATTCTGAGATGTGGAGTAAGGGAGGGAGGGAGGGGACCCTGACTTCCGCTGGGTCTGGAGGCCCCTGCCACGTTGTTCAGGGGCGGTGCCCAGCTCCCCCCACACTAAAGAGGAAAGTGCATGGCCATCAAAGGCTCCCCCTTCCCCCAGCTGCCTTGGCAGCTGCCGGCCCCACCCCCAAAGCGGCTGCTGTGAATCTTCACCCTGGCGCACACGTGTGCAGTGCGGGACAGGGCAGGTGGCCGAGGCTCCAGCCTGGCTGAAGAGAACGTGCTCTTGGTGGCGTGCAAGGGGTGTCGAGTGGCCCTGACATCTGTGGCACCCACTGATCTCCACAGATATCCTGCTGGATGACATTGTGCTGACACACTCTCTCTTCCTCCCAACGGAAAAATTCCTGCAGGCCCTGCACCAATAATATCCTTTTGTGGAGTCTGAAAAGGTGATGCCTTGCACCGCACAGGTAACATCAGGACCCATGTCACCCCCAGAAAATACCAAGCTTATGCTGGCTGGGCCTGGTGGTGCATGCTTGTAATACCAGTACTTGGAGGCTGAGGCAGGATCACTTTGAGTTCCAGGCCAGCCTGAGCCACACAGTGAGATCCTGTCTCAAAAAAGAAAAAACAAAAACATCCAGCTTTGCTAGTCTCTGGATTCATGGGATCTGTGTTTCTCCTGTAAAATGACATGTGCAGCCCGGGAGTTAGCTCAGCGGCACAGGGCCTGTCTAGTAAGTGCAAGGTCCCGAGTTCAATTCTTGGTACCAAAAAAAAAGGGGGGGGGGCTGGGGATTTAGCTCAGCGGCATAAGCGCCTGCCTTGCAAGTAGGCAGTTTGGAGTTCGATCCCTGGTACCGATAAAAATGAAAAAAACAAAACAACAACAACAACTGGCATGTGCCCTGCTATCCGTGTATTGCTGTGAAGGTCATCGAGGTAACAAGTGTGAGTCCCTGGGCCCTGTGACACCCAGACCTGCACACGAGGGAGGGGTTATTACTCCGTGCTGAGTTACTGCGGTAAACATCCGGGTGCTCGATGAATAACACAGGGAGTGACACCCATGTCGTGGTGTGGCTGTGCCTCAGCCAGTGGGGGTCCCCTGGAACCAAGCTATTGACCAGGCTGGCCTGGGAATCCCCACCAGCACAGAGACTTACACTGAGATTTATTTAATTGGTCACTTTTTCATTCTTTTGATACCTGAATTTTATTTTATTGTTATTTTTATTTTTTTGGTATGGGGATTGAATTGCCAACCTGGCACTTACCAGGCAAGCGCTGGAGCCACAGAGCTAAGTCCTGGCTCTTTTTTCTATTCCTTTGAAGAGTCCAATGTCTATGGAACCCAGGCTGGCCTTGAACTGTCAGCAATCCTCCTGCCTCTGCCTCTAGAGTGCTGGCATGCACGGCAGGTGTGCGCCACCACACCCAGCTTCACTGAGTTATTTTGGAATCGAGTTGTAAACCTGAGGCCACTGAATAAGAACGTCATGGGCTTCTTAGGAAGGTCAGGCCCCACTCAAGGTAAAGTTGGGTTTGTGGGTCCCCCAGTGAGCTCGGCACCCCGGTTAGACAGGCTTGGTTGCACGTTCTCAGGTGCAGCTCTACTGGGCAGGAGCCAGCAGTGGCCAATTAGATACACTGTGACCGTGACCTGCTCTGGACAGACCTTCAGGCTAGCCTGGACTCTTTGTCACTGGCCCCAAACCTAGAAAATAACTAGGGGTCACATAGCCACCTCCAGTCTGCCTGCCTGCCTTGGGCTTTTTCTTTTCTTTTCTTTTTTTTTTTTTTTTTTTTTTTTTTTTTTGGTTTTTTTTTAAACACAGGATCTCACTATGCAGTTCAGGCTGGCCTTGAGCTCACTTTGTAGTCCAGGCTGGTCTCGAACTCCCAACGATCCTCCCACCTCAGCCTTCCGAGTGCTGGGATTACAGGTGTGAGCCACCACACCCGGTTTGCGCTTTTTCTTAACTTCGGGGTCAGCTTTGTTCAGGCAGGGGACCTGGAAGATCCCGAGGGGCTGAGCCGGAAGCAGGCCTGCCTGGCCATGCTCCTCCACTTCCTGGACACCTACCAGGGGCTGCTGCAGGAGGAAGAGAGCGCTGGCCACATCATCAAGGTGTGGCTGGAGAAGGGGCGGTGGGGGGCAGGCTGTGCATCTAAGGTGGGCCCTGGGAGGAGAAGCTGTCCTTGAGAGGCCCCGGCCTCACTTGGGCTGTGCTCCTCTCCCAGGATCTATACCTGCTGATTATGAAGGACGAGTCCCTCTACCAGGACCTCCGGGAGGACACGCTGAGGCTGCACCAGCTGGTGGAGACGGCAGAGCTGAAGTGAGAGGCAGCTCCTGGATTACAGTGCGGCCTTGGCTTTGGGGCTCCCGGGGTGGTTTTTTGTGTTCTGAGCCAGGGTCTTACTGTGTAGTACAGGCCGGCCTTGAACTTGTCCCGAGTCCCCTCCATCCATGGCACGCACAGCAGGTGCCCTCTCACCTCTTCCTCCTGACTTCCTGTGCCCCCAGGAAGTCCTCCTCCCACCCCTTTCCCTTCCTCTTCCCTTAATCCCAGAATAAGTGCCACCTTCTCTATGCAGGTGGGAACTGACTCTGTCCCCAAAGCCAGGATCACTGTCCCACACCTTGGTCACATCACCAGCACCTCCTGCCTGGTGCTGAAGTAGCTGTGTACATACCTGTCCACTCCCAACCCCCGAAGTCCTTCTCAGCAAATGTCACTAACGTCTAATAGTGCTCGACCCACAGTGTGCTGAGCAGGTTGCCGGACCTCGATGAAATCAGACTTTAGTCAGAACCTACCATTGTCCTCAAAAGGCTTTCCATGTCCTAGGAGAGACAGGCGTGGTGGTGTACACCTGTAATCCCAGCACTGTGGGAAGTCGAGGCAGGAAGGTTCCAAGACTGAGCTCAGCATAGACAATTTAATGACTTAGTGAACTCCTGTTTCAATATAAAAAATAAAATGAAGCCCGGTGTGGTGGCTCACACCTGTAATCCCAGCACTCAGCCTCAAATCCCAGGCTGAGGCAGAAGGATCATTGCAAGTTCGAGACCAGCTTAGGCTACAAAGTGAGCTCCAGGCCAGCCTGAACTGCATAGAGACCCTGTCTCAAAAAGACAGAAAAGAGAAAGAGAGAGAGAGAGAGAGACAGACAGACAGACTATAGCTCAGTGCAAAGGCCCTGTGTTCAGCCCCAAGTACTGCCAAAAAATCAAGTCCCAAGAATAAAGGCTAGTGGGCTGGGGATTTAGCTCAGCGGCATAAGCACCTTGCCTTGCAAGCAGGTGGTTGAGAGTTCAATCCCCGGTACCGATTAAAAAAAAAAAAAAAAAAAAAGAATAAAGGCTAGGAGGTGACCTTCTGGGTAGGTGGGTCAGAAAAGGTGCATCGCATCACAGCATTGGCCTGGGGTCCCCTGGATAGCTGTCCCACACTGCGTTACTGTTTTTGTCTTTGAGTCCCTTCAGAAAGGAGCCTGTGGGTGCCTGGGCCATAGGTCAGCAGTATAGTGCTTGCCTGCCAAGTACAAGGTCATGAGTTCAATTCCCGGTACCAAAAAAAAAAAAAAAAAAAAAGTTGAAAGGAGCTGGGGCACCCATGACCCAGTTGCAAGGTCCCTTCTTCCTGTTGGCTGGTGCTTGCTGACACCTACTGTCCATGCCAGGATCCCAGAGGACAGCCAGCCGCCTAGCAGGCAGGTGAAGCCACTCTTCCGCCACTTCCGCCGCATTGACTCCTGCCTGCAGACCCGAGTGGCCTTCCGGGGCTCAGATGAGAGTAAGCCTGGACATCTGGGGTGGGGGCAGGGGTATTGGGCGGTGCTCCCACGCACCGGGCCCAGCTGCAGTGGGAAGTGCAGCGCTCTGAGGCCTGCACCCACGCCCCCCACCCCAGTCTTCTGCAGGGTCTACATGCCCGACCACTCCTACGTGACCATACGCAGCCGCCTCTCGGCTTCCGTGCAGGACATCTTGGGCTCTGTGACCGAGAAACTGCAGTACTCTGAGGAGCCTGCCGGCCGGGAGGAAACCCTCATCCTGGTAGCTGTGGCCTCCTCAGGAGGTGAGGGGCCAGGGCCAGGGGCACCCTGGGAAGGGATGAAGACTGGTTTCTAAACTGAGTTTGGTGGTGCACATACCTGTAATCTGAGCACTCAGGAAGCTGAGGCAGGAGGATCTCTTTGAGTGTGAGGCCAGCCTGGACTACATAGCAAGTCCCTGTCTCAAAAAACAAAACAAGGAAAGGTAGAAGCATGAGTCTCATTAGTCTAGAATGTGCCTATGTGGGGTTAGGAGCCCCTCCACAGGAAAGGAGATGGCAGTCAGGGTGTGCAGAGGTACATAGGGCCAGGGCCAAGCTGACCCCCCCCCCATTCTTCTGCAGAGAAGGTCCTGCTACAGCCCAATGAGGACTGCGTCTTCACCACACTGGGCATTAACAGTCACCTGTTTGCCTGTACCCGGGACAGCTATGAGGCCCTGGTAAGACCGAGTCCCTGCTGAGCCCCTGGAATCCCCGAACTCAGGAGGCCGAGGCAAGAGGATTTCTGATTGGAAGCCAGCCTAGGCTGCAGAATGAGACTGTCTCAAAAGAAAAGCAGACCCTTTCACAAGGCATTGGCTAGGCATTGACTGGCAGTATGGTGGAAGGGGCCTGAGCAGTCCCCTTCATGCTATCCTGCCGCCCCCAGGTACCCCTCCCCGAGGAGATCCAGGTGTCCCCGGGAGACACAGAGATCCACCGTGTGGAGCCTGAGGATGTTGCCAACCACCTGACTGCCTTCCACTGGGAGCTGTTCCGCTGTGTGCATGAGGTCAGCCCGCCAGGTGGGGTGGGAGCCCTGCAGCTGTGTCCCGCAGAAGTTCGGAGGAGACCTCCTGGTAGGGTGGTTCGGCCAGGGATACAGCTCAGTGTCATTAAGCGCCTGCCCGGCAAGCTACAAGATCCTTAATTCGATTTCCGGAACCCCAAAATAAAATAAAATACCCATTAATTACCATGTGGTGGCGCCCACTTATAACTGAGGCTGAGGCAGGAGGGTCTCGGCAAGTCTGAGGCGAGCCTGTGTAAGGGACCCTAGTTCAGACTATAACAGCAACACAAAGATGGTGGCACCGCGCTAACTTCGGTCATTTCTGTCGCACCCTGTGCCTCCCCTACGCGGCAACCTGATGCAGCTGGAGTTCGTGGACTACGTGTTTCACGGGGAGCGTGGCCGCCGCGAGACCGCCAACCTGGAGCTGCTGCTGCAGCGCTGCAGCGAGGTCACTCACTGGGTGGCCACTGAAGTGCTGCTATGCGAGGCCCTGAGCAAGCGTGCCCAGCTGCTCAAGAAGTTCATCAAAATCGCAGCCATGTGAGGGGGCGGGAGGCGGGGGAGGGGCGCGAGGGGAGGGGCTGGAGGGGCGCGGCCACCTAACACCTGCAACCCGCGCCCCGCAGCTGCAAGCAGAACCAGGACCTGCTGTCCTTCTACGCCGTGGTCATGGGGCTGGACAACGCCGCCGTCAGCCGCCTGAGGCTCACCTGGGAGGTGAGGAGGACCCGACCCCCGTCCTCCCGCGCTTGTTCCCCCACACACCGTGGGGACCGCGACTTCTTGGGCATCCGGGCGTGGCGCAAGCCCTCCAGGGCCCTTGAGCCTGGGGTTCGCGCGCCCTCTTCTGGCCGCACAGCCCTAGAGCGCGCAGCTCGGCTCAGCTCGCAGTGCAAGAGTGAAAAGCCTGGAGTGGTGCAGGCCTGTGAGCCCAGCCCTCGGGAAGCTGAGGCAGGAGGGTCACCGCAAGTTCGCGGCCAGCCCCAACCACATACAAGAGACAAAATGAAACAAAATGAAGCAAAATGAAAAGCCAGGATTCCAGCCTCGGTGGGGATGGCTGGGTTTCAGGGCCAATTCACCCACCCCCAAACTCCTAGTTCCCCAGGTCCCCTAACTCTAATGCCCTTCTTCCTCCGAACGCTGCAGAAGCTGCCAGGAAAATTCAAGAACTTGTTCCGTAAATTCGAGAACCTGACGGTGAGTGGCGTCTCTGTGCTGGACTCTGGGACTTGCATCTCTGTTTCCTTCAGCCTTCTGAGTCTGCGGGGTCTCCCTCCCCATGCGAGGGGGGGGGAGGGGAGAAGGGGAGTTGCCTCCTCCCCAGCCACACATCGTCCACCCTGTGTGCCCAGGCAGGGTTGGGGCGGGGACGTCTCAGAGGCCTTGAGCCCCTGACCCCACTTCCATGACCCCTAGGACCCCTGCCGGAACCACAAAAGCTACCGAGAGGTCCTCTCCAAGATGAAGCCCCCTGTGATCCCCTTCGTGCCTCTGATCCTCAAAGGTCAGCGGGTCCCATCCACTTATCACGCCTGCTGTGCCCATGCCCCCCCACCCCGTCCCATCCCCCTCTCCCTCCCCTCTCCTGGCTCTGGGGTTCCCTCTTCAAGGCCTGTGTCCCCGCCCCCAGACCTGACGTTCCTGCATGAGAGCAGCAAGACTCTGGTGGACGGCTTGGTGAATCTGGAGAAGCTGGTGAGTAGCGCAGAAGAGCTGCACCTTCTCCTGTCCCCTCCCTGTGCCTGCCCGCCTGCCACCTTCCCTAGTGGCCACGCCAACAGTTAGATGGGGCGATGCTGCCCCCTGTGCCCTCAGAGACCCCCAGAGTGGGAGCTGCAGTGGGTCCGGGGCACACATCCTCCCGGGCCCTTCTCAGGGGTCCCTGTCACATTGCAGCACTCGGTGGCCGAGAAAGTGAGGACAATCCGGAAGTACCGCAGCCGGCCCCTCTGTGAGTTCTCCACCCCAACCCTAGGCCCTGGCTGATGGGGGAGGGGGAGGGCCAGGGGCCCCTCCTGACAATGTCCCCACCCCAGGCCTGGACATGGAGGCCTCGCCCCACCACCTGCAGACCAAGGCCTACGTGCGACAGTTTCAGGTCATTGACAACCAGAACCTCCTGTTTGACCTCTCCTACAAGCTGGAGGCCAACAGCCAGTGAGGCCACCCCCACCCTGCCGGCTCCTTGGTGCCTGGCACCCAAGCACTTTGTACTGTGTCCCCACACCCGTGATGGGTATTTCCCATGGGAAGAGTGAGATGGATTTCCAAGGACTCATCATCATCCTGCTGGAACCCTCTCCCAGTGCCCCTTTGGCTCGAGCCGAAGGATGCAAGGAGCCCCTTCCGTTGCCCTCACACAGCCGTGTCTCAGAGACAGAGCTCCTGCCTCCTCTCCCCAGCCAGGGAGGCGTGGGCCCCCTCATCCTCCCCTGTCCGGCCTCCCTGGGGAGGTTGTACCCCTGAACTTTGCTCTGTGTGTGTATGCGCAGGTGCCCGAGTGGTGGAGGGAAGGGGTCCTTTCTGTTTGGTGCTACCCTTGTCTGCGCTGGTGACCCCAAGTCCTCTGTTCTCCCTGCCAGGCCTGTGGGCCTGGCGGCTCCCCACAAGGTCCCCGGATAGGGTGTGCTCAGGGAAAGCAGGCCTGCGGCACCCTCTCCCTGCCCTGCGGGGGGGTGGGTGTTGGCAGAGCCAGGGGCTGGTGCCTGCTCCCCACATTTCTGCTCTCTGGAGCATCTTATGGCTGCATTGCGTCCCCTGGCTCTTGTGTCCCACATGGACAACAGTTCTGTGCCCCTCCCTGCGCACAGCCCTTCTGGGGTGGGCTGGCAGGCAGCTCCCTAGAAGTAGGGTAGAGGGGTAAAGGTGAATCTAGAGTCTGGGGGAGGCCCAGGCCTCCTGTCATCTCCCTTCCAGGGCCCAGAATGGAGGGGTTTAAGGACCCCTGGCGGCTCGGGTGAGGCTTCCAGGCACAGGCTCCCCTCTTCCTGCCAGCTCCTTGCAGCCAGCACAGCTGCACCCCTGCCCCTGCCCCTCCCTGCCCCAAGGTGTATATATTTTTTACCCAAAGCTCTGGAATTGTAAATTTATTTTTTAAAAGCCCCCAGAGAGGGAAAGAGCCTTGTATCATATGTAAACACTGTATCATAGGTCACGTGTACAGGCCCCTTTATACAGCGGTCCTGAATCTCCTGTCCCTTCCAAAATGCCTGTGGATGCAAAAGGCGTTTCTGGATGTCCCTGCCCTAGTGTGCCCCAACCTGCAGGCCCCCATCCTCCCTCCAAGCCCCCATCAGCTTCTCCTGGTCCCCAGCTCCCATGAGTACAGCTGCCCAGTCCGGCCCAGCCCACTGCTACCCTGAGGCCCCACCACCCCCATGTTATCCTCGAAGAACTTGCTACGGAGAGAAAAAGCTGAGAAAGTCTAGGAAGCAATGGCCTGCTGTGTCCAACCTGAGTGCCTGAGGCCAGGAAGGACAGGATGGAGGAGGGAACAGGGAGCCCTCGCCAGACCTGTCACTAGTGTGAACTGAGCAGGGGGGATGCTTTCCTGAGTGTGTGTCTCAGGTGTGACAGTAGGAAGTAGGAGACTCAGTCCCCAGGGAGGACCAGAGGTGTGGGTGTGTGGGGAATGGCCTGGCTGCCCCAGTCCTGCTCTCTGTCCTGCTAAAGACACATCTTCTGCCCAAAGGGCTGTTCTGTCCTCTTGGTCGTTTTCCTGTCCAAAAATGGTCCTCTTGCAGAATGTAGTGGTGCACAGGTATTGTCCAGGCACTCAGGAGGCTGAGGCAGGAAGGTTGCCACAAGTTTGAGGGCACTTAAGCTACCTAGTGAATTCAAGGCCAGCCTGAACTACATATCGAGACGTTGTCTCAACAGCAAAGGAATCCATCTGTCCCCAGGGGTAGGACAAGCTCGGTGCTGGCCCCGAATCCTCTTCCCCACAGCCCTGGAAACAAGTCCAGTTTGCTGCTCTTCCCCAGTGAAGAGTGGAGACCCCTAGAGCCTCAGAGGTGACAATGTCAGCCCTGGGCCTCGAGGGGTACCAGAATCCCCAAGCCTGCAGCTCGACTCCACTGCAAAGCTGGGGCACCCAAGTGCCTCCTCCTGTCCTGGTATCCTGGAGGCCCAGAAACTGCCCTGCTGGAGTAGGGCAGAGGGCTTCGGGCAGTGCCCCTGTCATCTGCTAGGTGTCACTACTAAGATTACCTTCAGGGTGCCAGGCAGCAGGAGGAAGCAGTGGAGAGCAGTTTTTGGAGGATCTTACTCCTCCTGTGCGGTGGCCCTTAGCGGGTGACTTAGATGCCACCAGAAGACTGTGTTTCCTCAGTGTCTCCCAGTCTACCAGCCCCATCCCATTTAGCACTGAAATCCTCTCAAATCACTAAGATTTCATCAAGAGATCCTCCTGTCTCAGCTGCCTCAGTAACCCTATTGTGGGAATGCATCACCACACCTGACTTGGGTTGCATTTTATGTAATGATCGACTGACTGACTATGTTTATGTATTTACTTTTGAGCCAGGGTCTGGCCTTGTAGTCCAGGCTGGTTTAGAACTCACTGTGAGCCCACGCTGGCCTTGAACTCTGCGGCAAATCCTCCTGCCTCAGCCTCCTGAACGGTGGGGTTACAGGTGTGCATGGCTACAGCCACCTGGAAGCCTTTTTTTTCTTTTAAGACAGTTTTGCTGCCTCCCGGCACAGGCTGGCCTCTGAACACATGGTGGTACAGTCCTTCTGTCTCAGCCTCCAAGTGCTGGGACTCCAGGTGTCTGAAAACGATCCGAAAGTAGGTCGCACACATTTTCACTTTGTTCTGTGTACAGCCTCACTGCAAGAATCTCCTAAAAATAAGATTGTCTCCTATCTACTTACTATACAGCTGAGAAAACCAGCAGTGGCTTTGCGATTTCACACAGCACCCAGTGCCTACTTAAGTTTCCTTGGTTGTTTCAAAAATGTCTTTTACACTTTTTTTCCTTCTTTTTTTTTTTTTTTTTTTTTTTATCTTTTTCGTTTTTATCGGTACCAGGGATCGAACTCACGACCGCCTGCTTGCAAGGCAGGCGCTTATGCCGCTGAGCTAAACCTCCAGCCCCACTTTTTTTCTTTCTTTTTTTTTTTTATCGGTACCAGGGAAAAAAATGTCTTTTAGAAAACATTAAAAAAATAAACCCTGCAGGGCATGGTGGTGCACAGCAGTGACCCCAGCACTCAGGAGGCTGTGGCAGGGGGATCACCCCAAGATTGAGGATTGCCTGGCTACACAGTGAGATTTTTTTTGTCATTTTCGTTTTTATCGGTACCAGGGGTGGAACTCATGACCACACACTTGCAAGGCAGGCGCTTATGCCACTGAGCTAAATCCCCAGCCCCTACACAGTGAGATTAAGGTCACCTTTGCACAGTGAGACCTTGTCTTAAATTAAGAGACCAAGAGACCACTTAAGAGTAATCCCAATCCTTGGGGGCTGGGGATTTAGCTCAGCGGCATAAGCGTCTGCCTTGCAAGCAGGCAGTTGTGAGTTCGATCTCCAGTACCGATAAAAATGAAAAAAGACCAAAAAAAAAAAAAAAAAGTAATTCCGATCCCATCCAGGTTCCACTATTGTGTTCGGTTGCTGTCTCCTTCATCTCTTTCAATCTACGGTAGCTCAGTAAGTTTTTTCTACCCAATGACATTGACTTTCTGCAGGTGGGACAGATATCTTGCAAAGTGTCCCAGATTAGCTGGGTGTGGTGTGCACATCTGTCACCCCAGCACTCTGAGAGGCTAAGGCAAGAGGACTGCAAGTCTGAACCCAGCCTGGGCTATTTAGTGACTGTCTTGAAAAAATAAAAGGTCTGGAGATGAAGTCCAGTGTGAAGGCCCTGGGCCTGGTTGCAACCCCTAATCACAGGAAAATAAAAGTGTTGCGTGATATTTCACACATACAAAAGCTTAAACACTAACTGGACATGGCGGTGTGTGTCTATAATCCCAGCACTCAGGAGGCTGAGGCAGGAGCATCACCATGAGTTTGAAGCCAGCCACTTTGAGACCCTGTCTTAAAAAACACCAAAGGAAATAGGAAGAGAATGTTCAAATGGGAAGGGAAAATGGGAGAGGGAAGGAAAGGAATGGAAAAGGGGAAAAAAGAATAAAAGGAGAAGAAAATGTAAGTAAAGCTTTTGTACATAAGGGGAAGATGGCTTGAAGGTAGGGAGGAGGATGGGGAGAAAAGAAGAATCAAGACACATCATGCACAGGGACAGGTTCCCTACGATGGGTGTGATCATTATCTATGTAAAAAGTTGTACCAATAAAATTAATTTTTAAAAAAAGCCCCTAAAGAAAGTTTACTTTTATTCAGTTTGTTTTTTTGAGACAGAGTCTCACTATATAGCTCAGGCTGGCCTTGAATTCTCAGGGATCCTCCTGCCTCAGCCTCCCAAGTGCTGGGATGACAGGTGTGCACCACCACCCCGGCTAAGAAAAAAGTTTAAAGACCAATAGAATGAGCACCACACCTCCACCACTTTGCAGCTGAGATCCCTGAGACCCATCCCTGGTCACAGCCTTGTCCTTTCTCCTGAGAGATGACCACTTTTTCAGACACTGTGCACACATCTGTGTGTATGTCAAGTAGTGTCAGTTTGGAGGTAATTGTCCTTTTGAGATAAAACTCACATAAATCTATTTTTTCATATACACTTCTGTGTATTCTGGACTAACCTTGAATTTGTAGTCCAGGCTGGCCTCAAACTCACTGCATTCCTCCTGCCTCAGCCTTTCCAAGAGCTGGGATGACAGGTGTGGGACACCACAAAGGGCTTGTATAAATTCACTTGAATGAAGTGTCTAGAACAGGCAAATCCACAGTGACTGGGCTGGGAATATAGCTCAGTGGCACAAGTGCCTGTCTGGCAAGTACAAAGTTCAATCCCTGGTACCAGGAAAAAAAAAAAAAAACCCAGATTAATGGTGACCAGAGGCTGGGAGGTGGGTGGGGGAACTGCTCATGGAAGGAGCTTGGGAAAAATATTTAAGGGAGCAATGAGAGCGTATACATATGAGGATAACTACCAGTGACTGCCTGGCAAGCATGAGGTCATGAGTTCGATTCCTGTACCAAAAAAGATCATAAAAAGATACTAAAACACACACACATTTTTTGCATTTTTTGAGATAAGGTCTTTCTATGTAGCTCAGCCTGGTCTTTGAGCTTATGACCATCTTCCCTCAGCTTCACAAGTAGTTGGAATTATTGGTGTGCATACCTTGCTCAATTATGAGTTGCTTTGTTTTTTCTAGTACTGGGTAGAACCTAGCAGTGCTATATCATTGAACTACATTCCCAGATCTATTTATTTTATTTTATTTTGAGACAGAGTCTGGGTAAGTTGCTAAATTGTCCAGGCTGTACTCCAAAGTTCGATCCTCCTGCCTCAGCCTCCTGAGTGCTGGGATTACATGTGTGTACTACTACACCCAGCGATCTTTATGTGTAAAATCATTTTTAAAACTTGAAACTGTTTTATCCTGGGATTACAGGCATGTGCCACCACGCCTAGTCCTTTCGTTCCTCAGCGGGAATTAATCATCCCCAGCCCGACACCCCCATAGTGTATCTGTTCCCAGGGCACCAGTCACCCGCTGACGTAGCTGTTGACATGCCAGGCTGCCCACCAACACGTTAAGTCCCTGAGGGAAGAGGCTCAGTCTTAGTCACCCGAGAAGGAGCCTAGTGCCTGGCCCACACCTGGGTCACATGGTGACATCTATTGGATCTGTGGGTGGGATGCGGCACTACTCCTGGTGCAACAGAAGGAAAACAAAGATAATAATAAGGATGTGCGGCTTATCACGCGCCTTGCCATTCATGGCTTGGGACTTCCAAGAACCCTGTGAATAGAAGGCACACCCCGGGCAGCTCTCCTGTGCAGCAGTGGCGGAGGCCCTGTGCGGAGGCGGAGCTCAGTCCCAACCCTGTCCCCTTCCTTCGGGTTGCGCTGGGAACTGAGCTGGCCCAGAGCGTTGGGGGAGAGAAATGGATGGAGCTAGCCGCAGCGCTTAAGTGTTTTAGTGGGGGGACTGGGGCCGGGTCCTGCCTGTCATCAGCTTAGCAGCTGGACACGGGCGGGGGCTGCCGGCCGAAGCAGCACCCGGGAAACTGGGAAAATCAAGGCTCTCTAAACCAGAGAAAGATGTTCAGGTCGGGTGACTAAGAGGACCTAAAGGTGACTGTTAGCTGCTCCCCCCCCCCCCGTTACTAGGACAATCACAGCTTGCTTGCTGGGCCCTCGAAGGCAGAGAGGAGCGCTTCCTGGAGATCTGCGAAGGCCACTTAATTAGTAGGGTGTGTGTACGTGCGGGGGGTGGTGGTGGTAAGGACAAAAAAGTATATTCAAGAAACACTGCTTAGTGTGTCTCCAACTCGGCAACATGTTCCAATCACCTGCGCAGTTTTAAAAAGCCTCAATGCCTAGAATGCCCTGGACCCATTCATTCAGTGACAGTCCCTGGAGGTTGGAAGCCTGGCATGGCTAGGCATTTAAAGACCCCTCAGGTGGTTCCAACTGCAGCCCAAGAAACAAACCCCACCTCCAAGGTGCAGAACTGCCGCGACCTTCCAAAGATGGCAGCCAACTCGGCCGCTTCCGCCTCTACGTCGCCGCCAGGGGGCGGGCTTCCCGCGCGCGTGCGCCCTCCGCCTTTTCGCTCTCCGTTCCCTCCTCCTGTTTCCCCCGCCTCCATTTTGTTCGCGGACGCTGGGGACGGTGGGAGCGGATCCGTTTCCGGGTTGGCAAAAGGGGCGGCGGCGGGGGTGAGAAACAGCTCGCCGGGAGGCTAGCGGGGATAAGGCGAGTGCAGAGCAGAGGTAACGGAGGATTCGCTCCCGGAGCAGCTGTGACCAGGTCAGGAGCAGCCCGCGGCGGCCGGACCCGGCGCCGAGGTGACCTGCGGCGCTGAGTGGGAGAGAGAGCCGGGGAGGGGACTGGGGCGGGGCTTGCCGGTCGAGAGGGGGCGCGGGGAGGGACCTTCGCAGGGGAGGCAGGGGGCGGGGCCTGAGGGCGCTGGGGGGGATCTGAATGGGAGGAGGGCCCGGGGTAGGTACCGGGGGTGGGGGTCTCTCCGGGTACAGGGGAGCGGGGCTTTGGGGGAGACAGGAAGTAAGGGGTCCTGAAGGGCTGCGCCAGGGGAGGAGACGGCGACCGGGGCCAGCAGCGAGGTCATCTGCGCAAGAAGGGACTGGGCAGGGAGGACTTGTTGGGAGCAAGTCCAGAGCAGGATGCTCCGGGCGGGGAGGCTAGTGTGACATTTCGGGGATCGGTATCGGTGGCAGCTGGTTCCTGCTGGCGATCTTGGGGAGGCGGAACCGAGTTAGAGGCCGGACTGAGGGATGCTGAGATGCGCAGCGGGGCGCTCCGCTGCCTTGAGGGTTCTCTGCGGAGAGAAGTGCGTGGAGGTGGAAATCTTCATGTTTCACACGTGTACTCGAGTCACTGATCTCCAAGGAAAATCCAGAGAAGGTGACATCGGATGAGGAACTGGAAGAACCCGGTGTGTACTGGCTTTTCTTCCTTTTTGTTTGGTGGCACCTAGCTACATCTCAGCCTTGTAGGATCTCAACTAAGTCGCTAAATTACCCAGGCTGAATTTAAACTTTAGGTCTTCCGCCTCATTGCTAATGTAACAGGTGCCTGCCATCCTGTGTTGCTTCTCCTTTTTTCAGTACAGGGGACCGAACCCAGGGCCTTCACACCGAGCTTCAGTCTGATCCCATTTATTTATTTTTAAACTAGAGTCTCGAAAAGTTGCCCACACTTTGCTGGAACTTGGGATCCTGCTGCCTCAGCCTCCCAAGTAGCCAAGGTTGGAAGTGTGTGCCATCACACTTGGTTCTAGTGTTTTATTTTTTGTGTGTGTGTTTTTCGTTTTTATCGGTACCAGGGATCGAACTCACGACCGCCTGCTTGCAAGGCAGGCGCTTATGCCGCTGAGCTAAATCGCCAGCCCCTAGTGTTTTATTTTTTCTAACTACCTGAGTTTTAAAATCTTTCTTAACAGGTTGAAACTTTATGAATTCTGAGAATTCATTGACGAATAGTTTTGGGTTTGGGGGTGTTTTTTTTTTTTTTTTGCTTCTTTTCCCAGTTGACCTGCAGGAGCCTTATTTATTGGGTTGGGCCACTGATGGCCTGTGACCTTGTTGTCATTTGGTGGGGTTGCCAGTCAGTGTGCTTTGGGTGATTTACTGTTGATTCTTTGTCAGGAGTGAAGTCCTCACTCTCCCAACTTTTCCTTAGAACCCAGCAACACTTGGGCTAGGTCAGTGTGTCTCCTGAAGCAGCCTTCCTGAAAGTGGCAGCTCTCCCCAGTGCCTTGCTGAAGCTGGAACTTTTCTCGAAGCATGGTGTGCACCTGAGGTGCTGATTAGTTGCCTGGCGTTGGCTAAAGGTGACATGCAGGCTGGAGGCAGCCGCCCCCCCCCCCCCCCCCCGCCTTTGAAGGAGGGGAGCATCTCGGCCTGCAGAAGAGAAAGTTGCAGAGTGTTCCTTGTTCCGGGGGCCTCTCAGACTGCTTGCAGGCTGTGTTCAGGGTGTTTGAGCAAGCCACATTCTTGATACCAAGTCCAGGAAGAACTACAGAGTATTACACTTATTTGTACAGTAATAGATTGGTATTTCAGCTTACAGTGTTTACTGTTAGGGTTTTTTTTTCCCTTCAGTGCAAGAATTGGAACTTTTGGTCTTGTTAGGCAAGTGCCCACCGTGTTTTTTGTTGCTGTTTGTTTGTTTGTGTTAGGGTCTTACTGTGTAGCCCACGTTGGCCTGGAACTCAAATGCATGGGGATCCTCCTGTCTCAGCCTCCCGAGTGCTGGGATTAGAGACAAGTCACACTGCCTGGCCCCACTTTGGCTTAATTTAAAGGGTTTAGAGAACCTGGAGACTCAGCTTTCCCGGGCAGGCTGTTGGAATAGCCTGCTAATTTAGTGGAATGATTTTCCCCTTTCCTCTCCTGTCATCGTTTTCCACTGCCTGGCTCATTCTGGTTCTAAGTGGAAAATGAATGGTGAATCACAGTCCGCCCCCCCCCCCCCGAGTCCCTGATGGACCCCTTGTCTGTGTCACAGTTTGCTGCCACCAGCTTGAAAGGCTTCTCAACTGCTTCAGTTGGGAGGGTGCAGAAGCCAGGCCGGGTTTCAGGGGCAGCAAATAATAGGCAGAGAATAGTTGCCAGGACGTAGATGGAGCTGTGACCAACGTGTTGGTGACATGCGTCCCACTGCCGCAGGACTCCTTTTCTTATAGGCTGTAACTATGGTCTCCTTCTCACAGTGGCTCTTGTCGCTGGTTGCTCAGGGCTGGTGGCCAAGTCTTGAGGTCTGTGGCCCAGAGCTGGTGGCCTGGGGCCCCCCTGGGAGTCCCAAGCAGACCCTGAGGGCTGCTGGGCAGAAAATGGAGGGGCCGCCACCTCACCCAATGTAGTTCCCATCCCTGACCCTTCTCCTGGATTCCAGTCTGGTTCTTTTTTTTTTTTTTTTTTTTTTTTTTTTGGCTTTTTCCTTTTTATCGGTACCAGGGATCGAACTCAGGACTGCCTGCTTGCAAGGCAGGTGCTTATGCCACTGAGCTAAATCCCCATCCCCTCCAGTCTGGTTCTTATGCAGCCGGTGATCAAAGCAGAATCTTTGCCTTCGCCTTGCTTCGCAAATCCAGATAGAGAGACAGTGTTTGCAGTTCGCTTCTAGACCTGGAGCCAGAGAAGCCTCGCAAATTACACTGGAGAGCTCTATCTTGTCTTTTTCCACTTTATTCTTTTGGTGGTGCAAGGAATGAAACCCAGGTTGCTCCTGCCAAGAAAGTGCTGTGCCGCTCACCGACACCCCTAGCCCCAGCGAACATTTCCCTTCCTTTTCTTTTCTTTTCTTTTTGTTTGTACAAAGTCTTGCCATGTAGTGTGGCTTGAACTCACTGGGTAGCCCAGACTGGCCTTAAACTTCCAATGATCCTTCTGTCTCAACCGTCTGAATGCTGGGATTACAGGCATGTGCCACCACACTAGGTTATTTTTTAAATTTATTTTTGAGATATGGTCTTGCTATGCAGTGCAGGATGGGCCTGAACTTACTTTATAGCCCAGGCTGGTCTGGAACTCACAGTGATCCTCCTGACTCAGCCTCCCACGTGCTGGGATTACAGATGTGTGCTATCATGTCTGGTTCAAACCTTAAGTAATTTAAAAATCCTTTTGGAGGGCCAGGGATTTAGCTCAGGGGCGTAAGGCGCCTGCCTTGCAAGCACATGGTCGTGAGTTGGATCCCTGGTATCAAAAAAAAAAAAAAAATTCATTTTGGAGATGAGGATTATTTGGGAACATATTTTAGATTAAGGGAGATGAGAAACAGTAAACCTGTGTACTTCTGGGGAATATTGACTATTTTTCCAGCAGTCCTCATGGGGCCAAGGAGAGAGCTCAGGTGTTCTTGGGAGCTGTAAATATAGTGTGCTGTCATGGCTGTCACCCAGGCTGTGTGTCCTAACATGATAGGGAAATCTCTCTCTTTTTTTTTTTTTTTTTTTAATTTGAGACAGGGTCTCACTATGCAGCTCAGGCTGGTCTTGCATTCACTGTGTAGCCCAGAGAGGCCTCAAGCCCAAGGCAGTCCTCCTGCCTTAGCCTCCCAAGTGCTGGGTGACAGGCACGCACCTTTGTGCCTGGCACAGTGTGTAAGTCTTTGTGCAAGGCAGTCAGTAGTTCAAGGGCTGTTTAAATTGCACATGTGAAACCGTTACCTGTCTGGCCGTGTGGCAGCTGTGGTTGTGAGGAAGCAGTTTAGTCTGCAAGCTATTGGCTCATTTAGAAACTCGAGCTTTGGAAGCCCAGGTGGACCCTTGGGTTTAGGATCTTTTTTCCGTGGTGATCGGATCCCCTTGCTCTGTTTGAGTGGCCTATCACCAGCCATCAGGGAAGGACTGTGTGCTCGAGTCTGGCGTTTCAGCAGGGAGCTCCTGTATTCCCCTGATAGCTTCTGGTATTCGGGTGACAGGAGAGACTTTTCTACCAGAAGGTTCTGCACTTTACTCTTAGCTTCCACTGGCTGGCGGGACTTCATACACTGTCTTTTTTTTGTGGGGGGGGGGTTGTTTTTTGTTTTTTTTTGGTGCTGGGGATGGAACTCACGACCTTGCTCTTGCTAGGCAGGCGCTTAGGCCACTGAGCTACATCCTTGGCCCCCATACACTGTCTTTGAAATGAGGCACTGACACTTCCTCTGGGTGAGGTCCAGGTGGACCCACCCTACGGAGTGTTGTCCTGGGAGTGTCCTTGTCACTGGCTGCCCTGTGCCTCTCCACTGATCCTGGGGTGTGCGGTGCAGGCCGTCTTCATGGAACCGGAGGCTGTGTCAGAGTGAGAAGAACCAAAGATGCTTGGTCAGGTGTTGTTTTTAGCAACTGGTAGCATTAAATTAAAAGCAAGATTTAAAAGGGGACATGGAATAGTCGACTTTAAGATTCATTATTCTGTTTTCTGCTTAAGAAACAGTCTTGCTACATTGCCCAGCTAGGCACAAACTCCTGGGTGCAGGTGATCCTACTGCCTCAGCCTCCTGAGCTGAGGATGTGCTGGGATGACAGGCATGCCCCACCACACCTGGCTCTTGTTAATTTCTTTCTTTCTTTTTTTTTTTTTGTCTTTTTCCTTTTTATCGGTACCGGGGATCGAACTCACGACTGCCTGCTTGCAAGGCAGGCGCTTATGCCGCTGAACTAAACCTCCAGCCCCATTTCTTGGTTTTTCCATTCTTGGTGTTACCATCTATTGAGTTTGCTCCCTAGGAAGTGAAGGTTTGTAATGTTAATAGTGTCCCCTGCCCGAAATGCTTCCTTATCCAGCTAGAGCCCTATTCTTAGGGTATATGCTGGTGCTGGGGATTGAACCCAGGCCTGCCACACATTGGGCATGTACACTGCTGCTGAGCAGCATTCCCAGCCATACTGAAATGTTTTAGACAGTGTCTCACCAAGCTGCTTATGCTGGCCTGGAATCTGATGATCCTCCTGCCTCAGCCTTCTGAGTAGCTGGGATTACAAGTGTGCTCCACCACACCCAGCTGCATATTTTTAAGTTAGGGTGCAGTTGGATAGAGGTCTTTCTTGGTATCTCAGAGAGGATATTATAGGCGCACAGAATCCTTGGGAAGCTGTGAGAGTGTGGCAGGGAGGGCAGTGTGGCAAGCATTTCAAGAAACTCTTGCTGTTAACAGTCTCAGCTGCCAGGGACAGGGATTTAGCTCAGCAGCATAGGCACCTGTGCCTTGCAAGTGTGCGGTCCTTAGTTTGACCACCCATACCAAAAAGAAAAAAAATCTTAGCTGCTGTGTCAGAGTAGGCTGTTGGCAGGAGAAGCCGGAGACGGCTGCACACCCCTTCTGCCATCTCTCTGTGGTCATCGATCTGCTCCTTATTGCTGGAAATGACACCCACCTTTTTTGCTCAGCTGAATCTTGGTGGAATATAAGCTGCAGCCTCACTGGCAGAGGATTCTGGGAAATGTAATTCCCAGAAATACATACAGCCTGGCCCTAGCCTCAGATGGGTCTAGAAGGGAGTAAAAGTGAGTGTTACCAAAAGAGACAAGAGAGAGAGTGGGGGAGAGAGTTTAAAGAAGTGTGTCTTCTTTTTATTTATTTATTTAACTTTTAGTGTGTAATCTTTTTAGGCAGCTTTGGGAACCCTGCTAGACCATGAGCTATACCTGCTAGACCATCTCTACAGATTCTGTGGGTTGCTTCAGTCTGGGTTTCCAAATTAGAAAGTGTCTTTTGTCTGGTTAGTTCCTCCCTAGGTTGAGTCCTACTGCTGGTAATAATGGCGGCCTGGGGTGACTCCATTTTTCTAGCCAAATCTCAAGGCCGCCTGGATCCTGCAGTGTGTGGGTGGGAAAGAAATATTAATTATGAACATTGAGCTACTCTGTATCATTTCACTGTCTAAGTCCAGGAATCTGTTAATGTTTTTGGTAAACCGGAAAATTGGCGCAGGCTTTGGAAGCAGATGTACCCATCATCTGCCTGGGATTCCGGCAGTATCTCCGTGGAGATGTTAGAGCCCGGGGGTTGATGGCAGGGAGGGGCATGTTCTCTTCTCTTTGTACTCTGGACCGCTAGGCCGAGGTGTGGGCCTGTGAGCTCTGAGGGGTGCATGCAGCTGCTCCTCAGCCCCGTGAGTTGCTTAGAGGTCAGGTGCAAAGTTCTCAGAGCTTGGAGTCCAGTGCTGGGGACACTGTGGCTGACAGGTCTAGAGGTGCATTCTCAGATGAGCAGTTCTCTAGGGAAACAAACAGGAAGGATTACATTTAAATTTGGGAGTACCAGGGATTGAACCCAAGGCTTTGTGCATGCAAGTACACAGGCTACCCCTGTACTATACCGCCAGTCTCCTGTGTGTGTGTGTGTGTGTGTGGGCACATACATATGTACAGCAGGATTGATCCTCAGCCCTTCTAAATTTTTTGGGGGGAAGGGCAGGGTCTTACTAAATTACTCAGGTCAGACTTGGGTTTGTGATTTTCCTGCCTCAGCCTCCCAAGTGCTGGGATTACGGGCATGCCCTGTGTACCCAGTTTACATAACTTCTGTTGAAACGGGTTTGTTGAATGGTCACAGTAAAAGGTAGGACTGTCCAGGGCTGAGATGTAGCTCAGTGAGTAGGGGAGCTCAATGCATGGTGGACTGCTTCTGTGGCATGCATAGGACACTGAGGTCCAGTCCCACACCAGGAAAGAAAGGACGAGTGTTACCATCTTACTGACTGTGATCTTTGTGTTGTAAGGCACGCTTTGAAGCCATCTCATCTGTTCCAACATGGTATGTGTTTTCTGTCCTGATACCCATCTCCCCATAGTCAGTGCTGTCTGGATAACAGGGTTTTCTTTTCTTGCCTTGAGGGAGGAGTTGGGGTGGGAGCTGGAGGTGTTTAGTGAGGTCATTTCCTGATTGCTTCTGGATGCTTCTCGGATTCTTAATTTATAACAGCTCTTATGTTAGTTAACTTTAGTAATCCTTTTATGAAGCCTTTCGTTGTGGCTGTGGTTATTTAATTGATATGAGAACAGACTCCTCATCAATTTGATTTTTTTTTTTCTTTTTTTGTCTTTTTCCTTTTTATCGGTACCGGGGATCAAACTCACGACTGCCTGCTTGCAAGGCAGGCGCTTATGCCGCTGAGCTAAACCTCCAGCCCCTTGACTCCTCATCAATTTGTCATCATTTCAGCAGTGAGGACTTGGCCCTGATGGCCCTGTGTCTGGAAACCACCTGTGGCATCCGATGCTTGCCCTGGAGATGGGATTTGAATGAGCTCCCAGGGAGCCACAGCTGGAGGGCATTTAGAAGGGGATGTGGCAAGCTCCTTCCTGCGCCCTGCACCCCCACCTGGGAGGGGTGAGGCAGAGACCAAAAGTTGGAGCTTAGCTCTGAAGGCACAGCAGAACTGGCTCAAAATAAAATCCCCAAGCACTGGGCAGGCAGCGCTGCTGGTCTCTGAGAGTTCCAGGCCGGCCTGGGTCACACAGCAAGACCCTGCTACAGAGCAAAACAAAACACTAAGACCAAAAAAAAAAAAAAAAAAAACCACGAAGACATTTTAAAAGGACTGAGAGCATAGGTCAGAGAGAGCTTGCTTAGCATGTTTGAGACTTTAACCCAAGGACCGCAAAAAAAAAAAAGAAAAGAAAAGAAAAAAACAAAATCTGGCCATGGGTGGAGGGAAACTATGATTGTGATGAGTCCTTGTTTTTATTAGCGAAACTGATATTGAAAGGATTTTCTCATTTAGTTTATCTGTCCTTCTGCCTCCCTTATTTTCTTCTTAGGGGTATGTGTTCCGGTCATTTTTTTACCCCCAGACAGTCTCACTATACAGTCCAGACTGGACTTGAACTTACTGTGGAGTCCATGCTAGCCTTAAAGTCATGGTGATCCTCCTGCCTCAGCCTCCTGAGAGCTGGGATTATAGGTATGCTCCACCATGTGAAAAGTCACTGATCTAAAAATAAAACATCCAGGTTCAGTTTGTTTTAAAAAGTTAAGATGTTTTATTTAAATATGATGGACATGTGATTTTTTAATTACTTATTGCTTATTATTACTTATTTTTATTACTTATTACTTATGCAGATTTGCTGCATAGTTGAATTTCCATGATGAAAAAAATGCCTTGTAGCTGGAAAAAAACTTCCTTTCACCAGATAACCTTGGAATTTTAATTAATTCCATGTCTATAGTGATGGAATGTGTTTCACCAGAAGCCTGAAGGATTGGAACTCAAAGGGGAGGTGGCTTTCACCGCTGAGACAGGCCTGTGACCACAAAACCTTGAACATATTTTCCTTGAATTTTGGAACAATCTGAAAGGATTCATGGAAACTCACTGTGCTTCCTAGGACGTGGGGAGGTGGTTTTCCCGTAGTGGGGGTTGAATCAGGGTGCTCATAGCAGTGAACTATATCATCAGCTCTTTTCCTGAGAAGGATTTCACTGAATCCTCCGGTCTGGGGCGGGAATTTGAAATCCTCTTGCTTCAGCCTCCCAGGGACCCTGTGTCGTGGGTGTGCTCCGCATGCCATGCCGGCACAGGCTTTTGGGCTTGGACTGGAGGCCACTGGGTCGGTGCTGTGGGGTGGGCGCGGGGCGTGACGTGGCATGACGTGACGTGGCCTGACATGATGTGGCGCTTGCTCTGCCCGCTCCGGGCCTGGGAAGGTCGAGGGTCACCTTTTCTGCCTGAGACGCGGCGCTGCCGCTTGCTGGTGCCTAAGAGTCGGGTATGAGCGGCCCGGGCCGGTGCCCCCTCCCCACTTCAGCCCAGAGCTCCCTGGAGCCCGTGGTCTGGGAACGGCGGCATGGGTTGCTCAGCTGCGAGCTCTGCAGTGCCGCAGGTGCGTGGACGGTGAAGGGTGCGACCTTGCCTGGGGACACCCCCCGAGGCCAGCCCGGTTCCCCGAACTGCTCCCCCGGCCCAGGGCCCCCACAGTCTGGCCGAGAGACCTGTGCACCACCTTGGCGGTGCCGAGAGGGACCTGGCGTCTGCTGCTGGCACGGTTTGTTAGCCTCGCTGTGCCCACAGCACACTCGCCTCGGGCTGTCCTCCCGGTGCGGGTGACGGTGGCCTCCTCCCTGCCTTAAGCCAGCCACACACCCTGCCCCAGGTTGGCGGTTGATCGAGCGCCCTCCACATGAGCACAGGTCCCAGGCCTCTTGCCAATGGTTCTGGTCCTGAAACTGCGCTCAGCACCCGGGATGCTGGAGGGAGCCTGCAGACAGACGAATGCCGTGGGAGGCGCAGCGGGTGCTGCGAAGGAATGGGTCCAGAAGTAGAAAGCAGCCGCAGGCGCCCTCCGCCCTCTCCCTGTCCTCCCTGTCGGCTGCCCGTCCTTTCATGGTGCTTTTCCTCCACTCGCACGTTCAGAGGCCGTCTCCCAGCCCCCACACAGTGGGCGCGCACACACTCCACTGAGCCGCTCCCCATCCTGGGCATGCTGCTGTGAATTTCTTCCTGTTGTTTTCAGTAAGTGGCTATTGAGCACCTACTATGTGCTTAACAGCTTGTTAGGTGTAACCTGTGATCCTTTTGGGGGCTGAGGCAGGCATATCATTGCAAGTAAGGCCAGCCTGGGCTACGTAGTGAGACCCCCATCCAAAGGGGTGGGGAAGAGCTTATTGAGTAAAATATGCAAAGCTAGAGGAACTATTGCAGAGTTTAATTTGCAGTTCAGGGTTATGTGTAACCTGGTACTGAATAGGCCACCACGCAATTAGTAGAGTCAGTAATTACATACTTACCAGAACTGAGTGAAATTGCTCTTGAGTTTAGACTCCTGTTTTTTTGTTCTGTTTTGTTTTGGTGCTGGGGATTGAACTCAGGGTCTTGTGTATGCAATGGAAGAACTCTACCATTGAGCCATTTCCTCAGCCTCAAGTCCAGTTTTACAACAGCTATTCATTCCGTTTGTTTTGGTGTCTTGCTATCAATAATTGAAACTTGAGGATGGGTGGAGTGGTGCACACCTGTAATCCCAGCACTCTGGAGGCTAAGGCAGGAGGACTGGCCTTGAGTTCTAGGCGAGCCTGAACAAAAAACAATAACAAAAACTGAAACCTGTTTGGGAAATTATACCTAGTAGGCTTGGTCTTTTGCTTTGGATTTTTTAGAAAGGGTCTCTCTGTGTGTCTCATCCTGACCCTGCACTCACTTGTAGGCCAGGCTGGCCTTCAACTCATGATCCTCCTGCCTCAGCCTCCTGAGTGCAGGGATTGCAGGTGTTTGGCACTATGCCCAGTGGATATGATCATTTTGAACTTGCTTGACCTGTTTCTGGAATCGGTTGTGTAGAAACGTTTTAAATAACTGATTTATTCATCAGTGGATTTTTTATGCCCAACAAAGCTTTGTCACCCACGTGGTTTGGTTTGGTTTGGTTTGGTTTGGTTTGGTGGTGCAAGCCCGTGACTTCAAACGTTAGTCAAGGGCTCCACCACTGAGCGTAGCCCTTTTACTTTTTAATTTTGAGGCAGTCTCTCTAAATTGCCCAGGTGGTCCTTGAACTTGTGACCTTTCTGCCTCAGCCTCCCCAGGACCTGGGATTCTAGTCATGCACCACCACACCCAGCTTTTACTGAGTCATGAAAGCCCTGTCCAACAAGATAGCAGTTCCTTCTGACCAGGTTAAACTGTGGAACAAAAACTCATTCTCCTGATGATGTGACTTTCTTTGTCTTGGAGCCACTGGCTTTTTCTGGCTGCCGACCATTTGTCTCCTGTGTTTGGCGCAGTGAACATGAGCCACATCCCCAGCTTTTTAAAAAATTTTTATTTAGAGTCAGGATGTTGCCTAGTCACTTAAGTGTCTGGGGCTGGGCTTGAATTTTGGATCCTCCTGCCTCAGTGACCCAGAGTGCAGGTAGCTGTGCATGACCCCACCTGGCTGTAGTTTACTTTGAAGTCATCCCCCTGCCTCCCACCTTAGGGTTTAGTTGGTTACTTTGAGAACTATAATTTACTTAGTAATCTAAACTGAACTAAAAGGAAAGTGCTGTTACCTGAAGTGTGAAAGCAGACAATGGAGCCAGAGTTGGCCACACATCCCTGCAAGCCAAGTGCTCAGGAGGCTGAGGCAGGAGGACCAGCATGAGTTCCAGGCCACCTTGGGCTGCATAATAGGCCCTGTCTCAAAAAGACAAGAAAGAAGAAAACGAAAGTAGAGGATGGTACTAAGATGCAGAATGTTTTTTGTTTGTAAAATAACTTACAGTTTTATAGCAGCAGAATGCTGTTTGAGCAAGGACACAGACTGCAGTATAACTAAGATGCCTCTCAGGTCATGTTAAGTGTATGAAAAGCGACAACTAAATTGGATCCTTTATTTATTTATTTATATTCTTTTTTATCGGTACCAGGGATTGAACTCACGACTGCCTGCTTGCAAGGCAGGTGCTTATGCCACTGAGCTAAATCACCAGCCCCTTCTTCATTTATTTATTAACTGCAGAGATGTTAGTTGGTGTCCATATTAAGGAATTCTCTTCCTCTTTGAACATAGGAATATTAGAAAATTAAGTAGAAAAATGAGTTTTGAGTAATAGAAGGAAACACTTTTGTTTTTGTTTTTTGAGACAGGGGCCCACTGCTAGGGTGGCTTAGAACTCATAGTAATCCTCCTGCCTCAGCCTCCTGAGTGCTGGGATTGTAGGTGTATACCACCACGCCCGGCTGAAGGAAACACTTTTTAAAACTGTGCTACCTACAGAGTTGTGAAGATGTCTCTGAGGCTTGTGGTAGCTGACACTGGGATGCTTTGAAGCAAGGCTTTCATCTTTCCTGAGGCCCTGATGTCTGAGAGTGGGAGGGGAGGGGTGCCGGGAAGCACAGTGGAAATCCGTCTGGAAATCAGGGTTCCTGGAGAGCAGCTGATGAGGGGTTAGTTCTAATGGAATAGATCAGAAAGGAAATAATTCTGTAGAAAACTTTCCAGTTAATTCAAGTTTAATTTCAGATTTAACCTCACAACTCTTAATAGACATTGCTTTCAAAAGGCCTGAATTTGTGGGGTTTTGTTTTTATTTTTTTATTTTGGGTACTGGAGCTTGAACTCAGGGCCTTTCTTTGCACTAAGCTACACCCCACCCTGACCCGCCTTTTAATTTTGAGACAGTTTTGCTAATTTGTCTAGGTTGGTCTTGATGGTGGGGGATCCTCCTGTCTCAGCCTCCAGTGCTAAGGTTACAGATGTGTGTTACTATACCCGGCTTATCTTGATCAATTTTTAAAGGGTATTGTGTTAGATTCATACACAAAAAGACTATATCTAGCTTTGAATCCAGACATAAGAAGCTAGGGAGTGGCTTAGCTGCTTGTTTGGGGGAGTTAAGATGCCCACCCCTTGAGATCCATGCAGCTGAAGTGCTGTCTGTCCGGTCAGTGTTGGGCCTCATTCATCCAGGGCGGCCAGCCCCCAGCAGCCTGCAGCCTCCAGCAGCTCTGGCCTGAGGCTATGAGGATTTCCGGTCAGGATTTTCACCTACTCCCCTGCAGCGGTTGGTGGTTTTACAGGAGAATTGGGATAGTTTCCCTTTCATCATTCCCAGGGCTTTGAGAAAAGCTGTGGTCAGTTCCTTATTTGAGGAGGTTTTGGTTATCTCTGCAGGAAATAGACCAGAGAGAGCCAGGCCTTCCCAACAGCTTTGCGGGTTTGTTTTTTTTCTTCTTTTGTAGTATTAGGGGGTAGAACCCTCATAGCGTTTTTATTTATGTTCTTGAATTTTCATACACGGCTCACTCAGTGGCCAGGCTGCCCACGCATGGCCAGGCTGCCCACACTGGGCTTGAACTGGTACTCCCTGTGCCGCAGCCTTCTTCAAGGCTGGGGATGGGCATGCACCCTACTTCTGCTCGCTGCCCTTGCACCTGCAGGCTGCCTGTGGGTTGCCCATAGCTTAGTGCTCCTCGCCTTGTCCAAGCGGTTCCTCCTGTGTCTGTGGTGATGTTGGTGCCTTAGGTGGAAGCCGTTATTTTGGGTTTTTTTACTTCAGTCAAATAGGATTTCCTTGCTGCCAATCTTTTTGGAAATTCGTGTTTGTGGTCCCCGAGTTCTGATTTCTCTCTGTCCCCTACTTTAATGTCTCAGGTAAGTCAGTCCTCTGAGCGTCCCTCAGCTCTGAGACGAGGGTATCTGTCTGGGAATTGGTGTGCTGCGACCTCAGAGGCTGACCTGGTACGGCGTGGTTGTGTTCTGCTCATGTGGTGTGGGCGTCGCTGTGCCAGGTGCTAGTGGACTCTGCCCAGTGAGCCACGGCACTCCTTGGGCTGCGTTCGCATGTTTCACAGTCTGAGAATGCTTCCTGCATTTTAAGAGGTAGTGCAAATGAAAAGAATGAGAGGACTGGTCACTGACCAGGAGAGAATGTTTGCAGGAAATGTAGCTGATACTGTCCTGTTCCACGGATTTTACAGAGAACTCTTAAAAAACAGAAACAGCTCAGTTTAAAAATGGTCGGGTAGGGCCAGGGGTGTACCCCAGTGGTTGAGCATGGCTTACTGTGTGTGAGGCCCCCTTCTTGGGCCACCCCCAGAAGGGGACAAAGGTCAGCAGTGCCAAGCAGACGCCTCTTCAGAGAAGGCTGACAGCGGGGAGCGCAGGGGCTCTCAGAAGCACAGGAACAGGTGCTGCTGTTATGCTGTCACACTACATGTTAGGGCAGTACACGCCACAACAGGGTACCGACCCGGCCGTGGCCCATGCCTGCAGTCCCAGTGCTCAGGAGGCTGAGGCAGGATGATGTGGTTAAGGCCAGCCTCCACTGCAGAAGAAAACCCTGTCTCAAAAACCCAAGCTCCAGGGCCAGGGATTTAGCTCAGCAGCATAAACGCCTGCTTTGCAAGCTCGAGGTTGTGAGTTCAATCCCCAAAACCAAAAAAAAAAAAAAAAAAGCTCCCGTTACATCCTTAGCTGAATGCCCAAAATGAGAGGCTTCAGACCCTGGCAAGAATGTGATGCAACAGGAACTGTCCTCATTGTGGGGAGGCAGAGTTACAGTCAGGTTGAAAGAAGCCTGCAGGGTGGGCAGCACTGGATGTGGTCGCTGCACGGGATCCAGCAATCCTCCTTGGTGTCCACACAGGAGGAGGTAAGTAGTCTGGAGTCCATCTGGATGGCAGGGGGTTATTCACCACTGCCTTTGCAGCTGTAAGCAGTGTGTGGTACTGTACATCTATAGTTCTAGCTACCTGAGAGGCTGAGGCAGAACAATCACTAAGAGCCCAGGAGTTGAGACCAGCCTTGCCAAGGTGGGGAAAAGAAAGGAGCTTCTGGGCTGCGAAGCCCTTGGGGACATTTCCGTGCATGTTACAGAGTGAGAGAAGTCAATCTGAAGGCACTTGGTAACCTGTGGTTTACCCACTGCCCTAAGCTCATGCTGGAAAGGCAGAAGCAGGGAGCCAGGAAGGAAGCACAGAGATCAGAGGCTCCCTGGGATGGGGAAGGGAGAGGAGGAACAGGCAGAGCGCGGTTCAGAGACCTAGAACCTGGGTGTGGTGCTGCAGAACCGGGGGCTGTGCATTTATCAGCCTAGTGTGTGCCACGCGCTAGTGAGGCTGGCCTGAGTGATGGCTCTGGGCTGACGCTGTGGCCTGGCCTTGCAGTGCCTGCCCAGCCGCCACCCCTATTCACAAAACACCACCCTCGCTGGAAGGCAGGTGTTTCCTACAAGCCCACGGGCCAGGACCTGCCCTCTCACCAGGAGATGCTCCTAATGGGGCCTCGTGGAGCCAGGGAGTGAGTGCTTAGTCCCTCTTCGGTGTTGTGCTTGGTTTTCCTGGTGTTCAGTGACCGATGGTGCCAGTGGCCTGATGAGTTGTGTTTCATTTCCAGGTATATGAGTGACCTAAGGCTGCCAGGGAAGACGGAGAGAGAGCAGCGCCAACTGGGAGCAGGGCCAGGATGCCGATCCCGCCGCCCCCACCACCCCCACCGGGCCCCCCACCACCTCCGACTTTTAACCAGGTGAGCGTCCTTTTCCAGGCTCCGATAGGCTTTGTGGGAACCAGGCCAGTTGGTCTCAGGCACCTGCTTCAGTCAGGACCTTCAGGTTTTCCTACCCATTTCCTGCTCTTTAGTCGCAGGTGTTTAGGGCTTGAGCACCTGGTGAGGCAAGGGTCGAGAGATGGAGACCGAGCAAGCCAGTGTCTCCACTCCTGCATGGTCCCTGTACTCTGTTGGGCCTGCAGTGGTGCTGTGGGGACCCTGTCCTGGTTTGTCCTATACCATGGGTCCTTTTTGCAGGGCCACACTGAGGGGAAGTGGCCTTGGGTAAAAATATAAAATACACAGCTAATGCCTGAGTAGCAGAACATCCTTTAGTGTTTTTGTTTTTGGTACCAGGGATTGAACTAACAATTTCACACCAGCCACACAGGTAGGCACTTACACCACTGAGCTAAATCCCAGGCCCTATCCTTTAGTTTTTATCTCTTTTAATTATCACATCTCTAGTCTTGGTGGTACTGTAATTAGAAGACTGTCATGAGCAAATAAACTGTGATACGTTTTTGTCCTTCCTTGGCCACTACTGCTAAAAAGCAGCTGTAATTTATTATAAAGTAGTAATATGCCCAAGTGGGTTTTTTTTTTTTTTTTTTTGTCTTTATGAGACAGGGTCTCCCTGTGCAGGTCAGGCTGGTCTTGAGCTCACTTGGTAGCCCAGGCTGGTCTCAAATTCACAATGATCCTCCTGCCTCAGCCTCCCGAGTGCTGGGATTACAGTCGTACACCACCACATCTGGTTAACGTGCCTAGGTTTAACAGTTAGCTACAGGCAGGCATGATGGCACATACCTGTGATCCCAATGCTCTGGAAGCTGAGGCAGGAGGACTGCTGAACTCAAGGCCAGCCTGGGCTGCAGAGCCAGACCCTGTCTCAGAAAACAAAACAAAATAAAATTATGAAAACTTAACTGCTCCTCTGCTCGCAGGCACGTAAGTGTCGGGGTGAAGTACTGTTTCCAGGGATCGCTGATCACACTCCCATGATGCCTGGTGCACTCAGGTTCCCACTCCACTGCATGGCATGTATGGCGGGCGTGGCAGTGGAACCCTGTCCCCTGTACCTCATCCTGTTGTCACCTGCACGGTCTTCCTGAGCATCCCACAGCCTAGTCATGGACAAATATGGCTACCGCCACAGAGGACCTGACAGCCTGAAAGCGTACAGCCCTGTGGGCCCTGTGGCCCCTGGCCCCTATGGGACACCCCTGTCCCGAGGCAGATGTGACAGGTTTCTCCCTGAACCACTCTTGCTTTGGAAGTCATGCCACTTCTCTGGGCTTCTTGAAAAAAGGGGCAGCATCCCTGAGGCCTTTCATGCTACCATTTCATGTCCTCTTTACTTCAGATCAGCTCATCTGAAAGCCAAGCCCCTCGTGTTGTACACCCCAGTGAGAAGAAAAAGAGGCTTGGGGAGTGGGCTGGGGGTGCAGGCCTGTTACCCCAGCACTCTGGGAGGCTGAGGCAAGAGCATTGCAAGTTCAAGCCCAGCCTACAAACAACAATTTAGCAAGGCCTGACCTCCAGTGAGCTGGGGTTGTGGCTCTGGGGAAGAGTCTAGGTTCCGACTCCAGTGCCGCACGTACAGAGGAAGGAGGGATAGATGGATGGACAGTGCTAAGGCTGTATCTGTAAGTGGCCTGGAAAGTTCAGTGATGGAGGACAAAGCCCCCTGGTCCTGAGCCTGCACCGCACCTGGGTCGTGATCCCGGGGACACACTCACAGGCATCTGTGCCTGCTCCTTGGTGCCACATCTTGAAGCCAGAGGCGCTAGAGAGGAACGGCCCACAGGTGTGCCTGCCCATGGGGAGACTAGGCCTGGAGAAGAGGGAAGGCCGCCTGCCCAGGCTTTCCTGCAGCTTCAGGTTCAGACAGGCATGAGTGCTCTGGTGGGGAGGGTTTGTGCAGAAATCTGGTATGCTAGGCCACAGTGTAGGAGGGCTGTTGTGGCTACTTGGGGGCTGAGGTACACCCTGGAGGAGTGGCAGGCAGTGAGGAGGGGAGGGCGCACATGAGGAGGGAGCCCTGATGGCCCCCACAGTGTGGTGGAGATGATCTGCAGGCGCAGGCTGAGGCTGCTCGCTCCTGTCGGTGGTGGGGAGCTGCTGACGTGTTTGTAGCAGACAGGTTACGCGCAGCATGGACAGCAGGTTGGGGGCCGGGGTTTGAGGTTGGACTGGAGACTGGGCAGTGGGAGTGGGGATAAGATATTTCAAAGGCAAAACCTTGGAGCAGGCAAAATAGAACGTTTCTGTAATCCCAGTACCCCAGGAGGCTGAGGCAGGAGGACCCAAAGTTCAAGACCAGCCTGGTTCACATAGCAAGTTCAAGGCATTGTCTCCAAATTAAAAATAAAATAAAATAAAAGGTGTAACTCAGTGCAGAGGCCCTGGGTTCAATCCAGTACTGCAAAACAACCAACAAAAATCGAGTTTGAGAGGCTGGGGGTTTAGGTCAGTGGTGTAAGTGCTTGCCTGGCAAGTGCGAGGTCGGGAGTTCAAGCCTCAGTACCAGTCAGTTGGATGCCAGGACAGTGAGGGCAAGGGGTAGGCAGGGCTCTGGTTTGGGGATTTGATGGATGCTGTTTACTAAGCGAGTGGTTTGAGGAGGAGGGTAAAGCTCAGAGTGAGACGCACTTAGTGCTTATGACCTTCTCTGTACGGAGTCAGTGACATGGGAAGCAGAAACAGCAGTTGCCTGTCGCCCCCACAGCAGCTGTGTGTCCCCTGCTTCCTATGGAGCTGCCTTTTGGAAAGAGGTCTCCAGTGATGCCTAAGCAGCTGCCCACCTGTGGGTACAACAGGAAGGGCCTGGTAGGTCACTGAATGCTCAGCCGTACCCCTTTCGGTTTTGGTCTTGAAGAGTAGCGTTCTGTGTGTGTGATGTTTAAGACAGGGCCTCACTGTGTAGCCCAGGCTGGCCTGGAACCCAGTCCTCCTGCCTCAGCCTCCCAAGTGCTGGGATGATAGGCATTCACCACCATACCCAGCTAAGCATAACATTTTAAAAATTTTATTACTATACTAACAACGTTTGTAAAAAAAATTAGGACATACCAATGAAAACAGAAAACCAAAAATAACCTTTGTCAACACTGTAACACTTTATGTGTTTACTGTAGGCAAATTAGAAAACACAAAGAAATGTTATATTGATCATCAGTATGTTCCAGTGTATGGATATTTCCTTTCAGTAATCTTCCATGTGTGTCCATTTTGCCTTCTAGAATAATACTGTTTGAGCTGGGGATATAGCTCAGTGGCACAGTGCCTGCCTGGCAAGTGCAAGCTTGTAAGTTTGATCCCTGATATCAAAAAAGAAAAAGAAAAAGAAAAAGAAAAAAAAAATATATATATATATACACACACACATATATATGTAATGTTTATCTGTTTATTTTGGAACTGGGGAGTAAACCCAGGGCCTTGCATTGAGCTGTATCTCATCTTTTCTCCATTCATAGATTGATTGATTGGTTTATTTATTTATTTATTTATTATTATACTTTTTTGTACCGGGGATTGAACTCACAACCTTGCGCTTGTCAGGCAGGGGCTTATGCAGCTGAGCTAAATCCCTGGCTGATTTGTTTATTTAGGGATGAGTGACAAGCCTGGCTAATGACCAGGCTAGGCTCTACTTGCCATCCTCTGGCCTCAGCCTCCCAGGTGCTGGGATTCCAGGCCTGTGCAGTACTCGGTCACCCCGCCCTTGCTCCGGTCCGTGCGGGATGCTCACGGAGGAATGTCCTGTGTGTGAGACGCAGATGACACTCAGGGCAGACCTGGGGGCTGAGGTAGGAGCCTTGGCAAGTTCGCTCCTGTGTACCAGAGGCTTGCGGGTGCCCTGGGGACTGGCACCTTGGAGGAGGAGGAGGAGGAGGAGGAGGAGGAGGAGGAGGAGAAGCGGGCAGCTGGGCACAGAGGATGCAGGGGGAGCTTTCAGCTGTCAGAGCAGCGTTTTAGTTGTGTGCGGGTAGCTTTCCAGAGCCTGTATTCCTGGCCTTTGGGATGGAAAGAAAGCTGCTGTCTGTGCTCAGAGGCTGCCTGAAGCTCCTTGAAGCCAGGGACGTAGATGTGTGGGTTGAGATAAGATATGGTACTCCAGGGTCCCTGCCAAGCCACATCTTGATTCCTGCCTCCACTTGGTCCACACTCTGCAGGTGGGGTTGATGTCAGGGTGCTGTCTCATAGGATGGTTTCTGTAAGACAGCACGGGTTATGCGCCTAGCCCAAGACACCCAGGGTGTATCAGTGCTTGGTGAACACTTCCCAGATGACGGCGCCTGCCTCTTTCAGAAGCTTGGGACTGGCATGGGACTCCGTACCCTCTGCAGAAGGGGGACAAGGCGGGGACCAGTAGTGCCCATACTTCGGCAGTTCAGCAGGCGCATCTGATCTGGTTGCATAGGGGCCTTAAGGAACCAGATGGGGTTAAGCCAGGCAGGTTGGGCTGTGACATTGGCGGCCTCCCTGCCCCCTCCAGGCGAACACCGAGCAGCCCAAGCTGAGCAGGGATGAGCAGCGTGGCCGCAACGCACTCCTGCAAGATATCTGCAAGGGGACCAAGCTGAAGAAGGTGACCCACGTGAATGATCGGAGTGCCCCAATCCTGGAGAGTAAGTCCTCCTACGGTGCGGGGAGGAAGGGGGCTGGCCCAGTGGCTGCCATGTCCTTGCTGTCCGGAGCTTCTGTTGGGGTACAGTGCTGGCTGGGGTCCATGAGCAGACACCTTCCCAGGAGCCTCTGCCAAAGCCAGGCTGGTTTGACAGTCACTGCAGGTATCATTGCCCAGCCCTGCCCTGTAATCAGCCCCAACCACCTGGGACTCAGCAGATACCCCGAACACAAGCGCAGGGACACTGTGCTCTGTGTCCCTGTGCTCCTCCCATCGCAGAGCCAGATGTCTGCAGGGTGCCGGGGGTGAGCAGGTTTGCTTGCCCGGCTGCAGCCCAGGGTTTCTTCCCGGACTGACAGGCTCCCGGCTGGGAGCCATGAGGTGAAAGCTGCCGCTGTACTTTGCAGAGCCCAAAGGAGGTGGCGGCGGCTATGGCTTGGGAGCTGCGGGAGCTGCTGCCCTGCAGCCCAAGGGAGGCCTCTTCCAAGGAGGGGTCCCGAAGCTGCGGCCCGTGGGGGCCAAGGACAGCTCAGGTATGTCCCACCTGGGGGGTGGGCAGGCAGGAAGAGGACAAGCTGGGTGCAGAAGCTGAGAGAAGGACATGGGATGGGCACACAAGGCAGAATGTCCCTGCAGCCTGTAACCTAGGCAAGGCAACCAAGTGGCCAGACCCAGAGGATAGCATTAGGGCAGCACGCACATGTCAACACCCTGTGACCTCACTTCTGGTGTGTATGCCCAAGGCCAGCAGTGCAGGAGCAGCCAGCAAAGCAGTGGACCCGGCCAGTGGGGAGGTGTTGGGCACAGGTCGGCCTCGGTCGGTATCAAGCTCAGCATGGTGTGGCCCCTGTTAAAATTCAGACTTCCGCAAGAGTAGATTGTATTTGTGTAAGCGCGGGGTCGTGAGTTCCATCCCTGGTACCAAAAAAGGAGTAGATTTTAAATGTCCGCTCAGATAAGGTGTCAGGTGACAAGTATTTTAACTGACTGCTTGAGTCACCTGGGCGTGGCCAGTTAGCATCTCATACACATGCACACTTATTAGCTAAAAATTAACTCCCAACACTCAGGAGGCTGAGGCAGGAAAAATCATTTTGAGTTTGAGCCTGGGCTACAAGCAGAGCTCAAGGCCAGCCTGAACTGCATAGCGAGACCCTGTCTCAAAAAGACAAAAAAAAAAAAAAAAAGTCAGATTTTAGAAGTATATTCAGCTTATCAGCAATTTTTGTGCATGGCCCTGAGCCTAAAACCAGACTAAAGTGCAGAACAGGGTCGCACTGTGCAGCTCAGTGGGAAAACAAGTGCTTGGCAGGCCGAGGCCCTGGGTTCAACTCCCTTAGGAAGACAGGTAGACAGGAGCAGAGCCCAGCAGTCCCCGAGCTGCGTGGACACTGAAGGTGTCATCTGCTTTGTCACAGAGAATTTGACCGGGAAAGCAGCCCTGCAGGCTCCTGGCTCTCGAGCCGCTGCCCCAAGGCCACCGGTGTCTGCAGCCATCGGGCGTCCCCAGGATGACTCAGACAGCAGCCGTGCCGCCCTCCCTGAGCTGCCCCGGACGCAGCGCCCCTCGCTCCCTGACCTCTCACGGCCCAGTGCCACCAGCGGCCCAGGCATGAAGCACAGCTGCTCCGCGCCCCCACCCCCACCTCCTGGCCGGCGTGCCAATGCGCCCCCTGTGCCCCTGCCCATGCCTGGCAGCAAGGTGGCCTACAACAGGGAGAAGCCCCTGCCACCCACCCCAGGACAGAGGCTACACCCTGGGCGTGAGGGGCCGCCTGCGCCACCCCCCATCAAGCCACCGCCTTCCCCTGTGAACCTCAGAGCGGGACCAAACAGCCAGTCACTGGCCCCACCACCACCGCCTTACCGCCAGCCTCCTGGGGTCCTCAACGGGCCCCCTGCCAGCCCCACACACGAGTCTGCCCCCGAGCTCCCGCAGAGACACAACTCTTTGCACAGGAAGACATCGGGACCTGTCCGGGGCCTCGCACCACCTCCGCCAGCCTCAGCTTTCCCCTCTTTGCCAAGCAATCGGCCCCCTCCCCCAGCCCGGGAGCCTCCTAGTAGAGGGTCAGGTAAGTGCTGGAGGCCCTGCTCCCAGCAGGCTTTGGGCCCTTATTGTGTGTTGGCAGCTGTGGTGTGGGAACTCACAGGACTGGAGGAGGCGTGGAATCCTTCGGATTCAGCGCAGACAGTGCGTCTCATCCCATATGCAGTGTGCTCCAGATAAACCTGGGCAGTGTGGGCTGGACAGTACAGTGGTGACAGTGTTAGCCGAGGAGAGCCACATCAGCGGGGACCCCAGGGAAACAGTGGGATCTGCCATCTGTGGCCATTGTGGGAATCCGGCTGCCAGGACTCTTTGCACGTGGCAGTCACGTGCTAGGACAGAGTGAGCGGCGGGAGGAGTGGCAGGCGTGGAGTGGGGAACGAGGTTCCCCTGGGACAGCAGGGTAAGCCCTGTGGGACCTCAAACTGCCCAGTGCTGGCAGTGCAGGCCTGTAACCCCAGCATTCCGAGAGGCAGATGCAGGAGAGCGGCCCAGGCAGGGCACCTTTGGGAGACCCTGTCTCTCAGTACCAAAACCCAGGTATGATAACCTCCCTCGGTGTGAGAGCACAGGCTCCAACCCTGATACCATGATTCAAAAATAAAAGGGGGCCAGGGATTTAGCATAAGCGCCTGCCTGGTGAGCACAAGGTTAGGAGATCCATCCCTGGTACCAAAAAAGTAAATAAAAAATAAGGAAAAGAAAACAGTAGGGATTTAGACTAGAGAAGTAGCATGGCTCAGTTTACCCTTCACAAGAACTGGAGCTCTGGCCGGCCATGTGGCAGGGAGACAAGGTGGTCAGAGGAGACCATAGGGTCCTGCCTGGCTGAGCCAGCCTCGTGGCACCACCTCTGGGGCTGGAGTGATCTACAGGGGCCTCTGGAACCACAGGCTCAATGCCCCTGCCCCCCATCTCAGCTGGGGAGAGCCCCAGGGTGGGGGTGCTGCAGGAACCTGGCAGAGGGAAACCAGGAGCTGTGAAGAAATGCAGCACCATGCCCCTGTGCTGGACCCTGAGCAGGCTGGGGAGAGTAAGAGGGAAGCATCGAGGGACGTTTCTGTGCAGGTCCAGCAGGATGGCAGAGGGTGAACGCAGGAGCTTAATTCGGGTTAGTTCAGTCGCTGGGCATGGTACCCCAGTGCTTGGCAGCAGAGGCAGGAGACTGCTATGAGTTTGAGGTCAGCCTGGGCCACACAGTTCAAGGCCAGCCTGACTACACAGGGAGGCCCTGTCTCAGAATTTGAGAAAACAAACAAAAGAGTGGATCCCAGCTATTCAAGAGGCAGATGAAGGAGGATTTGAGCAGAGAATTTGAAGCAGACTTGGGCAGTGCATTAGTGCATTGAGACTTCTGCCTCAAAAACAAAACAACAACAACAAAAAAAATGGTGTAGCTGTCACCACATGCCTGTACTTCCACCTAGCAACCAGGGAGGCTGAGGCAGGAGGATGGCCACAAATCTGAGGCCAGCCTGATCTACATAGTGATCTCTTGTCTCAAAAATGCAAAAAATAGCCAAAACAACAACAAAACAAGCTATGCATGGTGGTGCACTTGTATGATCTGAGTACCTGGATGGCTGAGGCAGGAGGATCACAAATTTGAACCCAACCTGGGCAACTTTGCAATTTAGCAAAAACTGTTTCCAGATAACAGTTACAAAGGGCTGTGGATGTGGCATGGTGTCAAGGCCTTTTTTTCAGTCCCTTTCTTGGAAAAAAAAAAAAAAGGAGTTGGAGGTAGTGGTGTAGGTATTTGAGCTTGGGTCAAAGCCTTGAGTGAGTGTGCAGAATTGAGTGGCAGGTTTGCTGGAGGAGGTGTCCACCCAGGACGGGGCTCTGTGCCTGCCGACCTGACGGCAGCATGGGCCAGTCAGAGAGGGAGCAGCTCGCCGGCCCCCAGCAGGCTCTGCACAGGAGGGAGTGGCACGGGCTGGCAGGGCGCAGCCTTCAAATTCACTTGTTCCCTTTGTGACACAGAAGGGAGCACATAGCTGTCAGGGCCAGGAAGTGGGCTTGGGGTGTTGGGTTCAGTGAGGGCGTAGCCGCGGTGGATCCCTGGGCGCATCTGTGCCTCCAGGGGGGTGCAGCAGGGTGCAGAGGGCTGAGTGAGGTGCAGAGGACTGTTGTCATGGGGCTTGCAGCCTGGGCTGGGAGGCGGTGTCCTAGTCACTTCCAGGGTCTCAGACTCAGTATCTGACACCCACGATGTGAAAGAGAGGTTGCAGTCCTTAGCTGGGTGTCCTGGCGGACATCGGGAGGAAGGGAAGAAGGGGGTGGGGAGGGAGCCACGCCCCCACACCATTCCCCTTTGACCAGACTCCACCCCCACGCTTGGTGGTGAGTGGGTGGGTACGTGTATGCCTCTATACGTGCGCACACATACCTACACGCTGGCCAGGGGAGGAATCCACTGATGAGCATCCCACCCCCATTAGACCTAAACCACCCCAGAGGGACTGAGCAGTCTTGGGAGAGGAGAGCCAGGCCAGGTGGCACACACTTGTATTCCCAGCGCTCTAGGAGGCAGAGGCAGAGGCAGGATTGCAGGTTTGAGCCCCGCCTAGGCAACTCAGTGATCTACTGGGGCTCTGTCTCTGGTGGGGGTCATAAAGAGTTTGCATGATTTTTATTTTATTTCTGCCAGCATTGGGAACTGAACCCAGGGCCTTTGTACTGTTTGTCCATTGTGTATGAATAAATAGGACAAGGTCTCCCTACGTAGCCAAAGCTGGGCTAGAATTTGGGATTCCCCTGTGTCTGCCTCCCAGGTTGCTAGGATTACAGGCATGTGCCACCACTTGTAGTTTTGTGCGATCGCGTACCAGGCTGAAGTTGGGAGAGCAGGGGTGACAGTAGCCACTCTCTGGGCCTACTTGGACACATAAGCTTTGGCTCCCGCACCTTGTGCTGGACCTTGAACTGCACTTTATCTAGTGGCTTTTGGGCTGGTATTTTAAAGTCAGTCTCCACAGCTGCAGAACACTGGTCAGGAAGTTGCGTCACGAGGCACGGTGGCACCACCCGCAGGCTCACCTTCTTGGGCAACTGAGGCAGGAGAATCACTTGAACTAGGGATTTACGAGCAGCCTGGGTCACATAGCAAGATTCCGTCTCAAAAGCAAAAGAAAGTCTTCCAAAAGTGCGTGACAAAAGCTGGGCACAGTGACACCTGCAGTCCCGGCTGCCCCGGAGGCTGTGGCTGAGGGATCACACATTGAAGGCCACGTGGGGCCACGCTGTGAGACCTGTTGCAGAGACAGCATCAGAAGGGCTGAGGGATAGGTCAGTAGGAGAGCATCCACCAGGTGCTCTGGGCTTGGGCCTCAGTACCAGGCCAGGTAGCCTGCGCTGCTGCCAGGAGCCCTTGTGGGTCCACACCCCAGGATTGGAGCCCACCGCAGACAGTAGCCCAGGGCATTCTCGCCCCGAGAAGATGCAGCAGACTACAGTGGCCCTGTTGTCCACTGCGGTGAAAGTTAAATGGTCTTGTTTAAACACAGGCTATTTAAATAGACGCCTCTTCTGAGTGAAGCTCATCTCTCTGACCTCATCCAGGAAAGCAGGCAGAGAAAACCACAGTGCGTGCAGCTTGAGCTGAGTGGTCATAGGTGTCTGCAGACCTCTTTCTCCTGTCTTCTTTCTCTGTAATTTTCCCGGGAACTCTGAAGTTGTAAGCTGTGTTCTCTCCACAGCAGCCGGCACCATTACTCAGTTGTGGAAGAGGCCTCTGCTGCTTGCCGTGTCGAAAACCAGAGCAGCACTTTCCAAGGGTGGCATATTAGGGCCAGACGTAGTGGTGTATAACCACTAGGCCAGCAGTCTTGGAGTCTGAGGCAGGAGGATCTCCTGTTGGAGCCCAGCCTGGCAATTAGTGATTTAGCCAAGTACAAAAATGCAAAAGGGTTGGAGATGTAGCTCAGTGCAGAGGTCCTGGGTTCAATCCCCAGTATCACCCAAAGGAAAAGGCAACATGATGCTTAGGGAAAAGATGGTGTCATTTAAAAAAAACCCGGAAATCCCAATTAAGAAATCAGAAAACTGTAAGCAAAAAGTCCCACCAGTAATACAAATCAGCTGTGACATTTACATAATGGTAAGCTTTCATCCAGAGTTGTCCTAAGACAAAATTTTAAGTTGCATATAGTAGGCTACTTGCCAAAAGCAGATAAAATCAAGGTGTCATACTGAAAAGCAAAACAGGCCCTGGGTTCAATTCCAGCACAACAGAAAACAGACTGTTTTGTGCCCCGGGTAGAGGGCTGGAGACGCAGCTCAAAAAGCCTCGGTCTGGCTGTGTGGGCCCTGGGCCCACGCTCTTTGCAGACAGGAGACCAAGCATGTGATAGACCTCCCCGAGGTGGGCTGCAGGAGTCAGGCAGCCCCTGCCCTGTCCCGTCACCTGCCAACATCCAGCTGGCACTTTCCAGTGGGCCCATCCCACCCTGTGCCTCACATCCTAGGCTGTCTTGAGAGTAGACACGAGCATATTTCAGGGACTTGAGAAATCCACCCTTAGGGAATATTTTGAGGGTGACTTGAACAGCCTTGCTTTGGGCAGTTTGGGGTGAGAGTAAGGCTAGAGATCTGCCAGGAGGTTTCTTTCTAATTCTTAGCCCCAGGGGCCCTGTGTGTATGCAGACAAGAGCTGGAAAAGTGAGAGGGAGGGACCATTGGTGTTCTGTGTTCTGTACGGGGAGGAGACACTTAGTGTTTGCAGCGTCTCCTGTGCTTGACTGTGTGTGTTGGTGCGCACATCACCCCAGTGCTGCGTTACAGGCTGCAGAAATTCTGACTGCAGTGCAGGAGGAAGTCTGGAGGTGTAGCTTGGAAGCACCCTGTTTTGTTTCTGGAGACAGAGTCTTGCTGTATATCTCAGGCTAGTCTTGAACTCATTGTGATCCTCCTGTCCCAGCCTGAGTGCCGGTGTTACAGAGCTGTGCCACCCCGAACGCTTTTATAATGAACCCACTTGCCAAAAAGCAGATAAAATCAAGGTGTCATACTGCTGAGTGTTCGTTCAGCTGAGTAGACCCTGTGCGTGCTGCTTAGGTAACAGCTGTTCATTGAATGTGTCTGTGTACCAGGTGAGACTTCCAAGTCACCAGGTTGCCAATGTAGTGGGGAGCTAAAGTACATGCCAGCGGCAGTGGTTAGGAAGAACGAGGAGCTGGAGAGCTGCCTGCCTGTGCTTGGTCTGTTTTTTTTTTTTTTTTTTTTTTTTGTCTTTTTCTTTTTTATCGGTACCAGGGATCAAACTCACAACCGCACACTTGCAAGGCAGGTGCTTATGCCGCTGAGCTAAATCCCCAGCCCCCTAGGTCTGTTTTTATCAGGCCCCTGACCTTAGTCACATAGTCTGAGTCCCATCAAGGGTAACACCACATAACTTTGGCAGGTGTGGTAGCACACAGCCACTACCCAGGAGGCTGAGGCAGGCAGATTGCAGTGAGTTTGAGGCTACTCTGGGCTACATAGCAGACCCTGTCTTAAAAAAGTAAAACCATGTGCTCTGAGTTTTTGAATGTGCAGTAAAACGCCTGGGTCACAGTTCCCATGCAGTCAGTGGTAGCTGCCACTGCCATTGCTGAAGACCCTAAAGACTTGGCGAGGTAGGCATGTGACACTTGGAGGAGAGCAGGGATGTGGCCTCTGTTTAAGCCTGTGGTTGACATTGCTGGCCGGTGGTGGTGGTGGTGGTGTCTTTGAAAATGTCCAGAAAGCATAGACAAGAGGTAGAAGTGAGACTGGCCTCGAGCAGTGCCGTTCCCAGTTCTTTGGGACAGACTGGCTTCGCAGGCAACTGAAAGAGATTCCTGGGTTCCCCAAGCTCCCAGGTTCTCCAAGTGGCGAGGCTGGCACCGGCTAGGCAGCCCTTCCCCAGGGAATCCACTGTATTCTTTTGAAGATGGCTCACGGGCTAGCCTAAGTGGCAGTGTCTCTGCTGTGCTGTGGTAGGGGATGGCAAGTCAAAAGAGAGCAGAGAGCCTGGGGATGCCCTGAGGTGGGCCTGAACGATGTTGAACATAGGTCTTAGTGGGGATGGGAGAGGGGTCAGGCCACCTGGGGAGCTGGGCACCCAGGTCAGGGGCCATACACATCAATCCTGGGAAGGAGGCAGGTTCCAATCCAGGTGGCGAGTTGCTGTGGGCACAAGTGAAATGCGAGAGGAGGACAGGCGAGCCAGGCCCCGTGGTGTGGACACTTGAGGCTCTGAGGCATGGGAAGGCTGCACAGAGCTGTTGTGCCAAGACCGGGTGTGGGAAGGTCTGAACTAGAATTGTGGAGGGAGGTGTGGAAGAGCAGGAAAAACGGCAGCAAGGATGGGGCCTGGGGGAGTGCCGTAGGCTGGAGGCGGCCAGCCTGAGCAACTTAGGGAGACCCCATCTCAACGTGAAGCGTTAGAAGCACAGTGCTTGTCCAGAGTGGGCAGGGCCTAGAAGGGCAGGCGGAGTTCTTTCCCTCCCTCCCTCATTTGCAAGAGTGTGTGTGTGAAAGTTGATGGGGATCAAACCCAGAACTTTCGCACTGAGTGGCCTCCCTGGCCCTTTTGTGTGCGTGCGCGGGGCGCGCTTTGAGGCTTTGTCTCACCTTGATAGCCAGGGGAGGCTCCAAATTGCAGCCTCCTGCCTCAGCTTCTCTGAGCCCTGGGATCACAGGTGTGTGCACCTCCATGCCGGCTCAGGGCAGGGTTCTTGGCTACGTTGAGGAACGCTAGAAATGGTTATGCATTTATCCTGAAGTCTATGTGGAAAAACAATGTCACGCTAGAAATGGTTATGCATTTATCCTGAAGTCTATGTGGAAAAACAATGTCGCTGTTGACGCCTGGGTGCAGGGAAGGTGGCTGAGGGCCGGGCCTGTCTCCCAGGGAGGTGCCCACAGCACCCAGCCCTCAGTCCCTTCACGTGCCTACCCCAGTGTCTTGCGTTTTCTCTGCTGCAGCGCCACCGCCCCCACCACCCATGGTCCGGAATGGTGCCCGGGACGTGCCCCCACCGCCCCCACCCTACCGCGCGCACGGGGAGCCCCCCAGTCGGGGGAAGCCCCCGCCCCCGCCCTCCAGGACGCCCGCCGGGCCACCACCCCCACCGCCTCCTCCGCTCAGGAACGGGCACCGGGATTCCATCACCACTGTCCGCTCCTTCCTAGGTGAGTGCTCGGAGTCACGCTGCTTCCGCAGGGGCCCGGGCCATGATCCTTAGACTGCTGTGCCCCTGCGCTGACATCGCTGACTCGGGGATGGGCCAAAGGGGAGCCAGCAGCAGTTCACTAGGGCTGTGCTCCTCGGTGTTTCTAGTTTTCCGCCAGAGACAACACCCTCCTCAGCGTTGTGCAGACGGGAGTTCTGTTTCCTAGAAGCAGAGCTCCTTTTTGGCTCTTTACAAAACTAAACAAGAGAGCCAGGTGTGTGGCACATGCCTGTCATCCCAGCACTGAGGAAACTGAGACTAGCGTGGGCTACAGAGTGAGCTCAAGGCCAGCCTGAACTGCATAGGGAGACCCTGCCTCAAAAAGACAAAATAAGCAAACAAAAACCAAACTACACATGAAGAGCTGGAGGACAGGGGCTGGGGATTTAACTCAGCGGCGGCATAAGCACCTGCATTGCAAGCAGGCAGTCGTGATTTCGATCCCTGGTACCGATAAAAAGGTAAAAGACAAAAAAAAAAAAAAAAAGAGCTGGAGGATATAGCTCAGGGGCAGAAGTGCCTGCCTGGCAAGCTCCAGGTCTGAGTTTAGTTCCTGGTACCAAAAAAACCCACAAGCTTAGGATGGGGAGGCCCTGGATTGGATCCCCCAACCCACTCCCCACTAGAAAGCTGAGTTATCTGGTCATAAGGGAAAGCCGCTGCGCAGCTGCTGCCTACAGCTTTGTTGTTTGGAGGAAGTTGCTTCATTGTCTTCCCTGATCTGTGAAACAAGTGAACCATATCAGGAGCTTCCATGGCATGAGTGTTGGGGTCCCATTGAGAGCCTGTTTGGTCTGGGGTAGATCGGAAGTAAAGACGATCAAGAGTGCGTCAGAGCACCATTGGAGCTAGCTATGGGGTCCCTCATGGCCCCCTCTGCAAGACATTTTCGTGGCTGCTCCTCATTCCTGGTTCCCTTTTGCCCCAAGGGGTGGACCAGGTTCTGCTTTGAACCTTCATCCACCTCACACAACCCTTAAGGATGTGATCTGGCCACACCCGGAGGAGCTTGGGCAGGACTGGATAAACTACCCGGCTGTGGTGCAGAGGTCTCAGAGAGCAACCTGGGCCAGAGCTTAGCTCTGCTCTGTGCCCGGCCACAGCGTCTCAGCTGGAGACAGATGTTCCCGTGGGAGACTAATTTCCACCAGTTCCTAGGGGCAGTTCCCTTAGTTCCTCTCCATGATGGTTCCTAAGATGACGGAGTCCTTGAAACAGAACTGCAATGCTTTTGGTTTCTGTGCAGACAGATGCCCTCTTCCTGGTTCACAACAGGTTCTGGTGGAAAGCGTGAAAGCAACACCTCAGAGTCTGAGATAAGCAGCCTGTGAGGGGGTCCCCTGTGCCCTGGGGACCCTGGCACAGCAGTCAGGGAGGACGGGGTACACCAGGCTGCCCCACAGCTCAGTGTAGGGGTGACAGGCCTTAACACTCTGCTCTTTTCACAGATGACTTTGAGTCCAAGTATTCGTTCCATCCCGTAGAAGACTTCCCAGCTCCAGAAGAGTATAAGCATTTCCAGAGAATATATCCCAGCAAAACACACCGAGGTGAGGCAGGAGGGACCCGTGTCCTGTGCTGGCATGGGAGATAAGAGTTTGTGTGTTTGCTTAGGTCAAATTCTGCTCCCCTTCACTGCATTAAAAACAACACAAACCTTAGTCCCAAGATTCCATGAAGGCCGAGAGCCTGTCTTGGGTGTTCAGGTGGTTCAGAGTTAATGTGACACGCATGTGGTTTTTTCCAGCTGCCCGTGGAGCACCCCCTCTGCCTCCCGTTCTCAGGTGAAGCCCAGTCAGTGCTGTTCCTGGACGGACAGCCCTGCTTTTCTCAGAGGCCCCACCCCAGAACCTGCATGAGCGCTCCCGCCGACTCCAGCACCCTCCGCTCACCTCCATCTCTGCTTCTGTCCCAATGCTGAGGGCTCTGATCAGCAGTGGCTCCCGCCCACCTCCCCCTCCACAGCCAGCCCCACGGGCAGAAGAGGAGGAGGCCCTGCTTTTCCAGAGGGGCCCTGTGCTGGCACAACAGTGGGAGCAGGGTGTGGCACTGTTTGCTGTCCCCTGATGCCTCAGGCAGGCAAGGGAGTACCTTTTCCAAGCTGTCAGGGGCTCCCTGCCTGCGACTTCTGTGGCGAGGGCGTGGCTTCCGAGTGTAGTGATCTGTTTTAAAGGTCAGATGTGGAGAAAGGATGGGAAGCGACTCTGCTTTACTTCCAGGGTATCTGGTTCTGTCCCCTCTCCCTGCCCCAGGGCCAAGGTGGCCACGGACACTGAGTACTAATCAGCCCACTAAACACTTAACCAAGGCATGTGTGGAATGGACTGAGGACACCAGAGCCAGGCTGGAACCAGTGATACCCAGGATGCCCTGCCTGCTTTCCTCAGGGTACTGGCCTCAGGGGTCTCCCCAACCCTGATCCCTTCAAGAGAAGAGCCCCTTCTTCTGGGGGACCCGAGTCCTTCCTGTCACAAACCCCTTACACCTCTGCTGGGAGACAGGAAGATCGGGCCTGGACTGCAGCTTCTGCAGTGAGAGTCCCTTCGCTCAGCCCCCGGAGACCAGGAACTGGAAGGCCTTCCCAGCTCCCTTTGGTGCCGCCCTCTCCTTCCAGGCCTGTAGGGTGGTGTAGGGGAAGGAGGCCAGCAACAGACCCTCAGGGATGGGGACCTTCAGGGCTTGTGTACGTAAAGGGATGCCCAGCCCAGGGATTGCCCTGGCAGCCGGCAGTATGATTGTGCCCTCCAGGCCCCAGTCCGAGCACAGAGTGAGCGAGCAAGGCCCAGCTGAGGCTGTAGAAAGGTTCCTGTCCCCCTCTGGTAGCAGGGGCTTGGCTCCACACCCTGCCGGGTCGGTTTGGAGAATCTGCCCAGAGCAAGGGAACCGAGTTGACCTTGTTTCTCGTGCTGTCACCAGACATGTCACAGGCTTGCGCTGCTGTGGGGACCTTTTATTAGTTCAGCTGGGTCACAGGCCAAGGGTCCAGGCCAGCTCTGCTCAGCACCAGCGAGGGGGAGGGCTCCAGGTTGCAAGTTCTGAGTCTGCTGTCCCTTGCCATCTCGTGGACCACAAGGACTCTGGGCATAGACCTTGCTAAGATCTGTCACCAGACACATTCTGACCCTTCTGTGTCTGCCACTGTTTTCTGACATGTTGGCAGTCACCCCAGAACACTCCCCAGCACCCTTGCATGGGTGGGGCGCAGAGGGGCACGTACAGCGTTCAAGGTAGATGCCCACACGTGACTGAACTTTGACTGTGAAGTCTTCCCATTTATTTTTGAAATGGGAGTTGATGCTTTTCATACAATGTTTTCAGAGTGTATCCTTTTTCCCCCTTTACTGAAACATACAGCATCAAGAGTAAGCATCACAAATAAAGCCAAACCCCAGCTTTTCATTGGGGCTGCTGTCTTCTCTCTGTGACCTGCTGGTCCTTGTGGTCCCCAGCACTGATACCGTGTGACCTGGGCAGGGACTGTATTTTCACTGCTGGCTTCGACTAAAAAGGCCTGGCTCTGGATCCACAGTGGCCGTCCCTTGGAACACGTGGTGAGCCAGCATGGCCTTATGCGCTCTTCGGTCCTGCTGTTAGTAACAGATTTCTTACCGTGTGTATTTGCTGTCGGAGACAGGAGCATGGCTGCACGGCCACAGAGTCGCTGGTCTGGTTTGTGTGCAGTACAGAGCCCAGGCTGTAGGTTTTAAGGTGGGCACTAAACTTACCGCCTCCTGAGCTGCTCCTGGACTCTGGGTGGGTACGCATGCCCTCTCTTTGGGGAAGCCAGACAGTCTGAGTTGAGGCTGTGCCCAATCCCCTACCTCCCTTGTCTGCTTGCAGAGGGAAGTGACATCCCAGCTTAGCAAAGAGAAGCTGTGTGGATGGCCCTTGTGTGGCTTTGGTTCATGATGTTTTTCCCTGGTGGGGAAACCTCCTAGTCGCTTTCATTTAAACACATTAGACATCCCTTCCTCCTCCATCAGTCATAGAACACAGAAGCGCTCTGCTAATCCAGGTGTGGCTTCTCTGTTGCAGGGATCTGCTCTAGCTGCCAGCCACCACCACCCACTCACCCCCCACCCCCCTTTCTACAGTGGGGCAGCAGAGTGAATCTGGAGCTGTCTCTGCCCCTCCCCTCCAGCCTGGAACTCACATTTAAGGTGTAAAATAGACTTGCCACAGAGCAACTCAGGGTTGGGGTGTGTCTTCATTCTCCTGGTAACTTGAAATAATCTTTAGGTCATGTGCTTCTGGGTGACTCAGGGTGGAGTGGGCCTCTGGTGGCCCTGGCCAGCACACGCCAGAGTCTGACCTTCTGAAGCCCACCCCACACCAGCTGCCATTGGATTCTGTGCATTCCACTGTCCTATCTTTCCCTGTCGCCTGGGACCCCTTAAGTTAGGGAATGGAAGGTGAGAGAGGGCTTCGCAGCTCTGCCTTTAAGGTTCAGCTCTTTTTTTTTTACCTTAAGGAAATGTGAGTATATAAGGTTCAGCTCTTAAAACGAAAAGGTGATAACCACCTTCGAAACCACATGCAAAAAAGGAAAAAAAAAAAACAAGAACCCTGTAACCGGAGGAGGGGTTGGTTCCATTCCACTCCACGTCCATTGTGCCTTTACTTGTGTTAGGTTTCTGTGCTTTCCTCCTCTGTGTCTTTGAAGAAATTAAAATCCTCCTTGGTAACTGCTGTTTCCTCCTTTCTTGTCTTGTTTCTGATGCTTCCTGCCTGGCACCTCTTTGGTGGGGCCAGAGGGGTCTGGCCTCCGCCCTTTCCCACGTGAAAGTCACCTTTAACACTGAAAATGAGAGCAAGTATGTGTGTGTGTGTGTGTGTGTGTGTGTGTGTACGCATACGTGTCCATGTATCCATCCGTCTGCGTGTGGATCAGTTTCTTTTAAAGAATAATTTATTGTATGATTTGTCTTGGAGTTATATTCCCATTACAATCAATGCTCTCTCTCCCAAATAGTACTGATATCTTCCCCCACCCCAAAAGTGTATGATCTCACCTCAGGTTGGATTCTTTGGTACAATTCTTTCTCTTGGATGCTGTGCAGTTTAATTAAACCTTGCCAAAACCAAAAACACAAAGCTGCAAATCGTGTGCTCTTTGGAAAGTCACCTGTGAGGTGGCCTAGGGAGGGGACAGTCCCTGCCCCCAGCGCCGGCCCAGGTGGAGGCTGTGGACTGAGTGAGCAGCCCTGGGCTCCTGAACTCTGCCACCTGACTTCGCGGGGACTCCTGGCCTCACACCCTTGCCTCCTGTTCCCCAGGGTCCTCTACCTGTCCTGCTCTCAGACTCAGGCCTGCGGTCCTTTGTTTTGATGTGGGTGTTGGCTGTTTTTCCTCCGCTTTTTAAGCTGTAAACTTCTTGGTTTTCTTGAACTTTGACTTCCAATGTGGAAACGTCAGGCTGTGGTCAGCTGACACCATCAGAAGGTGTAATGAGCCTATTAACTTTTGCTCTTATCGCTAGTACTAGCACAGGTCTTCAAGTCCAGTCCTGTGTTGATTCATTGAAGGTGTGTGACTGAATGACTCACATACTACAGAGGGGCGGGAAGGGGGAGGAAGGACCCTCTTCATTTTCATCCCCCCTCTTCATTTTCATCCCAATTTCCCAGGTGATTTGACCTATCAATGTTATTAATGATTAATAAACTGCCTATTGATTTAGTTGTGGTGATTCTAAATGGCCTGCACGTGGACCTGGCCTGAATGGGCCTTGCTTCTGGCCAGGGAGCTGTGTCTGTGTGCATGTGCACTCAGGATGCTGCCAGGCTGGTCATTCTGGTGCAGCCCCATTCCTCTCCCTTCCCTAACACCGCCAGGGCACAGCGAGTGATGATAAGGCCTCGCTGTAATTGCTACTGAGGTGGAGCTGCTGCCCAGAATGGGCCTCAGACTTCATTCCCAGACCAGGGCAGCTGAAGTCTGCACTGCACCCTGGAAGGGTGCTGCCCCTCCGGCACCTAGCATTCTGCAGACGAGGGAGATGGCAAAAATGCCACCTCAGAGGGTGACTGTGACCAAAGGCCTCCCCTGACCTTCCCAGGCAGGATTCTCATGCTCAGGTTCCCCAGCCGAGCCCTCCTCTTCTCGATGCTGGGTTCCCGACTCAGCCCTGGTGACCACTGAAGCCCAGCTTCTGCCTGCAGAGGCCATGTGTGGCAGGTGACTCCGGTCCAAGCAGCCACAGGACACTGCACAGGGTTTCACAAAGCGACCGATGGCGGGGAGAGAGAACAGAGGCAGAGAATGAGCAGTGTGGTGTGATCAAAAACGGAGTGACCACTGAAACCTAAAATTATTCCAGTAAAAACCGCACTGCTGCGGACCCTGCTCAGAGTGTCCCTCCTGAGGCACCTGTAGGGCGTTCACAGCCACGTGTCTCCCTGGGATACATTTTTAAATATAAACATCCATCCCGAATTTTGATCATACCTCCCACATCCACTTACTCCTGTAAGTCAGGGTCAGGAGTTTGAGCTGTCACCCTGGAGCTCTTCCAGTCATTCGTGTCACCTTGGGAAGTTCACTTACCCCCTCTACTCGAGTTTCCCCATTTGTAAGACAGAAATAAACACTGCCTTTGTGCGGTGCTAGTGAGGAACAACAAAGGAATCCAGGTAAAACACTGAGCTCAGCCCCGGCCTGCACTTCCTCCTGTGTTGGCTCTGCCTCCTGTGTGGACTAAGTGCAACCAGCTGGTGAGTGTAGTCACATTCCATGCCTGTTCCTCAGCTTTAGGGCTCTATTTTATTTTTTATCAAAGGATAAAAGATAAATATTTGCCATGACCTAGAATTAGGTTCTGGCATTTCAAGGAAACTGACAGGTCATCAGCTTTGGAACTGGCCTGCAAAGTACCCTCTAATTTATATTTTTCATTAAAAGCTCAGCTGGCCTTTTCTATAATTGTCTTCTCTGGCTCTGAAACCCTACTGTTCGGCCATAAAATATTTTAAAATTAAAGAACCGTAACTCTTTCCAGTCCCCACGTTGTGTGGATTAATGTTAAGTAAGAAAATGCACAAAAACAGTATTTTCACACTGAACAAAACAAAGAGGTGGTTCTTTTGTTGAGTCAGGGTCTCGCTATGTACTCCAGACTGTTCTTGAACTCACTATGTTCCCAGGTTGGCCTCGAACTTGCAGTGATCCTCCTGCTTCAGCCTCCCGAATGCTGAGTTCTGGAATGACAGGCGTGCACCACCACACCAGGCTTAAAGAGCTGGTTCTTATCACCGCTGGAGCACAGGAGATACTGCGTACTGCGATGAAGCGCAGTTTTTTGCACAACGGAAGACTGAATCCAGGAAGCCAAGGAGCTCTGTTACATCCCCAGCGTCCCCTTTTTTTTTTTTTTTTTTTTCTTTTTTGAGACAGGGTTTCACTAAATTGCCCAGGTTAGCTTGGAACCTGGAATGCTGCCTCAACCTCCCCAGTACCTGGGACTACAAGTGCGTGCCACCACACTTGGCTTCATTCTTTACATAAGTGCAGAACTTTATCGCGGTGTCAGGAGCGCAGGATCCTGGGCCCGCCGCGGCCACGTTAGCTGCCGTGACCTCTGACCTTGCACAGCCCCTTCCCACAAACCCTTACCTTCGGAGAGTTGACCAATAGAGGTGAGCAACGTGCCCAGCATCTCGGCTGTCCCTCAGAGCGTCCCTGTATGGTAGGGATTACGTAGTAACTCCATGAAAATGCAGCCCATCAGGATGATGAAACTGGGTACGTGTGGCAGAGGAAGTACATGATGACACAGACACAGGAAACGCAAGAGACTAGCAAAGGAGCCTCGCTGGGATCATGGACTATATCTCCCGTCGGCCTTTGCAGCGGGGCGGGGCGCAAACGTCAGCCGTTTTCCCGCGCCGTGAGAAGCCCCGGATGTAGATCGTCTCCTGGCCTGGTGGGCGTGGCCTTACGTCGGCTTTGCGACTCATGGCCGTTTTATTGGCTGTAGGTCTTCCAGCAGGATTGGACGTGAAAGAAGGGGAGGGATCCGAGACCCGCGGCGATGGCTCAGCGACCAATCAAAAGCTTGGCTGGGTTTTGGCGCGAGGCGGGAACACCTTGGTGGTGCAGATTTGGCGCGAGCCGCGCTTGGTGCCGCAGGTGTAGAGTCCGAGAGCCCGTTGTGGACAGTGCTGAGGCTGTACGCCAAACGCGAGGGACCCTGCCGCGAGTCGACCCCGCCCAAGCATCTGGAAGGAGCAGAAACTCGCGAGGAGACGGTTCTGGTACTGGGAACGGAAAGAAGCTCAGGTCCGCCCGGGTCAGGTCGGTTCCGGTGGGATGGGGTCGAATCGGGCTGGGACTGCGGAGGTGGCGGTCGTGGGCTAAACGGGGCCGGGGCGAGGCACTTGGAAGCGGTCAGCCCAGCACTCGGGAGCCTGAGGCAAGAGGATCACAATTGCCAGCGCAGCCTGGGAGACATAGGGAGACCCTGTCTCCAAATAAAAAATGTAAAAAGAGCTGGGAATGTACCCCAGGATTGACTCACACACAAAGTTACTTAAGGTGAATTTAGTGCACGCTCAAGACCAAGTGGTTAAGAATCTGGGCCCCTGGCAGAAACCCTGCTTCTCAAGGCGGGAATAAAAATATAGCAGTGCCCACCTCTAAGGTCGCACAGAATGTCAGGGGACAAGGCGTGAAGTGCTTCCAGCAGCGGGGCAGACCACAGGTGCCAGCTCTTACTGCTTCGGTTTTGGTGTGGCCACTGAATGCCAAAACAAAAGAATTTACTTTTAGAATGAATGCTGAGCATCTAAATAAATAAGTCTTATGTTTGTCTCTTGCTCTTCATATCTACATCTTTTTTTTTTTTTTTTTGTCTTTTTCGTTTTTTATCGGTACCAGGGATTGAACTCACGACTGCCTGCTTGCAAGGCAGGCGCTTATGCTGCTGAGCTAAATCCCTAGCCCCCATATCTACATCTTTACAGATTGCCAGATCCTGTGTATCCAGCTGTATGGCCAGTGACATGCCTCAAACCCGATCCCAGGCACAGACTATGATCCGTTTTCCGAAAAAGAAGTTACCTCGAACACTGGACAAAACTCAGAACTCTAGGAACGCTCAGCTGGTGCCAACAAATGTGCAGACTACACCCTGCTCTGCAAAGATTCTGCCGCTCAGCCCCAGAAAGCGCCTGGGTAGGTGACAAGTTTTTCACCTTTCTGATTTCAGTAAGACATCAGCCCTTTGCGAGACCTAAGTTCAGTGACGTCCACAGTCTGTGTTCCCTTTATTTCTTTTCGGAATGGTTGCTGAATGCTTATACTGAACTTCAGCGTTCAGCCACTCAGGGAGATCACTTTCTGAACTGTTTCGTAGGTGTGGTCTTCAGTTGTGATGTAATACTGAACTTTATTTTATTTTATTTTATTTTATTTTATTTTATTTTATTTTGACAGAGTCTCACTTTGCCATCCAGGCAGGCCTTGAGCTCATTTTCTAGCCCAGACTGGTCTCAAACTTGCAGGGATCCTCCTGCCTCAGCCTCCTGACTGCTAGGATGACCTGAGTGCATGATCACATCTGGTTTTTATTTTTTTCAGTTTTAAATCACCTTGCAGTTATGCAATATGGACTTTGCCTCCATGTATGTGAAATTAGTGGATCACCTTCTGACTGCTCTGAGCTCTTTTGTCCTAGAATGAGGGTCTGTTTGTTTGTTGTTTGTTTTTCTGTTTTTTTTTTTTTTTTTTTTTTTTTCTTTGCAGTGCTAGAGATCAAGCCCAGACCTTGCCAGGTCTTGGGAACTTGCCAGGCAAGCGTTCTACTGTTGAGCTACCACTGGCTCAGCCCAGGAGCATGTGTTCCGCCTTATCTTTTTTTTTTTTTTTTTTTTTAATTCTCATTGGTTGTGGAGCTTGGTGGGTTTCATTCTGGCAGGCTGATAAGTGCACATAACATACTGAGTCACCCCACTCCCTACCTGCTCCCATTTTTGTTTTGTTTTCTTTCTGTGCTAGGCAAACTCTTACTGAGCTACACCCTACTGCCCTTTTTACACTGAAACGGGGTCATGCCAAATTCTCCAGGATAGGCTTGACCTTGTGTACCTCCTGCCTCATCCCCCAGAGCAACTGGAATGAGAGCTGGGCATCACCACTGCAAGTCTGAGCGGAGGTTTTTAGTGGGGAGTGGTCTGGGCTGGAGACATTTTTGGTTATCACAGCTGAGGGCTTGCTGCTGGCACAGCAGGTAAACACCAGTGGGGCTGGTAAGCACCCTACTGCGCTTGCAACAGGTCCTGTCCCAACATGAAACTATGCAATCCAAAGTGACAATGTTGCAAAAGTTGAGGAACCTGGTGTAGAGCAGTCTAGAAGGAAACCCACCTGTTGCAGGACTCAGTGGCGCCATCTGGTGGTCGTGTTTGCGCTGATGAGGTGAGGCGGGGCTTTGCCGTTTTCCTGAAGTACGCATCTTTGCCTCCAGTAAGCGAGCACATTTTGACTTTCCCGTTCCAGGCGAGGACAACCTCTGCAACACCCCCCACCTCAATCCCTGTTCCCCACCAAAGCAAGGCAGGAAAGAGAACGGCCCACCTCGCTCACGTACCCCGAAGGGACGCCGATTGGTATTTGACGATCAGCTGACAGTTAAGTCGCCCAGCAGAAGCCATCGAGCGAGGGGTCACCAGAACAAACCAGTGTCCCCCACTGTTGCCGTCAGGAAAGGCGAGGAGAGCCCAGCCGGGGGCCAGCAGACACAGACACGGCCGCTGGAAAAGGCGCCGGCACGGCTGAGGCTATTCAAGCAGGAAGGTGCGGGGCTGGGAGCTCAGCTGGGGACACTGAGGCTCTGGGGTGTTTGGCAGTTGCCCTCCGCGGGGCTGTAGCTCCCTGTGCCTTGCAGGCACAAGGTCCTGAGTTTGATTCCCAGTACCTAAATAAATAAACTGACTTTCATCTTCTTGGCGCAGGTACTTGCTACCAGCAGGCCAAGCTGGTCCTGAACACAGCTGTCCCTGACCGGCTGCCAGCCAGGGAAGCTGAGATGGAAGTCATCCGGGGTTTCCTGAGAGAGCACATCTGCAGGAAGCAGGCTGGCAGTCTGTACCTCTCTGGGGCACCCGGGACAGGGAAAACAGCCTGCTTGAGCCGGGTTCTACAGGACTTCAAGGTGAGGGCGGGGGCTCAGGTGGAGGGGTCAGGGACCTGGAGGGTTTCCTTGCAGGGAAGCTTATCAGTGTCAGTTGTCTAAATCTTACCAAGCTGGGTGTGATGATGTATGCCTGTCATCCCAGCACTCCGGAGGCTGAGGCAGGAGGATCCTTGTGAGCTCAAGGCCAGCCTGAACTGCATAGTGAGACCCTGTCTCAAAAAGAAAAGAAAAAAAAAAAAAAAACTTGCCGAATGAACGTTTTCTGTGTTCTTCCAATGCTGTCACCTCTCCAAAACATCTCAAGTCTCATCAACTCTTTCTCTGAGGCTGCAGCAACTTCCAGGTTTGTTTGTTTGTTTTCTTAGAAGGAAGGGAAAGGCTTTAAAACTATCCTGCTGAACTGCATGGCCCTGCGGAGCGCCCAGGCGGTCTTCCCAGCTATTGCTCTGGAGATTTGTCCGGAAGAAGCATCCAGGACAGCTGGGAAGGACATGATGAGGAAATTAGAGAAGCAGATGACTGTGGAGAAGGGGCCCATGATGTAAGTGCTCCTCCCACAAGGCTGTGGGGCGAGGCCTGCATAAAGAACACAACACTGTGTTTGCTATGAGAGCTGTTTAGGTAAACTTGAAGGAAAGAAATGTAGCTTCCTATACTGCTGAGCTAAATCCCCAGGCATTTCCTACTTTTAAATTTGAACAAAGCCAAGTTGTGGCGCTTGCCTGTAATCCTAGTTCTCAGCAGGCTGAGGCAGGAGGAGCACAGTGACTTTGAGGCCAGCCTGGACTACAGGATGAATTCCTGTCTCAAACAATAGGTAGACTGATTGATTTGGGGGAAAATGTCTTTTGTTGCTTGTGAGCCAGGTGACACTCAGCTGTCATCCCATCACCCAGGAGGCTGAAGCAGGAAGATCACCACGAGTTCCAGCCTGGGTTATAAGACAAGCCTAAATTACATAGCAAGACAAAATAAGGCAATTGTTTGAAAAGCCCCAGATTGTGCATGTACACACTGGGAGCTCTCTGTCCTCCTGCCAGTGACTAGACATGGGCCAGGATGTAATCCCCACACTGCCCTCAACGTGGGGCCCTGAAGGTGACCATGGTCTAATGGTGCGTCTTCCCTTGCAGTGTGCTAGTGCTGGATGAGATGGACCAACTGGACAGCAGGGGCCAGGATGTGCTGTACACGCTGTTCGAGTGGCCATGGCTCAAAAATTCCCGTTTGGTGCTGATTGGTGAGTCTGGGGGTCAGCAGGGCAGGGTGCTTCTGAAGTTTTTGTTGAATAAATTCAGTTTATTTATTTGTTTGGTTTTTTGAGACAGGGTCTTGCTGTGTAGCCCAGGCTGATCTTGAACTTACTTTGTGGCCCACGTTGACCTTGGATTCAGAGAGCCTTCTGCCTCAGCCTCCTTAGTGCTGGGATCACATGCATGCAGTTTTAGTTTATGGACTGTAGTTTTCTTAAACTCACTTTCTGTTTTCTTCTCAAATTAGGGAAATTACTATGACAGGACAATGTTTTTACCCTAAAGCAAATCAGTCTTCTTAGGTCTGAGGGAAAATACTATGAGCAGGGTACAGTGTTCTGTACTTATAGTCCCACTTACTCTGGAGGCTGAGACAGGAGGATCATAGCGAGCTCAAGACCAGCCTGGGCTGTATAGTGAGACCCTGTCTCAAAATGATGGTTTCAAAACCAGCCTGGACCATAGAGTGAGCTCAAGGACAGCCTGCAGGATATAGTGAGACCCTGTCAGCCAAAAGACAAAAACAAAAACAGCAGGCTTTTTTGGGCATGGAGTCCACTTCTCTGCACGATTGTGGTGCAAACTCCAGCGCTCTAAGGGGTGTGCAGCTCAGCGGGGGCTAAGGGCGGGGACTGGTGCGCTGGGATCTGCCCAGAAGTCCGATTCAGTCCGTCCTGTCTCTGTCCCTTGTCCCCCACGTGCCTGGAGCTCAGCGTCTGTCAGGCTGGTTTCCCTGACGGTGCTATGCATGTTTCATGCCTTCCACAGGAGTTGCCAACACCCTGGACCTCACAGAGAGGACCCTGCCCAGGCTGCATGCTCGAGAGGGCTGTCAGCCACGGCTGCTGCACTTCCCGCCGTATACCAGGGCTCAGATAGCCACAATCCTGCAGGACCGGCTGCAGCAGGTAAGCAGGGCGTGGTGGTACACAACAGCATTCTTTGGAGGCTGAGGCAGGAGGATCACCATGAGTTCAATGCCAGCCTGAGCTACAAAATGAGACCCTGTCTCAAAAAGAAAAAGGCAAAGTCGGGGGTGGAGGAATTACTCCCGTTTCCTTAGTGGTCTGTGAAATCTAGGGCCTGTGAAGGAACCAGCTGTTTCTTGTTTGTTTGTTTTCCTAGGATTGGGAATGAACTCCAGGACTCAGGAGGCTCTGAGCTCCATCCTCAGCCCATTTTTAGTTTATTTTGCTGTATTCAAGTTCATGTTAAGTTGCCCATGCTCATGTTAAGAGCAGACTCTGTCTCAAAATAAAGGAGGAATAGAGGGATGTACCCCGGCAGTACAGTGGCTGCCTAGTGGCACGAGGACTGGCAGCTTCCACCCTGGGGACCTGGGGGAAAACTTTTTCTTTTCTTTTCTTTTTTTATCGGTACATGAACTCATGACCATGCACTTGGAAGGCAGGTGCTTATGCCACTGAGCTAAATCCCCAGCCCTGGGAAAAACTTTTTCAAATCTCCACATTTAAAAGTAGCATCCCTTAAATAAACCTTATACATTACAAACAATAATAAGTAGGTAACCAGGGCTGTGGATTTAGTTCAGTGGCTTAATCACTTGCCTGGTAAGCACAAGGCAGTGAGTTTGATCCCCAGAACCAAAAATATAAAAATAAAAAATAAATAGATAACCATGCTGACCTTGGAAGTGGAATCTTCCTGCCTCAGCCTCCCAACTAATGCCAAGTAGCTGGGATTAGTTTACAGGCATGTGCTGCCACCCCTGACGAAATTTTTCTTTCCCAGTTGGTTTTTTTTTTTCCTTTCCATCCCAGCGTTTCTACCACATGCTTACCAGATTCTTAAAACTTGAAAACTCAGATATTCAGGCATGTGTTTATTTTGTGGTACCGCACACTGAACTCAGGTCAGGTCTGGAGTGCGCTGTGTGCTGAGCGGTACCCCCACCGCTGTGCGGTTCTGAGAACAGGGCCGGCTGAGACCCTAGCAGCAGCCCATCCAGTGTTGAGGTCCCTGGGAGGATATGGGGAGAACCCAAACCACACAGAGGACCTTCCCGCCAGGTCCCACCCTGCATGTCCCCTCCGCAGGTGGCTGGAGACTTGGTCCTCGACAGCGCTGCCATTCAGTTCTGCGCCCGCAAGGTCTCCGCTGTGTCCGGTGACGTCCGCAAAGCACTGGACGTGTGCAGGTGAGCCTGGCATCCCCAGCAGAGGCCGTTCTTAGGCAGAAAGAAGAGGCGGAAGAGAGGCTGCCCTCTGCCTCTAGGGCTGCTCGGCGGGGATCCCAGGCTCCTCTGCGCTAATGTCTGGGACGTGATCAGCCCATTACCTACAGGAGGGGGATAAATGAGACGTCGCCGGGGCTCCCCGCGGTGATTATAGATTGGTTAATTACATTTGTATTAAAGAAGGCTCGGGTTTACTTTTCCATTAGTGGGGCTCAAGCAGGTTTATTTATGGACCTGAACCTTCCCTGCCTCCAGACGCTCTGGCTCCCTCCCTTCCCTTGTGGGCGCCCTGACTCCCTCCGGTTGGTGGCCCACACCCCCACCTCCTACTCCTTCCCTCCCGTGCCTCCAAGCCAACTGGTGCAGTTCCTTCCTCCTGGTGGGGGCACAGGGTCCATATGATGGCACTGGCTGTGCCCCTGCACGCCCTCCCCTGGCGCCAGACCAAATGCCTGGACTGGCTTCCACCGGCAGAGGATTGGGGGGGGGGGTCCCTGCCACTTGATGGTGTGAGCCTGACTTAGAAAAATTCCGTTCCTTCAGGGACCTGGACAGCCAGCCCAGCCCAGTGGCCCTGGGGACCCCCTGGTGCAGCCTGCAGGGGGCGCCCTTCCCCACCTCCGCCCAGGCAGGCTGCATGTCTGTCTGTCCTCACCCCAGGCTTGGTGGCCATGGGAGGTGACCTACTTGGCATTGCATGGGGGAACCGCACAGTGTGGAGGTTTCCCTGGGCTCCGGCCCATGAATTATTTCAAGACAATTAAGTCCGCTTTAGCTGAGACCTGACCCAGTTCTGCGCGGAGGCTGCCGTGGGTGCCTGCTCTCCAGCTGGGGGTTCCATGTGGGGTTTGGTTTCGCTCAGCCTAAATTAATGTGAAAACTTGGGGTTTTTTTATAGGAGAGCAATTGAAATTGTAGAGTCCGATGTCAAAAGCCAGACTCTCCTCAAGCCATTATCAGAATGTGAGTATTTATCTCCTTCCTGTCTTCTGTTTGTTTGTGACAAGGTCTCACTATACAGTTCAGGCTGGCCTTGAATTCCCAGGACCCTCCTGCCTCAGCCTCCCGAGAGCGCTGGAATGACACCCGGCCTGTCTTCCTTTATGAATGGAAGCCTCACTTGCCTGAGGGAGGCAGGCGGTGGAAAGAAGAAAGGAATGTAGTAAACTGCACCCCAGTCCTGACGCCTTCCCATATATCGTCCACGCGTTATTAGACAGAAGGCCTGGGCAGCGCTGCGGGGCCAGGCGCCCCAGTGCCTCGGATCAGCCTCTTAGATCTTACCTTGAACGTACTCTTAAGCCTCCATGGTTGGAGCACCTCTGCTCCACAGGAGGTGAGGGGGAGGGTTCTGAGTGAGTATCCAGGTGCACTTAGCTTCAGACAGGCCCGGGGGGCGCTGCTACGACAAACTGGGGGCTGGGAAGCAGCAAGGGTTTTCCTTCCTCCAGCCCTGTTCTCTGCTCTGTGGCAGATGGGGAAGCAGGCCAGGCTCACCCTGGTTAGCATCCGGGTTAATCTCGGATACAGGGCGGCCGACCGCATGGCTTCTCTCTTCGTGCCCTTGCTGGCTGATAGTGCTTGCTGGGGATGTAGCTCAGCAATGCAGCGCCTGCCTGGCAATTCCAAAATCCTGAGTTCAATTCCTGGTACCAAGAACAAAGAAACAGCCAGCCAAGTTAGCGCTGGGGGAGGAGTGAGGACCACAGGGCCGTGGTGGCACACACGGTGCTTTGCTCCTCGCCTGTCTGTGACATTTAGCTCATTTGTGCCCTCCGATCCACACATTGCTAAAAGTCACTGTGCCTCGTTGGGCTTCATTTTTGGTTTTGGTTTGGGTAGGGAGGGTAGCAGGAATCAAACTTTGAACCTCAGGCTGCCAGGCAAGCGCTGTACCCTGAGCTAAATCCCAGTCCCTGAATTTTGGGTTTTAGAGATAGGGTCTTGCTCTATAGTTCAGCCTGCCCTTGAACTCAGTGTGGAGCCCAGGCCAGGCTCCAAACTTGTGTCGATCCTCCTGCTTCAGCCTCCACACTGCTGGGATTACAGGCAGGCACTAGTGTTTGCTGGGCCCCTCATCTCTTGAGTTCTGGTGCATGCAAGGATGGTTTTTATTCATTTCATTTTATTTGGTACCAGGGATCGAACTCACAGCCTTGCACTTGCCAGTCAGGTGCTTATATCACTGAGCTGAACCCCAGCCCAGGTTAGTTTTTAATGGCTCCAGAGACCCATAGGGACATTGACTTTAGCTGGACAAAAGAGGGGACTTTCTGAGCATGCAGGGAGCTCTGGGCTGAGGATACTCACACAAAAGCTGGCTAGACAACCATGACCACTCAAGCTGGGCTTGCTGGAGTGGGTGTTGGTGTTAGGTGAGGAGCTAGAATGGACCTCCGATAGGAGTCTGTTACTCAGCAGGGGGTTTAGCACAGCCCCATAAGCACCTGCCTGGCAGGCACCAGGTTGTGAGTTCGATCTCCGTCGCTGTTACTGGATCTCTGGAGCATCCCATCGGGAGCAAAATGTCCCCTTGCAGGGACCAGGAGTGACTTTAGGTGCACAGCCCTCCCCGCTCTGCCCTGTGAGATTGGGTAACAATTGTGGGACAGAGAGGCCCTGGTCCCCCACGGCTTCTGGCTGGCCCAGAGATGACCGCTGTCTGTGGGGCTGCCCCACGAGGTTGAAGTCTTTCTGTCCTGCAGCTCAGCATGGGTGAGGGGACCACACTCCCAGGGTCACATGGAGGCCGCCCAGGGCTGCCGAGGGGTGGATGCCACACTTATCTCAGGTCCTCTCATTCTTCACAGCTCCCTGTCTAGTCTTGTTTTCCAAGTCCACTCCCCTTCGCTTTCGTGTGATCCATCACCCGGGTTTCCTGCTCTCTTCAGAGTTTAACAGTGCTCCTCTTGCTCCGTCCTCAGGTCCCTCAACCTCGGAGGCCGTGGTCCCCAAGTGTGTGGGTCTTGCTCATGTTGCCCGGGTTATTTCCGAAGTGGATGGTGACAGGATGGCCCCAGGCACAGACGGAGCCCAGGACTCCTTCCCTCTGCAGCAGAAGATCTTGGTCTGCTCCCTGCTGCTCTTGACCAGGCAGCTGAAGGTCAGAGAGGTCACACTGGGGAAGGTGAGTCCACCTCACAGGTGGAGGAGTCCAACTCTGCCCGAGGGACGGGTCTTTCCCAGAAGGCCTAGCACCCAGCCGATGGGAATCACAGGTGAGGCTGGGCAGTAAGAATAAATGCTGGCCCCATAGAAAAGGCAGCTCTGTGTGCCTCGGTGTGTGGGAACAGCCGGGCGTGGTGGTAAACACCTGTCACCCCAGTCCTTGAGAGGCTGAGGCAGGAGGATCACCATGAGTTTGAGGCCATCCTGAACTGCATAGTGAGATCCTGTCTCAAAAATCTTCCCCCTAAATTAAAAATTTTTAAAAAGATTAAAAAGAAATGAGAGACATGACTTTTAAGCAGTGTTTGTTCCCCATTTCCTCCCAGCTCTGCGAAGCCTACAGCAGTGTCTGTCGCAGACAGCAGGTGGCAGCTGTGGACCAGTCAGAGTGTTTGTCGCTTGCCGGGCTCTTGGAGTCCAGGGGCATTGTAGGATTAAAGAAAAACAAGGAGACCCGCTTCACAAAGGTACAGCCAACCACCTGCCTCTCTCTCCGGGGTGCAGAGAACTGCAGGTTCAGAAACAATGCCACCGGTGAACTGGGCACAGTGGCTGGGCACAGTGGTGCACGCCTGGGGCCCCAGCACTCCTGGAGGGTCGGGAATGGAAATTCTGTCTGGGCGGCTTAGCAAGGCTGTGTCTCAAAAGTAAAATTAACGCAGGGGGTGGGTCTGCCGCTCGGTGGTAAAGCACCCTGAGGGTGGCCGTGGTGGTGGCAGCGGCAGGGAACCTAGGGCCTGCTGCTTGTAGCATGGGAAGCCCTGAAAGGTTTGCCATCACAGCCCAATAAGATAAAAAAAACAGCACAAGTAGACAGGCAGTTTGGTTTTTCTTTTTGTTTCTTTTGGAGACAGGGTCTTGCTCTGCAGTTCAGGCTGGTCTCAAACTCTAAACGATCCTCCTGCCTCAGCCTCCCCAGCGCTGGAGCAATTTGTTTTCTAGTGGGTGGGGTTTAGGTGGCGCTGATGGGAGCAGGGAGAGGGCAGGCCTCAGTAGGACCACAGTTTGCTTTTGGGAGCTCTGCATCATGCACCGTCCTTCTCTTTCCAGGTGTCTTTGAAAATCGAAGAGAAGGAAATAGAGCATGCCCTGAAAGACCGAGCGCTAGTTGGGAATATCTTAGCCACTGGGCTGCCTTGATGCCGCCTCTGTCCTGCCTGGAAGTGTCCGCTCCCTCTCTAGCTCCGAGGCTTCCTTGTAATGCTTCACACTCGGATCTGAAGACCAGTGCCGCCTTTTTACTGGAATTTTAGTCATGAGTATTAGTGCAGAGCAATCGCTTTGGGTCCTCTTTATTTTTTACCATAAACGTGTAATAGATCCTTTTAAAACTACATGCGCTACCTCTCCCGCTTGCCTGTCTCTGACCAGTATTTCTGCAAGCAGACCGATTCGTGTGCCGTGGGGGACCCACTGCTAGGTTCCCTCGGACGTCACATCACTCGCTAAGGACTTGGGGTCAGAAGGAGCAGACAGATCCAAAGAAATAAGCTGTGTCCCTGGGGTCAGGGAATTCCTTTTCTCGATGTGACCCTTGCCGGAGACCATGCTGTGACACTTTTTTTTTTTTTGGTCTTTTTTCTTTTTTATCGGTACCACGGATCGAACTCACGACTGCCTGCTTGCAAAGCAGGCACTTATGCCGCCGAGCTAAATCCCCAGCCCCGATGCTGTGACACTCTTAAGGACATGTTGAATTTTGGAGATAAGGGGACTGTAACTATGGATTGTGAATATATTTATTTTCCAATGGCATCCTTCGTCTATGTGACCATGTCTTTGAGAGCTCAGTGATCTCGTGAGCCTGGATCCCTGTGGTGGTGTCGGAGTAGCCCTGCTCAGCTGGGGAGTCTGAGCGTGTGTTTCTCCAGTCTTATTAAATAAACATCCATGTGTACATTCCCGGGTCCTCTCTGGCAGGGACACCAGAAGACATCACCACAACAGCCCTGTTTGCAGAGTACGGGGTGAGTGCCCTGAAGAGAAGATGCCTTGAGTGGTGTGCCCTGGGGAGGTCGCCTTTCCCCTTCGCTCAGGTGCCAGGAGAGCCAGGGTCCCAGGCTGTGCCTGACCCACATGGCCCTGCAGGAACTTGATCGTAGCCCAGTGATGCACAGGCCTCAGTGCCCACCGCACCCTTGAAAAGTGATCCTTGCTGCAGCAGGTGGTGCAGGGAGTGCCCTGAAAGAAACACCGAGCCCATGGGGCCCCCCATCTCGGGCCCTGTGCCAGGGCGGGGTGGGGCTAGAGAGCCAAGGCAAAGCATGGCATCGTCTGAAGGCTGATGGAAAGCAGGGAACTGCGGGATTGGGAACAGATGTGAGGCTTGACTTAAATTACGTTTTATGGGATGCTGCAGCCTTGAGAGACGTGACTGCTTCACAGTTTGTTTCTACACTGGGCAGCTGCTGTCTGCCCGAGTCCATGGCGGGAGCCTGCCCGGAACCCAGCCAGCAGCCGCCCCGCCTCACCGGGCTCGGCGCCTTCCCTGCTTCAGGCTCCAATGGACTCCCGGCGGGGGTGAGGGGGTGGTGTGACCGTGGCACCTCCCTGGCCTGCAGGGCTTCCCCCGAGGCCTCTTCCTCTCTTGCTGCTGGAAAGAGGGCTTCCTGGGTACTGGTTTTCCGGTCTCCTTTCTTGCACTTCCCCCACCATCCATTTCTAGGTCATCGCTGCTCTTAGGACTCCGCAGCTGTGGTGGGCTTGGTTCCAGCAGCGATGCGTGAAGCAGACTTCAGTCCCACTTGGCTCCTGCAGCCCTTTTGGGAGCAAAAGCTGCTATAGGTTTGTCAGCGAAGTGTTAAGTGTAATTCAGAGGGCCGAGGAGGAGGAGGAGGAGGAGGAGGGGTCCCTGCTGCTGAAGCCCAGTGGGTGGAGGCAGAGGGGTGGGATGGGTCTGTGGGTCAGAGCTTTCACCAGAACTCTGCACTGCTGCCCATGGAGTCATGGCAGAGGTGCTGACCTGCATTCTTCCTCAGCTGCGTCCTGGTTTATCTTTAAGTAGATTGTGCTTCCGAGGAGTGGAGTGTTTATTACTGGCCATGGAAAAGGATTTGGGTGCAGCAAAGTCTGCACTTCATCACCAGTGCTGCTGAAGGTGGACTGCCATATGAGGCGTCGCTGCAGGAGGCTGAGGCAGGAGGACTTGCAAGTTCAAGCCCAGCTTGGGGGTCTTAGCAAGACCCTGTCTGAAAATAAAAAATAAAAGGACTGGGGAGGGGCTCGGCGCAGAGGCCCCACCTCAGTCTTCAGTACCCTCCTCCCCCTAAAAAAAAAAAAACAAAGTGGAAATATGGTATGACAGGCCTAGGCTGCCTTTTCCGAAATTACTGAGAGCTCTTCCCTAACTACTGTGAGGAAATACAGGCCCGACAGAGGGTCTCCAGTATCCTCAGGTTTGAACCCAGGTCTGCACACCAAGCCTTCTGCCAGCCCCCAAATTCAGATCCCCTTTACATTTGTGTCTGTCCCCAGCATGAAGGTACCCAGTGAGTACTGAGTAATTGTGCAGTGGACAGATAAACAGACCAATCTTGTGGGTAGTGGAGGAAAGGCCTTTGGTGGCTTGTGCTGGTGGGGGAGCAGCCTTATGGAGGGTTCTGACCAAAAAAAAGAAAAAAAGGGGGCTGGGGATTTAGCTCAGCGGCATAAGCGCCTGCCTTACAAGCAGGCAGTCGTGAGTTCGATCCCTGGTACCGATAAAAATGAAAAAGACCAAAAAAAAAAAAAAAAAAGAGGGTTCTGGGAGCAGCAGTGGGGCATCCATGGGCCTCCGCGTCCCCACCACCTTGTCCGAGGTAGCCGAGTCCTGCCTCCCGGACATCTCCCATGTTGCTTCGGGAAGCTTTGGCTTTGGGGTGCGTGTCTTACTGTGGCCGGCATATGGGGTGCCCATCTGAACGTTGGCACGGGACCAGGGAGGACTCCACCTTTGGTTTACTGCCCCTTAGCTTCGGGGCCAGTTTACTGCGGGGGACGCGCTCTCAGGGCGCAGGGAGGCACATTCCATAGGGTCGAGGGTGCGCACCCGCGGCTTCCCCTTGATTTCCAAGCCCGGCCCCTAGGCACCTGCGGGAGGAACTAATTGGGGGAAAAGGCCGCGGCCGCCGGAGAAGCGCAGGCAGCGCGGGCTGGAAAAAGCCCTAATTGGGCTCTGAATCAGTCCCGCCGCCTTTGATCCCGCCCCCATTTCCCACAGCGCCCGAAAGAGCTGCATCAGCACTTCGCGAGCAGGGTGCGCCGCCGCTCCCCTCCCCGCACCCCACGCGGGCTGCCACCATGCACCGCTTGTCTCCTTCGGTTACGATAATGAAGATGCTGGGAGATAAAATGTGTATTTAATAAAGGTGGGGGCGGGGCGGCCAGGGCCTTTCCTCTTTGGGGCCTCGCCAAGGCTGGCGCGGAGAGCGAGGGAGGAAGACTTGGCCCCAGGGTGTGGGCTTTTCTAGGCCTCCGTCCAGCTGACTTCACTCCCGCTGTTTGCTCTAAATTCCCCCACCTCCAGCCCGCACCCCGCACCCCTGCGCGCCTACCTCCCTCCCAGTTCCGACGGGCGGGCCGGGCTGTGCGCGCCGACTTCTCCGCAGCCCGAGGTGACCTGGCCTTCGGCGCAGCACCCCCAGCCCAGAGCCCGCTGCAAGGTCGGACTAGGGCACCCCCTTAGACACACCCGCAGCCCCCACCCGAGCCGGCCGGAGACGCGGGCTCCCGGTAGGGGGCGAGCGCTGCAGTTAATGAAGACCAGCTGCCCGGCTGGCTCGGCCTCCGGTGGCGGCGACGGTGGCGGTTAGGGCTAGGGCGGGAGGGGTGATTCTGTCCCCGGCACGAGGATATCCTGTGGCAGCCGGCTGCGCACCCAGCTCAGTTGTTCCTCAGTTTACAAGCGCGTCCGCCCCCGGCCTCCCCTGTTGCACGCAGCCCCCTCCCAGGGCTTCGGAGCACCCGCGCAGCGGGGCCCAGCTGAGATCTGAGGCCCTGAGCCATCCTGTAAACACTCATTAACTGCCTGGGAAGGACCAGAGCCCTGTTTAACAGCTGGGAGAGAACCCGGGCACATGGGGGTGAGAGGCTTGACCTGAGCTCACCCCGCGGCTCCACCCACGCCTCCTCCCAGGTCCTCACGGTCTAGGTCCCCCGGCCCCTGCTTTTTCCTGCGAGACAGAAAGGGGTAGAGAGGTGGCTAGTGCCCTCTTGCCTTCTAAGAAGAGGCTGCTCTGCTGATCCAGCCTTTGCCCAGTGACACTTACTCTGCTCTGCTCCAGGAGATAACGTGCAGCTCTCCTTGCAAAATGTTTTCCCATCAGCCAGGCCTGGTTTGGGGGCACATGCCTGTGATCCCAGTGTGCTGGGAGGCTGAGGCAGGAGGATCATCACAAGTTTGAGACCAGCTTGGGCTACTGAGAGAGACTATCTCAAAAAAACAAAAACAAGGGCTGGGGATATAGCTCAGTGGCACAGGCACCTTACAGTGTGAGGTTATGAGTTTAATTCTGGTAACCTCCCCTCCCCACCAAAAAAGGCAAGAAAAAGCCCAAAACAGATTAGTTCCTTTTGTTCATAAAGGCTTAGGGCCCTTGGGGCTGGGGATTTAGCTCAGCAGCATAAGTGCCTGCTTTGCGAGCAGGCAGTCTTGAGTTCGATCCCTGGTACCGATTAAAAAAAAAAAAAAAAGGCTTAGGGCCCTACTGAGAGCTGGGTCGGGTACTGATTGACCTCTGGGTTTCACATCCTATCTTCTGGCCATCACCATCTCTAGGTTTTGTTTTGTTTTGTGTTTGATTTGATTTTTTGAGTTTTTATTTTTGTTTTGGACTGGGGATCAAACTCATGACCTCTTACTTGCCAGGCAGGTGCTTATGCCACTGAGCAAAATCCCCAGCTCATGTTTCTGGTTGAGACAGGCTCTCCCTAGGTAGTCCAGACTGCCCTTGAACTCGTGGTGATCCTCCTGCCTCAGCCTTCCGGAGTGCAAGATTACAACAGGCCAGGCCATTTCTAGTAATGGGTGTAACTGGGACTCTCACCTGCATGCCCCCTACCCTCTCCAACATACCCCCCCCCACAGCCTAAGGAGATGAGACTTGGATGCCATCTATGTTACTGTGCCCTTTTCCCTGACTGAAAATCAACTCTTTCACCCCCAGCCTCCTGGGTCCAGGAACAGTGAGTGGGGCAAGCTGGGGGGCTGCTGTAAGTCTGAAGTCCAGGACAAAGGCGTGTTCCTGTCCCTGAGTTCTCAGTACCTGAAGGGCTGGCTACTCAGGAAGGAAGGAAGGAAGGAAGGAAGGAAGGAAGGAAGGAAGGAAGGAGGGAGAGAGACCTTAGCCTCACCTCCAGCCCATGCCCCACTCCCTCTGCGGCCTCTAGTCCCTTGTCCTCCTGTCTTCAGCCCCAGTCATTCAGCAGTTGGTTGCCTCTGAGCCGGAATCCTTCCTGGTTCCCATCGTGCCCTTGATCCAGGGCCAGTCTCCCTTCCAGGGCTGCCTCTCCAGCCTTTCTTAGTACCCTTGTGCCCACTGACCTGGTCCAGTAGGCAGGGGGAAGACAGAGTCGGCTGCCAGCTAGCCGGGTGGACGTTAGGACCCAACGGGAGCCGGGGCTCCTGCAGCAACCTAAGCAGAAGCTGGGGGGAACCCTGAATCGAGCCGCCGAGAGGGCTTCCCCGGTCCTCCCGGGAACCCCATTGCCCCCCACCAGCGCACACCTGCCAGGTAGGCCTGCACATCCCTCCCGTTGGCCCGGGGCGCTCTCTCCCCACCGTCAGCTCCTTCCCAGCTCAGCGTCGCCCAGCCCTTCTCCCCCACTGCTGCCCAATCCTGGGGGTGGGCACCCAGCACAGTGGGGTGTCTGCAGGCTCCCCCCTGCCCCCCAAGGCCCTTCTGCGGTCCTCTGGGAGTGAGGGTGCTGCAGGGAGGTCTGCCGGGCCCCACGCCCTTGCACCCTGCTTTGCAGCGTTGCCTGACACCCCTTCCCCCACCCCACCAAGCTGCAGAATGGGCAGCACTTGGGGCAATAAGGGCAGCCGAGGGGGGGCTTCCCCTGCTTCCTCTCAGCCCAGGGACCAGGACAGTGTCCCCAGGCCCTCCTCTCCCTGCAGGGGGACACACATCCCCTGAGAGGCCGCCTCTGGCTGGATGGTGGGCTGGAGGCTCTTCCTCCAGGGAAAGTTCTCCCAGCCTAGACAGAGCGCCCCCTCAGCCACCCCCACACCGGGCTCCTGAAAACCCCCTGCTCTGTGCGCGTGTGTGTGCCTGTGCACGCAGGTGTGTGCGTGCAGAGCATGTGGCTGTGGAGCGGCAAGTTCTGGACAGAGCCTCCTGGAGGGCTGGCAGAGGATGGCCCAGGCCACAACACATCCAGATGGCTGGGATAGGGGGTGTGGACCAGATCAGTGAGATCCAGCACCGTGCCAGCTCCCTGGCCTCCTTGGCTTTCGGCTCCTTGGGCTCCTGGGTTACCCTGGAACCGGGGAGGAGTCCCTGAGATTCTACCTTCCTCCTGCGGGCACCCTGGCAAAGGGCTGGATGGCACCCACAGGGGCATCAGCTTGTGGCTCTGGCCTGTGGTGGGCTGGTGGCCCTGCTCTCTGAAGGTGCTGGGTGTCTCACTGTGGCTTGGGTGTGGACAAAGGGCCAGCAACCCAGGTGAGCCGCTTCTGGGGTAGCAGGCAAGGAGGTGGCAGAAGAGGCTGTTCTCACTTTGAGGGAGTCAGTCCCTCTGGCTCTCCGTGAGTGTGTATGTGCGTGCATGTGTGTAAGCGATCGAATAACTCTGGGGTGAGCCCAGCCTCTCTGTGCCCACAGCTCTCCAGGCCCCCCAAGTGAGTCCTGGTGGGAAGGGGGATGGTGGAGGGGCCACAGACTTGGCTCTGCTCTGGATTGGATCGAGAGAGGAGGAGGGTGGGGATCCCAAGTGGCCTGGGAACCTGAGGCCTAAACTGGAACTCCACTTGGGCTACTTTGCCTGGCAGACACCACCGTAAGAGCCCCCGCGACAAGGACAGCACGTGGCCAAGTGCAGGGCTGGTGGGAGTTACGCTGGAGGCTGGCGCCTGGGACTGCTCCCTGAATCTAGGTCACTGTCTCTGCCTTCGGTTTCCTTCCGGCATCCTCGCCCATCTGGGAGATCCCAGACATGGGGCGCAGCTGATGCCCTGGGGTCTGCAAAATTCCCTGCACACGCACACAGGCTGTCGCTGTCACCTGCCCGCCAGGGTGCTTGCGGTCAGAGTCCAGCGGCCTCTGCCTCCCTGAGCCCTGGCCCCACCTTCCCCCAGCCGTCCTGTGCCTCCGCGTCCTTGTCTGTGTCTCTCCCCTACCCAGTGGCCTCCTTGTCCGGCTCACTGGGCAGAAGCCCTAATCGGATGCGACAGCTGAGATGTGTGTGGCGGCTGGGAGGGGGCGGGTGTGCAGCCAGCAGAGGATGGTACAGGGCTGCCCTGGCACTGCCCTGGCTCTGAGCACCTCTATGGGCTGCTGACGCCTACCTTAGCTGTGGCTCAGGGCAGGGGTGCCAGGGCCCAGGAGAGGCAGGTGGGGGTGTGTGTGTCAGGCACCAAGGGGACAGGGGACACACGGTGGCCTTCATAGCTGGCATCAGGACATCTGACTCTGGGCTGGCCTCAGTTTCCCCTTTTTGCCTCCTGTCCTTCGATTGCCCATCAGGCTCTTTGGCTCAGAACCCAGTGCGGGTCACATCTGGGAGCTGTGCGAGGCGCCTCAGGTCTGCTCCTTCCCAGTGAGGTATTTCTCTCTCTCCCTTTCTGGGCCAGGTGCCAGCACTCCTGGTTTCCCTCCTACCCACCCACCCACTTCGCTGTACAGGGTTCCCTTGTGGGGCCCCTGAAGAGAGTCGCTGGGCTGGTTTCCTGCCTCCCTGGTGCTGGGAGGCGTCGGGAATCCCAGGTGAGACGGGGTGAAGGCCCCGGCGCCCCAGCCTCTGACTCAGCTTAGCTGGAGGGCAGCGTGGCCCCAGCCTGGCATTGCCTGTCCTGGCCTCCAGGCTTCTGTGTTTGCAAGCAGCCAGCACAGATCTTCTGTCTTCCTTTTTAGATTTCTCCCCATATCTGAAGGTGACCCACGAAAACTTTGCATTACACCCACATATTTTGGGGAGTGGGCGATCTGTATAATTGAGGCCAGGACACTATTTAGCCTCCCCTCCAGCTGGGCCAGGATGAAGGAAACTGGCACAAATTGCGCTGTGCCAATTCCCTCCACCCTCCCAAGACCGGCCAGGGGAGCCAGGCCCTGCCCTCCTGGTACCCACAGTGCGGTTGGCACTGATTTGTCAGGAATTGGGAAGATTTCCCTCCAGACCTCCTGCCTTCTTGATCCTCCTCCCACAGGCCAGGGGCAGCTCTAGAGGCCCAGTGCTGGCAGGCAGGCCTCCCCCCAAGGAAGGGGTGTGGGATGCCCCTGAGATGGCCAAGTTGGCACCGGTCCCAGGTCAGAGCACTGGAGGAGCTTGAGAGCTGGAGCGGGTGGAGAGGGCTGGGCATGAGCCACCCAGGCCCCTCATTTCCTGCTCTCTGGGCAGCAGTGTTGAGAAAGGCTGAGGGGACTATTTTTAGTTGGTCTGTCCCCTGGCAGGAGGACGTGCAGAAGAGCACGGGGCAGGTCCAGGGCTGGCTGTGGTGAGGGTTGGCAGGCGAGCCCAGGAGTGAGGCAGGGCATTGGGGTGCAGATGGGGCAAGGTGGGTGGGGAGTTGGACAGGGCTGAACCTGGCTGCAACATTGTTGCCTGCCCCAGGGGATTAGTGTGGAGCTCAGGCCCAGAAGGGGCTTGGAAGCCATCTAGATTGTCCCTCTGCCTCACCAGGGGAAACTGAGGCCTACACAGAGATGTGGGTGTTGCAAGGCCTCTCCCCGAGTCGCCCACTGTGCTAGGACCCAAGCCCAGGCCCTGCAAGGCTCTTCCTTGCTCCAGTCCTTCGCCACACCTCCCTGGGTTCCCACCCCCTATGCAGCATGGGGCCCTCAGG